TGCGGACACTATACACTCATTCCAAACCAATTTTTGTTAAAATAAAAGTTCTCAACATAAATGAGCTTAATTTTTTTATTTTATATATATGTGGAAAAATGACTTATCAATTTTAAAGATCTCTTTTGTTTAAAACCAATAATATACACTTCGAAAAAATAATTTTATATATGAAACCTTTTGTCGAAAGTTTAATCAGTTTTGTATTACATATCGCGTACCATATCTTTAGAATAAAATCATTTTGTCTTAATTTGATGTCTTATACTTTTTTCATTTTCAAAAATAAACTAAAAAATTTAATTCTTTCAATGGATAATTTAAACATGTATTTTTAATTGTAACTTTATATTTTGTTTGAAACTTTTCTTGCAAAATACATTTTCTTTTGTTGATTATGTATTGATGCGGTTTATCAACACACGCTTGTAAAAGGTTTGTAGATCAGTATGATTTTCTTATGTTTGTGAAAGTAATTTATTTCAATTTCAACAAATGTAAACCAAAAAAAAAAAAATTGCAGGACTTGCCACAATTTTGACAGAAAAAAAAATAGCTTACCAACTTAAAAGTGAATATCTTATAAAAGAGTATACGTTAGATTAAAAAGACTGAAAAATCCCAGTGAAGTGAAAACATTAATTCTAAAAAATTTTTTTATTAAGAATTTGTTTGCCTTCTAAGCTTTTGTAACTTGTTGTTTAATATAAAAAATAAAATATATACGTTACTTCTTTTATAATTTTTTTGAGTTAAAATTTCTAAACAAAAATAGTTTTAACTCTTTATACGCAGGCTAAACGCAGGCTAAACGCATGCTAAACGCAGGCTAAACGCAGGCTAAACAGTTTGACGGTATCATGTAAACCAGTGGTGGCCGAACCACTGCCCGCAAGCAAAAAAATTTCCGCAGAGATTTTTTTAAATGCCTGTTAAACAATTTGGATATATAGGAGACAACCATCTTGGTAATGTGATACTTCTATGTACCTCAAAAATCAATCCAGACATCAAAAAACTAGTTTCAGACGGTCAAGTTCACCACTCTTAATAATCATATTGCTTTGATACAAATGATTATAATAGTTATTAATCACCTATATTTTCGTAGAAATAAATATTTTTTGCCCGCAAAATTGTTTTTTAAGTTTTTTTTTCCCGTATCCTAAAAAGTCTGGCCACCTCTAATGTAAACAATAAAACAAAGTCCATTAATATCACAGGAATAGTCTAGTGAAAGGTTCTCAAAAATCTAGAATGTCACTACTTAAATAAATGACAATTAACTATAACATTATTTACAGCTTACTTGTATTCCAATTTTTGCTAGTTACAATTGTTACTAGAAAAATTTAAAAAAAATTCAACATTCAGAAGGGGCGGCATTTTTAATTCTCTCTTAGGGCGCCAAAATAGTTAGCAATGTCCCTGGCAACCATGCTGATTTTGCTTATAGTTTTGCAAATTACAACAAAAAACAAACGAAATTCACAATTTTTAAAACGTTTAAAAGTATTGACTCTCTATTTTTGAACATTTAAAAGTTCAAAACATTTAAAAAAATGTTTAAATGGAGTTTTAAAAGGTTTAAAATTTTTTTTAGAAGTTTACAATTTTTAATTGAGTATTTAATTGTTTCTGCACGTTTCTTTTGAAGATATCCAATCTATAAAATGAGTACAGGCATTATTTGTAAATATACCCACAGTCGACATATATTTACTCCGCTGCATCTATTCTTATCTATGTTAGTCAATGTTCAATGCACTGCGACTACGACTATATAAATCGTATATAGTCGTGTGGCGCTTTTTTTTTTCGTCAATTGCTCTTTGTGAAGAAGTGTGGCAAGACCATTTAAAAGAATTCTTGAATTTAAAATCTTAGAAATGCATTGATGCTAGGGCCGTCCCGAAGGGATGGGTGTAGGGGTATCTCCCCCCCCCCAACTCCCAAAGCTTTCATATAAACATTTGAGTTGGCACATTGAGCAAGTTTTGGACTACAGTTGGCAAACTGCAAATATTGTGGATCTTTTTTTTTTTATATTTGGTGTCTCTAATTGGCAAAAAAATACATACACCGCCCCATGGAAGACCTCTTCGGGACGGCCCTGATTGATGCACATTATTGACGAAACTTTATAATATGAAAACAATAAATAAATATAGTTTTTAACAAACAACAGTTATAGGGAAAATGGCAAAACTACCTCATAATACCTTATGGCATCTTCAATTTAGAATAGTTTCTGATTAATTTTATTTAATCTTAATTTTTTTTTTTTTTTGGTTTACATTTGTTAATCGTTGAAAAGCCCATAATAAAAATAATAATATAAACTTACAACTCACAAGGTATTTAAAAAAAGATCGCAAGGATCTTGTCGTCAGAACCTTAAAAAAGAATTTAACATAATTTAGGTTAAAAAAACAAAAATTAATAAACTTTTACAAAAATGCAAGGCAAACAATCTGTGTCTGAAGAAAGATCAAGAGGATTTTCTCATCAGATTTTTATACAAGACTAAACCAACATATAGATTTAAAAGTAAAAAGTATAAGAACAATAAATAAAATAAGTAGGAATAAACTTCTATAAACATAAAACTTCTATAAACAAAATAAAAAATAGACCAAAATATATTTTTAACTTTTACTACTAATAATAACTCAATATATTATTTTATTTGCTGCAGCCGTTCAAAATGTTGATCAAATTTACTTGTCGAATGATTTGCTGTTCGTTGGTTTGTAAGTAGTTTACAGGCCCGTAAGAAGAAAAATTATTATGAGGTGGGGGGTAGGGGTAGGGGGGCTAGTGCTGGATTAAGGGACCCCGAAATAGTTTTAAGAACCTTTTTTTTAATTTTTTTTAGTCATTTTTTCTCCAAAAAAATAGCCCTGGACCCCGAAAAGTCATAGTCCGCCACTGTGAGAAAGAGGGGGGGAGGGAGGGCAATAGGTCAAAACTTTTTGTCTAAGGAACTTACGCCGAAAATACGGAATTAGTTCTTTTCTATTCTTATTTTTCTTTTATATCTTAACTTGTAATTATATTTTTTCTAAAAACTAACTTCAAAATTATTTATTTGAAAAATTATTAGGGGGGGAGGGGCAAACGCCCCTGCTGCCTTCCTGGTTGCTACGGGCCTGGTTTAGTAATTATACAAACCCAAAAGTAAAAAACACTTATTTAAAATTTAGTTCTTAGATAAATATATCAATAAAAAGTTTGGTTGCAATGAGCGTAACTAAGTAAATTTCTTACCTTATAATCAATAAAATTAATTTTTTAACTAATTTTTGTTATTAAAACCATACCATGTTATAAATGGTTGAAAAGCCAGTTAAATTTTATAAAAAGTTAGCTAATAAAATAAAAATTAAATAAAGGTTCTATAATAATATACTATAAAGTTGTTATATGTATGCATATAGTCACAATAGTAAAATCGTCATACTTTCTTTGCGCCAAAGAAAGCAACAAGACCTTTTATAAGAATAAATAATATTATTTTTTATTTTTATTATAATTAGTCAATTATTTTATTACTTTGGTTTAGTTGCGAATCCATGTATATTGTACATATCAGAAACTTGTGCAAACCTTGATTAAATAATCTAATAAAATTATAAAATAGGTCATTAATAAGAGACATTTGCCGACTGCCAACTAAAGATCCGAATTTGCTGACTCCAGTGTCCATGTGTGCTGACTTAATTTTGAAAAAAATTATTTAGACATCCTTCTAATCCTTCCACATTAAGACGACCCTGACTAAACCAGAGTTTGAATAAGTAAAAAAGTATTATCTTGAATAAAACGCGTTTTTTATTTTCCTCTCTCTTGCAAAAAATTTGTTTTCAAAATTTAATTTTCGTAAAAGTTTTCATTGCTAGAAAAATTCAATTCAAGCCGAAATCAAAACCAAATTGATTAATTCTTAGTAAATATTAAAGTATGTTGTATTTTTCAATTTTTTTACAATATCTAATAAATAAAATTTAATGTTATGGTCGTAAAATGAATTTCAGCATGACGGATGGGAGATAAAATATCAAACTTTGACCATTAACTGACAATTTAATTATTTAACATAAACCTTTTTTTTCCCACGCATGGAAATGAAATTTCCAATTTTTAACATTCGTATTGAATATATGAAACTACTATTTTTTTTTTTTTTTTTTCGGTAAAAAACATTCTGACAAAATATCAATTTTAATTAAATAGTCAAAAGTTTGACTAAACTCAACTTTGATGTCAGATTTGTCCCTATTAATATTTTAATATTAGATGTTTTTCATAACTTCCACCGGAGGGAGGCTAATATTCCGTCTCCAATTTGGCTGCCGTATCCAACTGGGAGCCAGTAGCCATTGCAGGCAACCTCCAAAGCATTTAGCCCCTAATGGCTTTTGTAAAGTGGAAGCGAGAAGATTTACGCTGTTTATCAACACTGATTTACTTTACGTTATTTCAATTATTATATATAAAACGAATTTAAATAGCGAAATGACCATGTCCGAATGATAAACACCGCAACCGAAAAAGGATAAATGATAAAATTTGAACTTTATTAATATAGAACAAGAATATCAGTATACTAATATAAAATCACTATTTATTGTTTTATCTGCTATATATTCTTTTTAAGCCTCGTAACTTAAAAAATTCACAGGGGAACGGACTTTCAAAATAGTATGAAAACTAAAATTTTATAGGGCATTAAAAGGCAGGCATTAATCATTATGAGTCAAAAACCATTTCCATAGAAACCATTTCTACGGTTGAAGAGGATACACATTTTTTAAAATTGCCTTTAAAATTTTATTAAAAAAATAACGTATTTTCGTTGATACTTTTATATATTTTAAAAAACATTCCTTAAAATGTTTGGAAGCAATATATATTTTAGGACAGTAATTTTAAGTGTTTGACGATATAAAGTTTTTCACCATAAGTTGCATTATAGTCAGTTTTAATCACATCTTTAATTAGTCCCATTTTGTACATTCAATTTATTAATAAAATTATGGTTTAAATACATTTGCTTTTTTATAGAGTAATTACGTTTTTAATTTTTAATGCAATTTTTTTGCATTAAATTTGTTTTTAATGTAGTTTAACAGATTATATCATGCTTAGCGAACCGACTAATATCATTGACTTATAATCACTACGATAATTACTTTGGATAAGTTGTCCAGTGTAACAATATGCCAATATACTACAACCAATTCTGATAATCACCATCGGCATCAGCTGGAGCTTCAACGTCAACTTCAACGTCGGTTTCAGCTGGAGCATCTGAATAAGGTGGCGTCTGAGGAGGAGACGATGGAAGGGAAGCATCTTCTTTATTGTTGTATTCAAACTGTTCTTCTTCTTCTAAGGGATATCAATAAAATACTTTATTATATACAAAATACTCTAAATATTGTAAAATATACCTAAAAAACATAATACCATCTGAGAGATTTTCGATTTCTGGAGAATTCGGTGCATCGTCATTTTCTATATCAATATTAGTTTCGTCATCTAATGCAATATCTTCATCTCCGTCATCTAATGGTATGTCTTCATCCCCATCATCCAATGGTATATCATCATCAGAATCATCAGAGTCTTCATCACTGTGGACAAGATCTTGCAATAACAACAACCCAAGATCCATGTTTTCTCCGTTTTGGTTATTTGAAGGATTATCAACTGAGAAAGTGTCGTTATACAACCCATTACCAAAGCCTAAAAACAAGAAATCAAATTATCCGGTAATCTTTGAACTGTTAATTTAATAATAATTAAGCTTACGCAATCGGTTTTTTAAATTAGCAAACAACTCAAAGGATAATATTGTTTCTCTATATATCAAATGACATTGTTTTTTTATTTAAATATACCTAGCAACTGTCTCAATTTCTTTACAGTTTATACAACTTCACAACAATTTTACACAACTTCACAACATTCACAACTCACCATTTACAGTTTGTAAAATTTAGCCAAATCTGCATTTGTATCATTTGTATATTTTTTATCTTGTTCTGCGTTACTGTTATAAAGATATAAATGAGTGAAGTCAGTTATTGTCAGATAGAGTCACTATCCACAACTAGCTTGCTAGGTTGCACCATGCTTGTCAACCTCAAATAACAAATGTATTTACTACCATAATGAAATTAATTACAACTCAGGTCACTGCAGACCAGAAAGCCCACTAAATTTGCAGCAGATGAGATGCAGCGTAAGTTGAAATTTTGCAAGTTACGCTGCAAAGATGCAGCGTAACTTGAAATTTTTTCAACTGATATAATTTTAATATAGTAAGACGATTAAAAAAAAGTTGCTAAGAACTGAGAACACTTGCTTAGAACAGTAAAAATTGTCAAACCAATTTTCATTAAAATGTGCAAATAAGTGAAATTAAAGGTGCGAGGTTTACGTAGAACTCTTTACCAGATAATTAGTAAAATGAAAATTTAAACTTACATTAAAAAGTTACTGTCACAAAATTTAGTATACTAAACAACAAATTGCACCTCCATTAATAAAAATAATGTTTTGAAATTGTCTAGCTTTTTTTACTTAAAATAATATTTACTAAACAGCAATATATAATACCAACCTTGTTATTAGGTTTTGTGCAGTGTATTAGGCGAAAAAAAGGCTAAGATCTAAGTTGCTATCAGAAGTCAACATTCGATTTCAAAATTTTATGAAACTCCTTATATATAATGGTTATTATTAAAATATTATAAATTGTCCTAAAATTTATAAATGAAAATTATACCTTCTTAAAAGAGACCTTACTTATAGAGAATTATGGAGACTTCAAGTTGCTAAGGTATTTTATTGACTTAATGTATAAATATAAACCGTTTTAACATTCTGTGAAAAATTCTGTTTTTTTATCTGTACTATATGGATGTACATACAAAAACCTTCAAAAGAAAACTTTTATTCCTGCCCATAATGTAACTAGAAGCAGTAATTTCAACTGTTATATATATTATGTTGTATATATATTTATTTAGATATATAACATAAACAAAAATATTATATTTAGACATATTTTTTAAGTTATAGTAGAAGTTATAAGAGCATATTTAAAAAAAATTATACTGTTAGAAGTATTAAATTTAATTATTTCTAAATTTGACTTTTAATTATTATTGACCATATTATTGCTTAAATTCTCATTTCACCTGATGCATGTATGCTTGTAAACACGCTAAACCTAACGCATATTATGCACGTGTGTATATTTATTTAATTATAAAATTTAATTATAAAATGTTTTAAAGTGAATGAGCTAACAAAATCCGTACTTCAGATCTAGATTTGAGTGTCACCATTCCAAAATTTACTAAACCAAAATTATCTGAAAAAATATATATTAATCATTTCTTTACAAGAAACGTTATTGAAAGAAATTTTTTAAAAGTTTATACAAGTTTCTTATAATACTTATTTTGTTTATTTCATAATTTCCTTTTTTTTCATGTAAATATAAACTATTTTTTTTATGAAAGATAAATAAAAAAATTTATAAAAACGACCTGAATTTACTTTCTCATAGTAGGATAATAACGCAACCTGAATATGATTTATTACCCTCAAACGCTAAATTTTGCCCTCATCAAAAATGGTGATGGTACATCCTGAGAGAAATAATATAAATCGTGTCCCAATAAGATTTGTTGAACAAGATCTTTTTTTAACAAAGCTCTTTTGATGTATTTAAACCTAATTAAGCAAAGTTATTAATTTTGAGTTAAAGCCTTTATAGAAGTACTTTTTTAGTGTAGCTATATATAAATATTATATGTTTTTATATTATTATAATAGCGTATAATTTTTCAAATAAAAATGAGGAATTTAAAAAATAAATACTTAAAATTTCTTTAAAATTGAAATGTTTGCATCTCAACCTAATTGCTTATGTTAATATATAGTTAACTACCCGCTAAAATTTTTAAAAATATTTAAATTTTTTTTTTTAGTTTTCTATTAAAATTAAAAAAAAAAAAAAAAAAGAAGGTAAAAAAAAAAGAAGGTAAAAACGGGTACTAATGTCCAAACCGCTGATTTTTAAATTTATGAATAAAATGGTTGTTTCCTTATTACCTCTTTTAAAAAAATGTTAAAAAATATGACATATTGAAAATATTAAGATTTTTTACTTTTATTAATTTAATTGGTTTTATTAATTTTAATTTTTTTTAAATGTATTTTTATTAAAACCTTCAATGTAATACAGTTGCTCTTTTTACAGTATCTGGCTAAAAAGTATTAACTAAAGTATCTAACAGTTTCTGTATTGCAATATGTATTCATTAATCTGTTTTTAGGTAGAGTTCCTGCTGTTATAATTGATTTAAGAATTCTTTAATGTTATTACCGAAAATAAAACCGAAACTTCAGCTTAACAAAACTAATTTCATTAGAAAATGTAAAAATCTAAAAATGCAATTTTACATTAATAAATTATTTTTTTTATGAATTCTTTTCATTTTATATAATAAGCTCAAAGTAAGTGGAAAAAAGTTTTTCCCTTTGAGCTTTATTAGTTTTTTTTGCTCTAGAAGCATTTTTATAAATAAATGATTTTTTTATCATTTACTAAAAAATATTGAAATAAGAAATATGTACAGAAATTGTTGATGTCTAGTAGACTTACCAAGACCCATATTTTATGTGTGCGAATGGCTAGTAATTAAATACAGAAAAAGAGCTGTGCATTTTGTATTTTCACTAAAATTAAACTAAAGCTGGCTTATTACTAAATGAGCCTTTATACCCTCAACCATCTTAATGTAGATAACTACAACCATGATGCATCTAACTTTAATAACTATAATGATATTAGACAATTTAAATTATAATCAAGGATATGGAGTCCCAAACGGACTACAGCTTTATATCTCTACTTTTTACTGGTCTCCGACTTATGATTTGCTATACAAAAAAGTTCATGAGATTTAATGACTTTGAACTTATTATTTTTAAGCACAGAGTTCCGTAGTCTTTGTCGCCATTATATCTAATTACTACGAGTTCAAAAATAAATAAAAAAATAAGATTTTTAGGTAAGGGGAACTATCCCCTTACCTAAAAATCTTATTTTTTCCCCCATAAGTAATTCATAAGCTTTTATTATTTTTTTAGAGCTCCTCAATACAAAAAAACCAGGAAGAAGTTTTTGTGACTTTCAAATCCGGAGTCTTTTCTGTGACTCAACACCCCTGCTTACAATAGTGTTAAAAATATGTTTACTATTATGCAATATTATACACTCATCCTGAATAAATCATCCTAGTTACTCATATCTATGATATATTATATCATACTATGTATGATATAATATATCATACATAGTTAGTTTCCATTGCTAAAGTTATTCCTCTATTAAAATCTTTTACAGCTTGTAGTCCTGACAACATTCTTTTCAAAGTTTTACAAAAATGCCCTCCAGAACTCTCTTTAATACACTCTAAACTATTTAACAATTGTTTAACTAAACCTTGTTTTCCTGAACAAGGGATCATAGCTTGCCTAGGCAGTGACCCTAGTAATATTTTTAGAAACGAGTAAGAGATACAACCTTATGATAATGGGGCATCACCATAAGGTTACATTTCTTACACTGAAAAAAATGCATTTTCTCACTATTTCTAAAAGAGAAAGGAAATCATTAGAAGAAGCAATCCAAATATAATGTCAATATTCTATACAAGGACAGATAAGAGATTTATAGAGGTAGAGAATGGAAACAGAAATTAAAAAATGGTGATTGCAATAAAGAGAGGCTTTAAATCTTTAACTTTTTAAGGAAAGTGCTGTCCATTAAGTAAAAAAGCAATAGTCCTACCTATTCTGCCGACCAAAACACAATCTTGCATGACTTTTTGTTTAGCTAAACTGCATCATTTTACTTTAACTGTTTTTCATACTCTAAAAATGTTTATCCATCTAGTTGTTTCCCTCAATATCAATTTCAGAATTCTCTCCAATCTTCATGTTTTTGTGAATCAAACAATTTAATTAAAATTTCCTGTCCACTGATTTCTTTCTTTTTAACTCTCTTCTTTACATTCTAGTAACTTACTAGTTCTTACTTACTTAACTTAACCTTCTAGTAATTTTCTATCAAATTAAATAGTGGAGGTTTGAAGCAATCTCAAGCTTTTTCTCCTTTATAAAGTGCTAATTCAAAAAACGCAACATTTTAAAATTTTTACTTATGTTTCTTAACCCTGCCCATAACAAATCACTACAGTTAATTGCTATGATTGCTATGGTTCATTTTGCTATGGTTAATAGCAGATTTGATCTTTCTGAACTTCTTAATAAAGAGTAAGTTTTTCTTTTGCATTTGCATCTTGTTTACTATATTTGGTTTACCAATAAATAGAACCTGCTACATTATTCATGACTATAACTAAATAATATGGTATATGAAATAGTAAACAAATCTAAATAATGGAAATACCTTCATAAGAATCATAGTTGGTATTTTGAAAATCCATTCCATCATAAATTTGTTGATCATCATAAGTAAGTTCTTCTCCTTCAATATCAACATATTCATCTTCATCGGCTGCAGTAACCACTGTAAAAAGTCATGTTTAAGTAAATAAATAAAAAGCATTTTGTTTCATTTTTTAAGATCTGAAACAAATTTAATTTAATCTTATTTTTTATTTAACAATACTTTTATTGTTCTGAATTGTTACCCTGCTTTGTGTCAACACTTTCAGCTAATTTGCGCAATGGATCTACATAACCAGATATTGAGGTTTCATCATCATTTGCTTCAGAGACACTTGGAAGATTAAAATCTTCTGGTTGTTGCATAATTGCAATTTCTAACTGCGATAACTTTTGACTGTTCTATTAATTTAATATAAAAATTGTACATATATATGTATATATATATATATATATATATATACATTTTAATTTTTTCATTTGATTTTTGATAAAACGCAACAATCTTCAAAGAGATTTTAAACAGATTAAAATTTTTTTTTGACATTTACCTGACTAATAAGTTGTTTACATTTGTTATTTAACTTTAATGCAGTCTTTGTAAATGTGTGCTCCATTCCTAATGAAATATTAAAAAATGAATACATCTTACATTTGATAAAAAAAATTGAATTTTGATAATACTTACCATTATAAGTAAGACTGTTGGAATATAGTAAATTTATATCTGCCATAAAACTTTCTCGTGTTTGATAAAAATGCTCTTGGCAACGCTAAATAAATTTAAAAAACAATTTGCATCAAGCAAAGTAAAATCTTTAAATAAAAAAAACAACAAAAACAAAAAAAAAAAAAAAAAAAACAAGAAATGAAAATTTTAATAAATAAAGATAATTATAAAAAGAGATTATTGCAAAAGTATAACATAGATACACATATCTTAAACTGCTGGTTACACATATCTTAAACTGCTGGTTTTTAAATAATTTTTTTCAATCTTACACTGTGTTTTATCTATAAAGATTTATAAGAAACCTAATTTTGATGAGTTTTTATAGCTAAAACTATAAACTTATAGCTATAGTTAATTTTCTACTAATATATATGCATATATATTAAAAGAATATATGTACATATATATTTTTTTTCTAACTATTTGTCAGTTGATGTAACTATTGTATGCGTGTGTGTGTATGTGTATGCGTTTATATATAAACATATAAAATTGTAAATATAGTTGTTATATTACCTGTTTTATTGTTTCCATGTCAATAGGAGTTTGTATAACATCATAATAATCTGGAACAACTTTCACTGGAACAGGTTGGTGAAAAGGCCATGACTTAGAAGAAAAAATTATCAAAAAAGTTGATAAACTCAATGTAGTTTAAAAGATAATTTTAACTAATTTAAAAAAATATTTTTCAAATAAATTGTAAAGTACAAAGACTTTATTAAAAAGGTGCAAGCTTTTATTATAAAGTATTTTAAAATTTTTTTAAAATAAGTTATTTTTATTATATACTTGAAGTATTTCTTGTTATAATTGAAATCAAATTAATAATAAAAAATGATTAAAGAGAAGGTAGTTAATGAAAAAAAAGTAGTCTCTCAAGGGGCCACTACAGTAAAGTCTCCTTTACTGTAGTGGCCTCTTGGCCTTGGGGAGGTGAATAATGATTAACTAAAAAAACGAAAAAAAAGTTGCCTTAGATGAAGGTTTTAGATGAAGGTTCAAAAAAAAAAAAAAAAAAGGAAAACATAAGCAATATTTAAAAATTAGTATTAAAATACAAGAAAATTAATAAATATAAAATAATTTTGATAGCACAAAACATGACAAAAAAAAGTCATACTCTAGTGTTCAGTGTTTTGCAACACTAGATGTATGTTTTTCTCTATCTACGACTATAAAGATGACGATAATAAAAATCTATTAGATTAAAAATATATATTACAAATAATATCGAATAACGATTTATCATTATTTCAAAGAAGAAATCATTTCTAAGGTTTACATGATTAGTTAACATACCTCTGGTAGAGCTTTAAGCTGCGAAAGAATAGTCTCAAAGATCCAAGAGATTCCGACCTTAAAAAGAAAACAGTAAATTATAGTTTTATACATAATCTACTTTTAGATTATAATATTTTCTATTAGTTTTATATTAATTTCTAAAATAACCTGAGGATCATCATCTAAAAGAGGATTTATTTCACGCTCTATTTGAGCCAGTTCTTTCTCATTCTAAAAAAATTTGTATAATTGTTCAAAACTAATTTAGTTACCAGGTGAAGGAAATGCAATTATTTTAAAACATTTAACATTTGCATACAGCTTTTATTTCTTCATTAGCAAGATTAACCATGTTCTCAGCAACCTTTGTTAATGGGTGGTGCAAACCTTTAAGTAAAATAATTATATATTGAAGGAAATATTGAAAAAAATGAAATAAAGTTTTTACTCATGTGTTTACCATTATATAGAATACAGTTTGAATGAATGATAGTGACATCTTGAAGGAAGGCATCACGTGTTCGGTACCCATTTTTCTTAATATTCTGCAAAAAAAAAATTTTTTTGAATATTATTTGAACTTGTAAAAATTAAAAAAAAAAAACTAAAGAAATAAAAACCTCTCTGATAGTTTGTAAATCCATTGGATTTTTTACAACATTATGATAATCAGGTACAATTTTTGGCAAAACAGGAGCATGAAAAGGCCAGCTCTATAATCAAATAATTATAAATTAAGATCATGTTTGTTGTAATGGAGATCACAAACAATGTTTGCTTTGTAAATAAATGATAAAAAAGTTTAGCTTTTATTTTGACAAGAAAGCTTTTTTTTAAACCAAAACCATTAAAAAAAAAGAAAATAAGAATTCAGATAAAATCAATTTGTCAGTTTAGTCAAGCTATAATCATCTTTACCAGTTGTTTATTCAAGTCAAGACAAAATATCAACTAAGTTTATATATATAAAAAAAAACAATTTTTTAAATGATTGATTATTGATACAACTTTAATAACCATACACAAACTATAAAAAACATAGAACAAAGATAATTATCCATATGTCATGTTGCAATTTCCCATTATTATTTTTGCGCTCTTAAAGTAAAAAAGTTGCTTTAATTTTTCAAATAAAGAAGAAAAAAAAACGAAGAATAGCGAAAGAAAAGATTGCTGTCCCATGCCAAACCCTCAGTCAGTGTAGCAGCACTTTGTTGCGAGTCAGGCAGGTCATTTGATAGTCGATGTATGTACTGAAGCCCCTGCAACTTCCTGTTTTTTTATAACTTTATCTAATGCTGCATTTATGTGTGTGTGTGTGTGTGTGTGTGTGTGTCTATATATATATATATATATATATATATATATATATATATATATATATATATATATATATATATATATATATATATATATATATATATATATATATATATATATATATATATATATATATATATATATATATATATATATATACATACGCATCTAAATACAATGCTTTAAAACTAATGTTACAAAAATATACTAAGATAATTCCATTAAAAAAAATTCAATCAAAATCCTCAGAACACAAATTGTCAAAAAAAATTGTCAAAAAAAACTTACGTCTGGAATTTCCTTCAGCTTTGCTGCTATCTGCTCCAAAACAAGGCTAAGAGCAACCTGTTAAAAACTTTTATTGGTTAAAAAAGTCTCAATACACAAAAATTAGAAATCTTTTAGCACTAGTAAAGAAAAAAACTTACAACAGGATTTGTTCGCCGTCTGTTCTTACTTTTGTGGTGTCTCTATTTAGATAAATTATATACTTTTCTAATAATCATTTGAATATACAATGAAAATTTTTTCTGAATTATAACCAAATTTAGGATATGAAAACACATAAAAAAAATTAGAGATCTGTTGTTGAAGCAAGCAATATACCTTCAAGTAATCTGCATTGGTTTGTGTACTTGTAGTTGGGCGGCGCTTTTTCTTTGGTGGAGGTGGTGGTGGATGAGGTATTACTAAAAATATTTTTTCTAATATTAAAAGGAAGTAAACAATTTATTGAACTTCATTTAGTGAACTCTCAATGATGAAAAAATATTAATGATGAATGTATTTTAATGATGAATAAATAAACTCTAAATGATTTAAATCTTTTTTATACTAAAACTAATTAAATATTAAAAAAAAAAAAAAGTAAACCATAAAACTATGACTACTTTATAAATATGATTGTGGTCTAGTAGTTCCGGTCTAGTGTTTTATATATTGTAAAAAAAAGGTATCAAGTTCAATCTCCTGTATCTCCATCTCCATCATACTAGCCCCATCATACTATCTCCATCTCCATCATACTAGCCCCTGCTAGTATGATGTTTTAAGGTTGAGAGTGGGTTGTAACAATAATAAAAAAAAAATTACATCAAAATATTTTTATTTAGACTTGTTATATTGTAATAATACTGAAGGTCTTGTCAAGATGCCAACCAGTGGAGATCGTTTTTTAATACATCAAAGCACAGTAAGAAAGCAGTTCTTTTATTTAATGGAAACACAGTATCATCACTTCCAGTTAGCAGGGCAGACCCTGAACATTATGCCAAGAAAGTGTGGCCACCAAGTGAAGAACTAAAAAATTAGTATTAATTTACAGCCTTTGATAGAAGCACATCCTTTTACCACACCATATAAAATTGGGGTTAATAAAACTTTTTGCCAAGAGTATTGACCATACTGGCTCTGGATTTCTATATTTGCCAAACAAATTTCCACATATAAGTGAAACAAAGTTGACTGTAGGATCAAATAAGATATTTGGACCGCTGAATTTATATCTAAATTGGCCACAGTTGAAAGCCTGCAATGCTTTCAAAAATATTGTCAAAAATTTAGGTAACTTTAAGTCACACAGTTACAAAAGTCATGTTAAGAACTTGATAGCCAAATTTCAGGCTTTGAGTTGTCGCACAAGTGTCAAAATGCATATTTTGAACTACCATATTGACTACTTTACTGTAAATCTTGGCACAACCAGTGAAGAGCAGGGTGAAAGGTTGCATCAGGACATTTGTGCAATGGAGAATTGATACCAAGGTCTATGGAATGTGAATATGATAGCTGCTGGTCATCGAAGGGTCATAATTCTGCTGCTACTAAACAAAAATCACTAAAAAAGACAATTTCTAGAATGATAGATACTTAACAAATGTCTACTTTTATATTGAGCTTTGGTTAGTAATTTTGTAACTTCCAATAGTGTTATGCATGATTGAGGTTTATTATCAATTGTATATTTTGTTGCTGGTTTATTGACTTTTTCCTATATTATTTAATGTCGAACTGCAAAAAATTTTGACGCGATACAAAAAATTTGATTACATATTTGGAATCAGCATGAAAAGTTGTGAAAGAAACACCTATTTACATGTCTGTAGTTTTCACAAAATACAAATGTCTATATCAGTGTAATGAAAGGCAACTGTTCCATATTAAATATAATTGAAACAAAAATTCACTTAAATTGATAGCAAAAAATGTTGACAAGAAAAAGTCACAAATTCACATTAGTTTTATATAAAAACATCTCCCCTAAAAAATACTAACTGGAAAAAAATGTTGAGAAGTGAAACACTTGTTCTGACCTAAAATCCTTTGGATTTCACAAGCTGAGACGATGAAAGTAGAAAATAAAAAAATTGATGGAAAATGTAAAGAGGCTCTAAAACAAAACAAAAAAACTTAGCTGAAAATAGCAGGACTAATCTTGATGATGACCAATATGTCAAAACTAAGTTTTAAATGATATTTAAAACAATAAAAATAAATCAACTTAACCAACAACAGAATTAAACAGTTAAAAATTATATGATGATTATTTTTAAAACTTTTATATAATTTTGCTTTATTTGAGACCCAACAGGACATAATTTAAAAAAAAACTTTTTTCTCTATAATATTAGGGAACCATTTAATGTTTAGCAATCCCTATAAATATTTTTTGTTCAAAAATATCTAGCAAGTCTTCCCAGGAAATGCGTGTGGTTTTTTGTTTCGTATGTTGTACCAACGAGAGTGGTTGTTATTTTCAGCAACAAAGTTCAATAAGTCAAACCAACAGTTTTAAACATTAATATTTTTAAGTCAAAACAACAGTTTTAAACCAATATTTTTTTGTTTTTAAAGAGAAAAGTGAAAATATAAACTGCCATCTGTTTATAAAATATATTTATATAATTTTAATGTGACAAATATATATTGTCCCTATAAGAAAACATCTGTGTATACTTTTAAAACGTGTATATGAATAACTTTTGTATTATATAACTATAGTTGTACCTAAATAGATGCACGTTTAACTTATTTGGATAAGTCGTAAACTTCATACACGAAATGTCCATGGTTTGATTCCTGCAACTGTCCAATTTTTTATTTTAAAATACTGCTGGTCACATGTTTGCTTTGTAACCATTTATCTTTTCTTATTTGTATATAAACAATTTTTTTGTTGTTCAGATTTTTTATATCATTTTAAGCCTTTCAGTGTATTTTTTAAGTTAGGAGCATATATACATAGTTTTTAAGCTTCAAAAAGGCAGTCTATACATAGCCTTAAATGTTTCATAATTACCTTTGTTTTCCTTTAAGTTTTTTATCCCTAATGTAAATCATTAGGGACACATTTCTTTTTAACATTCGGCGGTATGTGTGTGTAAAAAAATCAAAAAAAAAATTTAGGAAGAGGTGTGTCTCAAACCACAGACATTCCGTTTACGAAGTCAATACCTCATCCAAATAAGCTAAATGCGCGTATAAATAGGAACAAATATAGTTATATAATACAAAAAGTTATACATAAAAGTATATGCATGCATTGCATAGATGTTTTATAGGGACAATATATACTTGTTACATTAAAATTATACAAATATATTTTACAAACACATTGCAATTTATATTTTCGCTTTCCTCTTTAAAAAAAATAAAAAATAAAGGAAAACAATTATTTTTAATGTAGACATAAAACTGTTTTTTTTTTTTTTTTTTTTTTGCATTGCCTTATTTTATTTTGTTACTGAAAATAACAACTACTCTAAAGAAACAAAATAAAACAGTACACAAATTATTTAAATGATTAATTCTTATTTTTTTTATATATAAATTTATTTTTATTTTCTATTTTGTTAGTTTAGCTTTTTTTGTTTTTGAAACTTAATTTGTTCTGCAATGATTAATATTAAAAAACTTGAAAAATTAAATGGCCGTGAACAAGTTGTCTAAAATAAAATACTCATGTGTGGTCATACAAAACAAAAAGCCGCACACGACTCCTGGTAAGGCTTGTCTAGTGTTATTTTATTATATAAAACTAATTAATGGGGTGACAGCAGACATTTTTTAACTATGAACATACATAACTGAAATGGATGTACACAAATCCAAAAAAAATTTCAATAGTATTATTTTAGTCAAAGTCATACTTAATATTATGTTTTGAATTTTCAACAATAAAAAAAAAACAAGTAACAAGAGTATTCCAGAATTTTTACGGAGGAAGCAAGAAGCAGTAAATATACAGATAGAGATGTCTGGATGCATGACCAATTCATTACCGGTTTAAACAACGTTACATTCAAATCTCACATCTAAGGTGGCATTGTTCGCTGATAATATTACCATTCATTATTGTCTTGATAAGAAGCCAACACTCTCTGATTGCATGGATGGGGAATTTGAGCTTAAAAAGGATCTCACTTCTGCTACAGGATGGGGCTCTCAGTGGCTGGTGAACTTTAACTCAGATAAAACTAAATTTTTTTCAGCTAATCGTTATCGCAATAATCTAGAGAATTTCATTTATGAATGAAAATGTACTGGATGAGTCATAATGAGCTAATTGTTATCACAATAATCTAGATCTTCCTACATTCATGAATAATAATGTACTCAATGAGTCATCTACCATTCATCTTTTAGGATTAACTCTTACTTCCGATCTTGAAAATCATATATTAAATCGATTGCAAAATTAGCATAGGTTGCAAAATTAGCTAAGGTTGCATCTATTTATTGTTCTCGCCAATTTCTTATTCTGGGTTCTATTTTTTATTTCTACAAATCTCAAATCTGCCCTACATAGTTGGACCTGCTCTTGCAGCCAACTTTCAACCATTATCACATCCTCGTAATGTTGCTTCTCTTTCTTTTTTCTATAAATACTATAATGGACACTACTCTAATGAGCTAGCATCTCTTATGCCATCTACTAAAATTAATTCTTGTATTATTCAGTATTCAATTAAGTCTAATCATTTTACAGTGACTGTTCCTAAGTGCTCTAAAAACTCTTATTTGTCTAGTTTTTTTCCTTGAACATTTTTCCTTGAACATTTTCTTTGAAACTTCTTTCATCTTGTTTTCCAGATTCATATAATTTGCAATCTTTTAAGTCGTCTGTCAACTGCTATCTTTCTCTATAAACTTCATCATTTTATTTCCAGTAACTTCTAACTCTGATAGTGGTTGCTTGCAGCCTTGTTGGAAGGGAAGATATTATAAAAACACACACAAAAAAACAACTCTTTTGCTGAAACCTGAAGACTGCTTCAAGAGACCTGAAGACTGCTTCAAGTAATTACAAAGGAAAAGGAAGAGTTTGGAAATAAAGACATCTCCTTGGAAATAAAGTATTCTCCTGGAAACAGTGTTGCCTTCATTAAAAATGAAAATAAACGGATGCTCTGAAAAGCATTAATTGATTCTGGATGCTCCATCACAGTGGTTCATGCTGAACCCACACATGGTTTTGTTTCTAAAAATTGTTTGATCACAACTTTGGGAGGAACTGTGCAAGTACTAAGTAAAATGGAAATTGATCGAATGCAATGGATGGTTCTTTAATTGTAAAAAAAAAAAACCATTTGATTTTGATTTGATTTTTGGAATGGATGTGATTGAAAAATTTGGGATTTTCAACTATAAATAAAATGATAAAAACTGTAGGAATGTAAGCATGTAATACAGTAAAATGTGATGCTATTACTACAAAAAGAAATAAAGAGAAATAAATAAAATAAAATATGGTACCATTACAAAAAGAAAAAATGAAAATGAAATAAAATGTGAGGCAGTTACAAGAACTAAAAAGAAAAAAATTAATAAATTAAAACATCAGGACTTCACAGAAATATTTAACAGGAATATAAATATATAAATAAAAAATATGTATAATTAGAATGATATAATTAGAATGGCGCAAGGAAACATTAATGTTCAAAGTACTTGTAAATTTCAAATTAAGCAGTTTTGAAACATGATTTTTAGACTTTTCAAAAATGTAACTATATTGAATTTATATTTAAATAAAGATGGAATAAAGAGCCTATAATTATTAATACCATTTGCAAATACACAATGAACTAAGAGCATGAACATAGTTACCGGAAATAAATAAATGAATGGATCAACTCTAGCATTCTTGTACCGTATAATATATATTGTACCATATAATACATATAACTAGTATTTGAGTCAGTTTATCTTTTAATGGACAACAAATTTCAATCCAATACGTTTACAAGTTTTGCTGAAGAATGGTATGCTAAATTGGAATATTGAGCAGCCTATCAAGCTCAAGACAACAGTATACTTAAATGTATACACAGAATGATTAAAAGAATAGCCCCCCGCTCACATTGTTTGATAGGTATGGCAGTTTTGCTGTACAATGAGATTACAATATTATCTGACTCCATCTCAGTCCATCTCAGCAATTAGAAAGAAATCTTTTTTTATTCCAGGTGTCGATACACAGAGGAAAGAAGATGAGAACGATATAAACAAGAAATTAAATCAAAAAGGGTTTAATTGTTTAGATAAAACCAGTTTAAGAAAAAAAAAAAAACCTTTCAGAACTCATATGAATCGCTCAAAAATGTTCTTTATAAACCAAAAGATAATACTGAAAATGCTAAAGTATAAAGATATAACAACAATGTCTTTCAATTTTATTAGTAATTCTCAAACATAACAAACAGCAAGTAGTGCGCTTTCGATGAGTAGTAAGACCCCACAAAGATTAGACTTGTTAATTCACTAAGTTAATTCACTAAGAGGGCATGTTCTATTGTAATGTTAGATGTCACATAGATAAACATGTTAAAAGTCATGCATTAATTTAGCATTATTAACTCATTGTTAGACATTCAAATCACTCCAATTTTCGTTGTTTAAGTCATATCTCAATTAAGCTCTTCTATGGCTTGTGGTCCAGACAATATTTCTGTCATAGTCTTACAAAATTGTTCTTGAATTCTCTCTATTTAAAGAATTTAAAAAGAGCTTGACTGAGTCATGTTTTTCTGCTTGCTAGAAAATGGCATCTGTTGTTCAAATTTTCAAAAACTCTGGAGAATATTCTGACTGCCATAATTATCGTCCGATCAGTCTTCTTTCTGACTTTTTATGAAAATCATATATACAATCATTCATATATACATCTCTTCTAGACAAGGTGCTGAACTTGAGCCTCTTTCCTATCGTCGTAAAGTTGTATCTCTTTCTCTTTTCTACAAATGCTATCATGGTCGCTGTCCAAAGGAGCTATCATCCCTAGTTCCATCAACTAAAACTCATTTTCGCTTGCCTCTTCATTTAGCAAAGTCTCATTCTTTTACTGAATCTTCCTTGCATGCTCTAAAAACTTTAATTCATCTAGTTTTTTTACCCGTACTTCAAACCTTTGGAACTCTCTCCTATCTTCATATTTTTCTAAAATTTATAAAATTGTAAAATTTTTATACAACTTTTGTATTCTTTTTTTTTAAAGTCGTCGTTGAAAAAAACAACTTTTGTATATTTTTTTTTTTTAAAGTCGTTGTTGAAAAAAATATCTTTTATAACGATTTAACAACAATTGAAAGTTTTGATATGCAATTTATTCATGTTTTTTATCAGTTGATAAAATTAAGAAACTAATTTTCTATGTACACTAGAACTATAAGAAATTTTGTTCATTTTTTTTCTTACGTTTATTCGTTTATATACATTTATTCGTTTTTACATCTTTTCGCTTTTAAAAAAGTTTTTGCTTCATTTGACATTTTTTCTCAATACTCATAATAGGAAAATAAGAAAATAAATTGTTATTTATTTACAAAAAATATTATTAGATTAATAAATTTTGTTAATGACAGAATAAATTAAATAAAAGAATAACATAGTTTTTTTAATTAATGTATTTACTGCATTTAATGCATGTATAAAATTGTTTCTTTTATATTGCCCGATTTCCAATGTTAGTACATATTACTAGAGATAATGAACATAATGATTGTTCTGTTTAAAAAAGTGTACTTAAAAAGTTAAAAGTTTAAAATAGTCTCCTAAAATTTTTGTTGAGAAAGTACAGTAAATTAACAATACACTAGCCCACAAAATTTTGCAGCATTGTTTTGTTTTTTTTACAGGAAAATTTTGTTAAAAATAAATAAAAATTTTCACAAATAAATAGCAATTAGTTTTCTTGCTTTCCTGTCTATTGATAAAAACAGTAAAGTTTAGCAAAGACGATTGAAAAACAAATTTAAAAACTGTTCGTGTTTCTAGCACAATTTATAAAGTATTTCCTTTATATACTGACTGAAAAAAGTTGAGAAAAAAGTTATATCAAAAAATATTTTTATTTTTGTTATATTCTTATCTATATTTTTCTCGACTAGTATCAATTTTGGTAGTGGAAAATAACAAACACTCTAAAAATAAGAAAACAAAAACAGTAAATATTTAGGCATATTATTTTTCTGACAACAATTTTCATTTTTTTATTAATAATTTTTTTTTTAGCTTATTTTATTTAAATTTTCTATTTTGTATTGTCTTTGATTCTTTTCTTTAAGTATTGCTGATTTATTCTCTAGCTTCTTACAGCTTTATTTTGTTGCAAATTCTTAAAATGTTTACTATATAAAAACGTGGTCAAGTTATCTTAAAAAATTACTTTGGGCGTGGATATACAAGGCATGCGACCGCACATGCTTCCTGGGGAGGTTTGACAATTGCGTTTTATTTAGCATAAGTTATGGTTTAAATGCATTTAAAAATTTATTAATATTAAAATAAATAAACAAATGTTTAACTAAATTAAAAATTTTTAATAATATATTCACTATACTTAAACCCTTATAATAATAAAGATTTTATATTTTATAAAAAAATAAAATGCCTTATCAAACCTTTTACATTTTTCCAATCTATGATTTTATCAACAATTGAAATAAAAAAAAATTTTTTTAAAGAAAATTTATATCTAAGCAGCATTACTGGTATTTTAACTTAAAAAGGCACACCATAACATTATATTTATGAGCACACATAGCTGTGTATATTCTAATGTATATATTATAATATTTAATTCAATATAATTTAATTCAAACTCATAACAAAACAAACATTAAAAATAATTTATTACAAATAATAACCACTTTTATTTAATGTAAATTAACTTATAATGTAAAAAAAAAAAGTTACCATTTTCCTTTGGAATACGAATTGTTAACGCTTTTCTCTTCATGTCTTGATGTCTAAATAACAATGTTTATAAAGTTTAATTATGTCTAGGACAAGTTTAAAACAACACAGTTTTTATGTATTTATAATATCAAACCTCAATTTAGAAACAAGTATTTAACATTAAAATAGAATATTTTTTCATAAAATCATAGTTCAAGGAAAATCCTAATGAAAAAAGAAAATTTATGCAATTCTATAAATAACCAATACAACCTTAATACAGATATACTATTAAAAATAATGTATGTTATTTAGCTGCATATAACAGGAAAAGATTTTGAGCTTTAGTTTCCAAAGTTATGTAAAAATCTGAAGAAAATGCAAAATTTATTAAATTTATTTCCTTGCCTTACTTATGTAATATGACAAGACAACATCTATAAAAATTTTGTTATAAATTTTGCCATTTTCAAAACCAACTTATTTAAAACTATAAACAACTCACAGATACTTTAATGGGTTAATACATGACACTGTCAAACACCAACAGGGTGCTTAACCAACTGTGCTTTAACTGTATATAACTATTATAATGCAACTTCTCTAATTTACACAAAATTCATTAATAATATTTTTTATATATTCAAAGTTCCTATAGAAATTTTCGATTTTTTTTAAAGCATACACGAATGGCATACATCTTACGATTAAATTCACATTAAACCAATCACACACATTAACCAATCATACACATCAGCTGACTTAAAATATGCAGTATGCTATGTATTTAATGACACTCACAGCAAAGTAAACATCTAGTATTGGTTTTTGGTTAGAAGTGCTGCATTTTTGTCTATTTCATTTAACTAATGTCAGCATATATTTATACTAATAATTACTATATATTAGTATAAATTTGTAGTATAAGTGGATTATACTCCTTTAATGTGTACCTGAACAGATTCCTAATTTGTAAATTATTTTTAATTGTGCAAAAAAGTATAACTTACAAATTATAAACAAGACTTTAAAAATTTCAAAAACAACTTACGCTTCAATTAATGCTTTGCCAAGTGTAATTTTTGTTCCTTCAACTTTGATAAGATCATCTTGAGAAATACTTGACATTTCCTCTGAATTCAAATCATCATCACTCAAACTGACATTTTCAGACGAGATCTCTGAATATTTGGGACACATTTTGTTTGTTTTCATATGTCCAACTCCTCCACAAGCACCACATTTTAACTGTGAAATAATAATAATAATAATATAAAAAAAAGCTTACAAAATACTAAAATAAAAGATGTCAAAATATCTATAATAATAACATTGTCAAATATCTATAATATCTGTAGGTTTGTCACACAAACCATCTAATTTATTGTAGAAATACTCACACTTTTTGTAGGCTTGTCACACAAGGCATCTAATTTAGCCTGGTCTTCAGCGGTTGGCTGTATTGTAATACCACCATCTTCAGTGATTTGCTGCTGCAACTGTCGCAGTCGTTCACGCTCTTCATTTCTTTTAATGCGGCGTAGCTGTTCTTGAATTCTAAAATAAATATATTTTTTTAAAACTAATAAAACTTTAGTGCAAATTATCGAAAAAAGCAAAACATCACAACTTGATGTTTTGCTTTGGTAGAGGTGAGTTTTATCGTATTTATGTGTGTAAAAAAGGCTTTAAGATAATTAACATTGGTAAAAAAATAAACTTTAGGATCAAATTTCATTTTTTTTTGTTTTTTACTTGGTATTTTATGAGTTATTGCTAAAATAAGTGCATCATACAAACCCATGTCACGCTATTATAATATATTATAATACAAAAAAAATTTTTTTTTTTCCTTTTTGAAATATAAATGCCATAAATTTTTGTTTTCTTGATTTAAGCCAAATTAATCTGTATCATAGTTCATTATTCAAATACAGAAAAATATATTTAAGTATTAGTAAATATGTATAAATATATATAAATAAATATGTATAAATATATATGTATAGTATTAGCAAAGTAATAAAGACTATTACTAAAATTGTTAGTAAAACATAAACATTGTAACATTGTATGATTAAAGTAAAAGTGTCTATTTTAAGAATAGCAAAAAATTATCTTGTAGTATTTTTTACCAAATGTTGGTTCATACAACATTTGGTAAAAAATAGAGAATATTTTCTCAGAAAGATCAACCACTGATAAAAGTCCCCCAATACTCTCGCATATTTTCAGATTTAAAATTATAAATCATTGGAAACAAATTTGTTTAATATTCCTATAAAACTAAAGATTGCATAGTATTTAAAATTTGAATTTAGGTGCAAACATTTTATATTTATACTGTTAATCAAAAGTTTTATTAAAGAATTATACCTTCTTCGTTCCCTTCGCATGTCTTCCTTATGTTTCTCATCTTGACTGGCAAACACTTCCCTTTAAAAAAACAAATATATTAAATCAAACTCTACCCTTTAAAAAAAAAACATTAAATCAAACACTTCCCTTAAAAAAAAACATTAAATCGGTCATCAGGTTTAAGTATAACTTTAAAAGATTTTAAATTATTTAATTAAAAAAGGTATAAGAGAGCTATAACACAATGAAAATTATTTTTAATGATAAATTGTATTAAATTCATAGCAACCTGTAATTTTTCTCTCTAGTAACAATACGGAGGTAGGAATCTATAACAAACTGATTTTTAACAGTTTCTGATCGACTAAACTCTCTGCCACCTTCTCTAAATGTTCTATGAATTATTAAACGCCTTCCTGCCTAAATCAAATTTTTACAATAAAAAAATATGTATATAAATATTTTGCTATTCAAAATGCAATTAAAAGTGTAATAAATCAAAAAAAAAAAAAAAAAAAAATGAATCCTACATGATGCTCTAAAGATATTGGTTCTTCACATTTTTCAGAAAAATCTAAAGAATAGCAAGTGAATGACTTTTATTAAATTAATAAAGAGATGTAACTGACATATCAATAACAATAATATAATCATTTATTAAAAACTATAAAAATAATATAATCAGTTATTAAAAATAATAAAAATAATGTAATTAAGGAATACAACAGATGTATTACTTGCAGATAAAGATCTGGTAATATTTGAAGAAGCAGATGCAGGTCTACTTAAATCTTTCTCTCCTTTTTCCTGATTAAGCAATTTTTGAAGTTCAAGTCTTTCAACTTCTTCGTGCTCCTAGGAAAGTATTAAAACATTTGCTTATTTAAATTAACAAAATATTTTATTAAAACTGAATTAGATTTTTTCTTTATGTAGTAAATGAAAATGATTACTTTTTAACTTTTTTTTTTATGTTTCTTTAAAAAAAAGTTTTTGTTTTTACTGTATTATGTTTACTGTAGTTATATTATACATATGGGCAATTCCACGGCAGAAAATGAAAAAGTAGTCAAATTGTATAACATAAGTTAAGTGGCATTTTTAGTAATAAGTTTGCCCTTTTTTGGCCAGACTCAAAACTTTCAAGTCTATTTTATTCTCTAGACTAAAAGCTTTCATGCAAAATAGCTGAAAGTTTAATTTACAGTTTAAATAGGCAAATATTTGATAAAGTTGTTGCGCATGTTACATTAGTTAAAAATGCCCATAATTATTATTATTATTATTATTATTATTATTATTATTATTATTATTATTATTATATATATATATATATATATATATATATATATATATATATATATATATATATATATATATATATATATATGTATATATATATATATATATATATATATATATATATATATATATATATATATATATATATATATATATATATATATATATATATATAATAAAATAAATATGGGCATTTTTAACTTATGTAACATGCGCAACAACTTTATCAAATATTTGCCTATTTAAACTGTAAATTAAACTTTCAGCTATTTTGTATGAAAGCTTTTAGTGTAAAGAATAGAATAGACTTAAAAGTTTTGAGTCTGGCCAAAAGAGGGCAAACTTATATACATATATAGAAATGCCAAACATTTTCTCCAGTTTCTGTTTATTAATTAAAAAAAGGAAATGGTATCGTGATGATTAAGATGTTTTAACAGCATTCCATTTTCAAAATTTTTTATGTAAAAATGTCAAGAAAATGTTTACCATGTAGAAGATTTTGAAAAAACTAAGAACCAAACTCATATATTTAACTAGCCTTCAATTATATTGAGAATAACTTGAGAAAAACACAATAGGTAAAATGACAAGTTAACAAAATATTCTGAATAATATAATTTTTTTTTTTAAAAGCATTCAGGCAAAACAAGAAAAGACTTTTGCCAAAGAATACCAATTTTTGAAAAAAAAAATTAAACAACAAAAAAGTAAATTTTAACTTTAAGGTACTATTCTTATCTTAACTTTTTGATTTTTAGTTTATTCAAAATCTACTAAAAATATCGAAATTTACTTTTTTGTAAAAATATACATTAAGTTTGTCAATTCTAACTAACCTCAGATGAAATTTTCTTGTTTGATAACATACTTTCAAGATCTTTTCCAAGATCTTCCATATCACTTTCTTCATCACCACTGCTTTCTTCATCTGTTGATAATATAGCATCAGATGACAACACCCTAAAAGTTGCATAAATTTAAACACCCTGTAAACAACATGTTTAACTTATGTCAAATAAAAATTGATACAATAATAAAATCTAATCATTGCCCACTAGTTAACATATCGGTTAATTAATTTTTTTTTTAAATAATTGACTCTTTTACTCAAAGGTATAAATCTTTGAGTACCAATATAAATTTTTTAAAGAAATTAGTTTTATCAACAATAAAAATTAAAAAACAAAAAACCAAATATCTGCACTAAATACACAGAAACTTCTGTAAACTTTGTAACCTTTGACTGTAACCTTTTTTTTCCATAAAGTTCCCATCTGTTTAGGGGTCATTTGCAAATTATGTCATACAAATAAACAACTTTTTAAACCCCCCCTCCTTTGTCACAAAATATATATTATAAGTAATGCTTCTTGTCACAGCTTGTCATAAAATGTATGACCCCCCCTCCTAAAAGCGTGATGTAATTTGCAAACAACCCCTTAAGATTTACATGAAGGAACTTAAAGTTTGTTTTATTTTGACTGAAAAATGTGTGTGTGTGTGTGTGTGTGTATGTGTGTGTGTGTGGGTGGAATGATTTCTGGAAACGGTTTTTGTTTACAATTACCCTTATAAAGTACTTGTAGTAATGCTGTGATGCTGAAGTTTAGTACCAAAGAAGTTTAAAACTTGCTGTACTCAAAAATTATAGCTTTGTATCTTTCAAAATAAGATAATATATATTATCTTTTATTATCATTAATAAGTGCAAGTTACACGGTTTAGCATCTATAACTTGCACTTATTAATGATAATAAAAATAATAAATGATAAAAAAAAGTATTGACAACTGCAGCAATAGGAAAAATCTGACAGATTAAAAAAAAAAAGATTGTTAAAGATTTGATGTATATGTACTTTGATTTGATGTATATCTACTTTGATTTGATGTATATCTACTTTAATTTGATGTATATCTACTTTGATTTGATAAAGAGTTATTTGATGCTTTGATTTGACACAAACTTTTGTGATGTTAAAAATCAGACACTTAATCTATCACCACATTTCAATCAAATTAGAAAGTAACAATTAAGATAATTTATTATTTCTTACTTTCATAAATTATTTACAATAAAATTGAAAAGTATAAAAAAAAATTGATGAAAAAGAAATACGTAATTTTAGTAATTTTATATGTTTTACATTGACATTATTTACAAGTTCTACAAAAATAATGATTTATAAAAAGTATGCATAAGATATACCAGACTCAGCAAACTTAAATCAGCTAAAATACAAAAATATTTCCTGAAAAACTTGACCAAAAATAAATTGACGAACTGAACTGTTTTATCAAGAAAAGTTTTCCTTATTAAATTTTAGGCATGGCTCAAATACTTTTTTCTAATGCTAACTTACATGCAGTTAGAGCTACATAGTTATTTTACATGCAATGTTCCAGAAACTTTTTTTATTAACCAGTCAGCTGGAATAAGAATCATTAGCTGTATTTTTTTTAGATTTCGTTGCAGACTATTTTAGAGTTAACAATGCTATCTTTTTATCAAAAAAGTTTGCTTTATCCATATACTCATTACAAAAACTTGATTGTTTTTCATAACATTTTTCAGATATGTTAAGGGAAGTGTTCTTTTTTATAAATGTAGGTAGTTGATACTTTTAAATTTTGTTTATGTTTAATCTGATTTTACAAAACTTATCCAATCCTTTACTCTTAATAAATGACACTCCAGTAGCTTGAAAGGTAAATCTACACCCTCTTCATTTTGAGTTGTTAGTTCATTAACAATACCAAAAGTTTTTTTTATTGTCAATAATAGTAGGAACACTTTGTTATTGTCATTACTAGGAACACTTTGTTATTGTCATTAGTAGGAACACTTTGTTATTGTCATTAGTAGGAACACTTTGTTATTGTCATTACTAGGAACACTTTGTTATTGTCATTACTAGGAACACTTTGTTATTGTCATTAGTAGGAACACTTTGTTATTGTCATTAGTAGGAACACTTTGTTATTGTCATTAGTAGAAACACTTTGTTATTGTCATTAGTAGGAACACTTTGTTATTGTCATTAGTAGGAACACTTTGTTATTGTCATTAGTAGAAACACTTTGTTATTGTCATTAGTAGGAACACTTTGTGGAACTTAAATAAACTAATGACATTGTTTTGAGATACAAAACTATATTTTTTAGATTTAAAAGGGTTTAAAACTCTATTTGGTACCAAACTTTAACATTGCAAAATTACTACAACAACCTTGTAGTAAGGTGCAACCACCATGTAAAGGCATTAGTAAAGGGAAACATTTTTGACTATTTCCTAGACACTTAAGGAAATGTAGACACAATAAAATAAAAATGATTATTATATATTAGTACCATGTCGACTTTGATTCATGTTTATATATATATATATATATATATATATATATATATATATATATATATATATATATATATATATATATATATATATATATATATATATATATATATATATATATATATATGTCTAATGTCACACCCAAATAGCCTGCTGCTTAAGGCTTCAATACATACATGTATGTATGTATGTATGTATGTATGTATGTATGTATGTATGTATGTATGTATGTATGTATGTATGTATATATATATTTATAAATATATATACATACATATATACATACATTCATTATACATTAAGTATTGAAGCCTTAAGCAGCATGCTATTTGGGTGTGACATTAGACATGTATGTATAGGTCATTATTACTCATAAGGTTATTATTACTCTTTTTTTTTTCTCATTTTTATATGTTGTAGGGTAAACTGGGGTAAAGTGAACTAGGGGTAAAGTGAACTATTTTTTTAAACTAAAAAGTTATCATGTTTAAAAAACTTTTTGTTAAGTAATTTAGCATTATTTTTGCTTAATACAACATTTTGAAATTTTTTAAATAAAAAAATTAATAAAATATAGCCTTTGTTTTGATGTAATAGCCATTTTAAAAAGCGAGTTTGGCGGAAGTTTTAAAATTACGATCTCAAACTTTGCTATGGGTTTTAGTAAATTCATGATTTGTTGTTATTAATGCGAACATCAGTTATATAATTTATATACATTTTAAAGATAATATAATGCTGTTAAAAAAAAATTGTAGTTTTTATCATAATATAAAAAAGCTAAGCTTTTAGTTTGTAAATCAATTTAGTTCACTTTACCCCTTATTTTTCTGCCTATTGGGGGTAAAGTGAACTAGTCTTTTTCTTATGTTTTTTCATCAAATATTTTTAGTAGAACTGAATATATAAATTGTAATTACTTAACTAAATTGTTTACTCTTAAAATAAGTTGTTTTTTTTTTAAATATTCTTAAAATTATTTTCAGAAATATAATATATTGAAATAATGCCAAGAAACTACATTAAGAAAAAAGAATCTCGAAGAAAAACATATGCACCTAATTTGTTGCAAAATGCCATTTCGAAAGTTAAAAATAAAGAAATGACTTCGTATGCTGCATCAAAAGAATATGGTGTTCCAAGAAGTACAATTGCAAGACATCTTCTAGGCATAAAATGCTCAAAAGTTGGTGAAGGGCGACCAAACCGATTATCTGCTGATGCTGAAAAAGATCTTGTTTCACTTTTATCTGCATTTTCTGATTTTGGATTTGGATTAGATAAAAAACAATTTATGAAACTTGTTCAAACGTATATTGAATTAAACGGATTTCAGAAAAAATTTGTTAATGGTGTTGCTGGTGATCAGTGGTTTTGTAATTTTTTAAATCGTTGGCAGAAAGAAATATCTATAAGAACTCCAGAGCTTTTGACATTAACAAGAGCCTTAGCTTGTAATAAAACTGTAATTGATGCTTGGTTTTTATTACTTAAAGCAACATTGGAAAAATGTGACATTATGAATAGACCTGCCCAAATACTAAACTGCGATGAAAGTGGGTTTTGCACTAACCCAATAAATAAAAAAATTATTTGCAAAAGAGGTATTAAAAACCCTGTATCTATTGCTCCTGGATCAGGAAAAGAACAGTTTACTGTACTAGCAACAATATCAGCTGCAGGAAGAAATTTTCCTCCATTTATTTTATTTGCTGGGAAGAATTTGTATAAAGAGTGGATGACTGGTGGACCAAATGGTTCCTTATATGGGGTGACAAAAAACGGTTGGATGGAAACAGAAGTTTTCACTGAATACTTTAACCATCTTGTTTTATGGTTGAAAGACACACCCAAGCCTGTTTTGCTTATCTTTGATGGTCACATTAGTCATATTTCTTTAGAAACTGTTAAAAAAGCAGTTGAAAATCATATAACTATTTTGTGTTTGCCAGCACACTGTTCGCATTTGCTTCAGCCACTTGATGTAGGAGTCTTTCGCCAAGTTAAACATGTATGGCGTGAAATTCTGGCCAATTGGTATACCGAGTCAAGGCTGAAGGTGGTTGGGAAATCTGTTTTTCCATCTTTATTAAATAAACTTTATGATACCTCTTTTAAGCCAGCTCATTTAGTACAATCCTTTGCCAAAACTGGAATTTTTCCCTTTGATCCATCTGCTATAGCATCTGACAAGTTAAATCCTTCTGAAATCTATGAACACCCTTTTTCTCAGAAAACAAATAACTATAATAATAACGTCCCTCAAAACATCGTTTTAGACACCAATGTCAATGATCAGAACGATACTTGTGAAAATTTTTCTATTGAATCAACAAATAAATACAATTCACAAAAAACTATAATATCAGTAGGAAAAGACTTAAACAATGAAAAAATAAATCAACTATCAATATCAAATGTAGATTGTTCTACTGGAAATAAAATCATTAGAGAAATAGTGAAAGAACAGTTAATGGCCACAAAGGGTGATGGTCGTTCATACAACAAACGACCTACAAAAAAAATAAAAAGACACTATGGAGGTGAGTGTCTTACATCAGAAGATGCATTTAAAAGATTAAATGATGAAGAAAACGAATGCTTTAAAAGAAAGATCAAGCAGCAAGGCAAAATACAAAATAAAAAAACTAATTTATTAGAAATAACAAACACAAAAGAGTTAAAGATGAAGTAGTTCACTTTACCCCAATGTGGGGGTAAAGTGAACTAGTGGACATGTTTTTTTTGAATATATATTTAATATTGTAAAAGTAGCTTTTAATCTTAGTATTTTGTTTTATATTGTACCTAATACTTTAAATGGTATAAATTTTGAAAACTGCAAAATGTTTTGGCTTTTATTTTGAAAATATTTCCTTTAAATATCAAAAACAGTTCACTTTACCCCAGTTTACCCTATTTATAATTAACTATTTTAAAATTATATTTATTTATTATAACTATATTATTAATTTTATTTAAACATTTTCTTTTTAAATTACTTATTTTGAAGATCAAATATTCTTTGACATTCATCTTTGTATCGTTCTTGATGCTCAGCAACTGTAAAACGAGAACCACGTGCAAACTTGTTCATTGCTAAAAAGAAAATTATTTAATTCATCATTGAAATGTTGAAAATTTTATGACCCACTTACTTTGGTGCTTTACATACCTACTTCAGTAGTCCCTTGTTTTGCTGCCTCAGTAGACATTGTACGAACTTTATCTATTACTTCCCAGCGAGACAGCTTTTGAATCTTAACAAAAATTATGATTATTTTATCAATTATCAAATCAAATTATAGCAAAACAAAAGGATTTATAGCTGAGCAACAATAATGAACAATGAATCTTATCTAAATGAATCTAATTTTTCTAATAAAAAAATTAAAAAAAAAATAAATAAATATTGAGATCAAGATTTTGTGGACAAAATTAATAAATAAAAAAAAACATTTCATAAAAAACATTAGTAATAAAAACCTCATCCTGTGGCACATTAAATTCCTTTAGAAGAATGCGAGCTTGTTTCAAATTTAGTCTACGAAGATCAGCGTCAGTTCCAGTTACAAGTTTTTGTTTTTTAGCTTGTTTTTGCTCTTCAGTCTCATCCTATGAACAAGCGAAATAAAAAATTTGGTTTATAAAATAAAGAGAAAGCCAAGACTGAATGAATAATGAACAAACGAATGACTATGAATGATAAATATAACAGCTTGCGTCTCAATTTTATTAAGTTAAAAAAAGTGTTTTTTTTTTTAAATTTGCTTTTTAAAATAATAACTTCAAGTTTCTTTAAAATTTAAAAATGCTAGTGATAATAGATGACATATTTAAAAAAATAAAAGCTATATCACAAGTTAAACAATACAAAACATTATTGCATTGTAGAACAATAAATGTGTATAACACTGACATCTTTAATAAAAAAGCTTAAACAGTAGTTTGAAAAATTTGATTCATATTCAAACCAAAATCTTTTTTAAATTATTATGTAAACTTGATAATTTAAAATAATACAGAACTATTTATAATAAATTAATATAAAATAACATATAAAATAAATTTACTTTGCCTGTTATTGGCTTGTTCGGTATTCGTATATAAGAAAACCCTTCACCACAACCAGTGGGATCAGCAACACCAGTAACTTGAAGTAAACACTTTCCTTTCATTGCTTGTATATATGCACGAGTAGTGTTCCAAGGTGCAATCTGTATTTCATCATCTATTTTTTTTGCATCATTCTCATTATCATCATCATCAGGAGCAAATAAAGATTTTTCACCGTACCCTGCATCCTTGAATTATAACCAAAAGTGTTAATTACATTACAATTTTACAAAAAATTTACATGAATACAAAGGAAAAATAACTTTTAGTCTTTGTTCTGCTGCCAACATCATATAGTAACAACATGTTTGCTCAGGTGTAACATTTGCCCGCATTTCTTCTTCTGATGGCAGGCGAAAATCAGGTTTTAAAACCCACCAGTTGCAATCAGCACCTTAAATGCAATAAAAACAAAATCAAAACTTTTAACTTTTATTTAAATTCTTAGTTCAATAAATTTGTCTGAAATATTTTTGACAAACCTGTTCTTCTAAAATCAGCACACAACTTTAATCTTTTGCGAACACTACTTTCTGAATGTTTTGGAAATGCTTTTCTTATATCTTCCATTTTAATACGACGTGGTTTGTCAGGACTTTTCCAAAATAGTCGATAGATAAAAATCTAAAATTTTAAATAAGAATAAATTTTAAAAATTAAAAATATTTTTCAAAACAAGATCAGAATTGAGAAGTAGTGACATAAAACATACACAAAATATATATATTTTCCAACTATTCTAATAACTATTCTACAAAAAATATGAATTCTTTTTTGAAAAATTTAGAGCAAAAAGTTTTTTCTTATTGACTACATAAGTGATGAATTTCTTAAATTCCACAGAGTATTAGATTTTAACAAACTTAACTAAATTTTAATTGCAGATAAAACCAAATACATAGTAAACATTTTTATAGGGGTTGAATTCCGTGTCTGTGACACTAAATGTGTGTCCTTCCATGACAATTGGGTACTTTTTGATTAGGTTTAATTTACAGTTGTATAACTATTTTATGAATTTTTATTACTTTTTTCTTTTTCCTAACAGACCATAACTAATTAAAAAAGTATGGTAAAGCCTGGTTCACAAATTCAGAAGGAATATTCATTTAAACTGATAGAAACGAGAAATAATAAAAAACTGATAGTAATGAGAAATACTTTAAATAATAGAAATAAAAAGATTTTATTTTATCTGTAAATAGCACTTTTTATTTAGAAAACATTTTTGCTTTTATTGTTAAACTATGTTTATTTTGATTTTTGTTATTCATTATATGACTAATTCACTATGAATTAATTTATGTTTATTTTTACTCATTTGATCTCTTTGATTAGGAATTGTCTTATTTTCAGATGGGAACAGTACACAAAGATGGAACAACTAATCAAGTCATTTATCATTTGTTATCCAAATTAAAATGAGCTATGCCAAAAAAAAGTCCACCTCAAGTTCGAGTCTTACCTGCTTTTATGCAAAGTTTGTCACCAAGAAAACAAAACATTTTTTTTAATTCTAAAAAAAAGCTGTCTTTCAAAACTGGCAGGTAAACAAATAAAAACTAGTTCAATTTTTAGAACAGGTATAAGTTTTTTGCTTTTTACATACAGGGAACTTGTTTACTTATTTAACAAAGAGAAAATTAAAACCAATTATCATCAGTTATGAGAAATTATTAATGCTGAAAATACCTGATTATGGTAAATAAAACACTAGAAGATGATTGTCCATGTGAATCCTCTGTAAATGGTCAACCTTTGCTACAGGCAATATAAAAACATTTCAAAGAAAAAAAAAGAAAAAATAGAATTATTGAAAAATTGTCAGTTGAACCACTAGATATTGTGGAACTTGATGTATGCTCTGTCAAGTCACTCATGTATCAAAGTTGATTGTTTAAAATGTCCAGGAAGAACAAGAATATCTGGTAAAAAAAAAATTGAAAAAATTGATGCTTTACCATATTACCATTGGATAATAGGGTGGTTTTGAAAACAACTTTTTTTGAAAATGACTGCTGGCACCCCCTGAATATGTTGTATATAATAAAATAATGCTGAATTTAAAAAAATTTTGAATAAAAAATATTTAAAGGGTTGCTATAGACCCTCAAACATTAAATAGGTCCCTAATATTATTAAAAAAGTTTTTCAAAAGTATGTCATGTTGGGTCTCAAACAAAGCGAAGTATTTAAATATATAAAATATATTTAAATACTTCGTATTTAAATATATAAAATATATAAAAATTTCAAAAATATTATTCATTTTATAATTAAATTGTTATTTTAGATTTTAGTGAACAAAAAATTTTGTTTTTTAATTAAAAAAAATAATAGGGATTTTAACAAGATTTTTTGATTATAATTTTTTTTATTGATGTTGTTTTATAAAATGAATATTATTTTTTTAAATATTATATTTTAAAGTATATAATTTTGTTTCATTTCCCAACATGACATACTTTTGAAAAACTTTTTTTTTAATATTAGGGACCTATTAAATGTTTGAGGATCGGTAGCAACCCCTTAAAATATTTTTTTATTCAAAATTTTTTTAAATCCAGCATTTTTTTATTATATAAAACATATTCAGGGGTTGCCAGCAGTCATTTTCAAAAAAAAGTTGTTTTTAGAACCACCCTATTGGATAACCTCAAAAAAGGTTGTTCACATAGTTCAAGAAGTAGCTACTGGTGAAGAAGCTGCAATGCTTTTATCAGAAATGATTAATGGTAGCTAAATGAGAATGCATAAATATAAAATTTCCTGTCAAATTTCATTTGTAAAATGGCTTAAGACAAATCTTAAAGAAGATGAAATAATAATCAGTGTTGATTTTTCAAATGTTGAAGACTTGATTACACAGACATTAAAACTCCTGTTGTCTCAGTTAAAAAACCAAAACAAATCAAAATTTTTATCAAAAGCGATGAAAACGAATATAATAATGATAGAATTATAATGATACTAACAATAATCATTTTTGAATTTCGTTTTTTGTCATGTTGTTTTATAATCATAAGTATTCATAATTTTTTTTCATTTTTATAAAGACTCACAAAAGTCATATTTGCAAACGTATGCTTTTTCCAAAATTAGAAGAGCAAATTTTATCAATAGTTTTTAATTACTTTGGTCTGCAAAAATATTTTCTAGTTAACCCATAGCATTGTAAAAAATTACGCCAAATGCAAAATTTTTATTAATAACTGGCAAACAACTTAAAACATTGCCAGGCAACTGACATTGGCTAAATTTTAACTCTGTCACCTGTCGGGCAACGGCCCAAAATCCGACTGTACACCACTGTGTATATATATATATATATATATATATATATATATATATATATATATATATATATATATATATATATATATATATATATATATATATATATATATATTTATATATACATATGTGTATGTATGTATGTATGTATGTATGTATGTATGTATGTATGTATGTATGTATGTATGTATGTATGTATGAATGTATGTATGTATGTATGTATGTATGCATGTATGTGTGTGTGTCAGTCTTTCTGTCTGTATCTATGTATATATGTATTTATATATTTATGCATGTATGTGTGTATGCTAAAAAAAGAAACGCTGAGATAAACTTAAATTAGGAAAAAAAAAAAAAAAAAAAACTTGAACTAACCTTCAAAAAACTTAAAAATTAAAGAAAAAAGTAAATAATTCCTTACAAAAAAAAAAAAAAAGCTTTAAAATTAAACTTAAAAAACTTAAACTTAGAGCGAAAATCAATTTTTGTTATGTTTTTAATTCCGTTTGAAATAAATTACTTTAAAACTTTTCTTTTGCAATGTTTTAATTGAGATATGCAAAACACTTTTACAAATTACTTCTAATGACTGTTAATAAATAAACAAATTTTATTAAATTTATTGAAAAGAAAAAAAATTTTTAAATTGTATAAACATTTTGTTTATACAATTTAAAAGTTACATAATCTTTTTTTTTTTTTTTAAAGAATCTAGTCTTTTTAAAATAGTAATTTTTAATCATTTCTTGCACTGATTAGTAGGTCAAGTTTAAAAAAAAAAGCTTTTAAACAATTCTTTGTAAAAATAGAAACAATAAAGTAAAATTAAATCATTCCATTGCAATGGGAAGATTTAATTTAACTTATTCATAATTAAAGTTAATAAAAATAATCTTTTTAAAGACTTTTAGAAAGATATGGAAAAATAGTTTCAAACGCCTAAATTTACATAAAAAAAACATACCTATTAAAAATATTTTAATATAACATTTAATTTGCACAAAATGGGTTTATTTTAAACAATTATTATTAAATTAAAGCCTTTACATAGAATAAAAACTTTAAAAAAGATTAAGGATTGAAAGTTATTCATGACTTAATGATTTTTTTACTACATCTAAATAGTTAAAACATCGAAACAGATATGGTCAAATTGTAAAGAAAAAAAGTTATAAATGTGGTCCGTTAAAGCGTGTGATTGCACACCATTCCTGTCAAGCCTGATGTATGTATGCATTTATGTATGTATGTATGTATGTATGTATGTATGTATGTATGTATGTATGTATGTATGTATGTATGTATGCATGTACAGTATCGGACAAAACAAGTGCAACCAATAATGCTAATTTAGTTTCTTTATATAAAAGTGCTGCATTTTTTCAATTTAGAGAAATAACTATGTAACTGTTTAAAGACATCGTTCTTCAAATTTTATTCATCACAAAGTTCATTATTTGTACACGAAAATTATTAAATTAATCAAAAGTAATAAAAAAAGTTGATTTTCTTCTGTACAAAACAAGTGCAACTCCATAAAATGTTGACCTAGCTGTATTTCGCTATCAATATTTTGTGGCAAATCCTTTTTTGACGATCACAGTCTCGCATCTTCGAGGCATAGATTCGATCAGGTGACCAATGAAACTTTGTGGAATCACTGCCCAGGCCTTTTAGATTTGTTCAAACAGTTGATCCTTATTAATTCTGCGGTTGACAATCTCCTACAGGTTCTCGATAGGGTAAAGATCCGGAGATTGAGGCGGCCAATCCATCACCGATAGGTGGTTGTCTTGAAACCACTGGTTGACTACTTTTGCAGTGTGTTTCGGATTGTTGTCTTGCTGAAAAACCCATTTTATTGGCATATTCCATTCAGCATGAGGTAACATAACATCTTTCAGGATGCTTTATACATGAAACGGTCTATTATTCAATTAATTCGATGTATTGGACCTTGACCGTTAGCAGAAAACACCCCCAGACCATTACATTGCCTCCACCATGCTTCACGGTCTTATGGCAGTAATGTAAATCGAGGCGTTTTCCGGCCGGTCGACGTACACGGCAAATGCCATCGTCCATTTTTTCACGTGATATTTATCACATATACTTTTTTGTAACATTCCACTTAGGTAATCGCCAATAATTTTCTTTCTTAGTTCCAATCTAAGACTGTCCGGATCCATTTTAGCACTTGAAGTCATAAAAATAATAAAAATAAATAATCACGCTTCTCAAGGCTTATCGTGTTACTTTACCTTGTGATGATACAATAATGCTCTGTGGAACACAGTGTCTGGATACTTCCTTTAATTATTAAAAAACTGCCGTGACATTGACACGGACCAGACTTAAGAAAATAAAACAAACCAAAAAAGTTACACTTGTTTTGTCCGCTGCAAAATCTCACTTGTCAATAAAATTCTGCCTGTGTGCTGTCACCTGTCAGCTGATTGCTTATATCATCGCATACTATGAATCCAGACTCCTGAATTGTTTGCTGTGGTAGTATAGTTTGTTTCGTTTTAAAGACATGTAAAATTAAGACACTTTTTAGCATTGTTCGATGTTGGTTACAAATGTTTTGTCCAATACTGTATGTATGTATGTATGTATGTATGTATGTATGTATGTATGTATGTATGTATGGATGTATGTATGTATGAATGTATGAATGCAACCTCGGAATTAGGAAAAATGAGGTCGGCAATAATTTGCTGACCTCAATCTTTTTGAGGTCGACATCACCTTGGCAAAAATTATTTATTATAAAGTTCTGACCATAAGACATAGAAACGAGGTTGGCAATTTTTTACCGACCTCAAGCACTTTCAGGTCAGCAGTTAGCCGACTCTAATTCCAAGGGTTGTGAATGTATGTATGTATGTATGTATGTATGATGTATGTATGTATGTATGTATGTATGTATGTATGTATGTATGTATGTATGTATGTATGTATGTATGTATGTATGTATGTATGTATGTATGTATGCATGTTAGTATCTATGTTTATATACTTAAGTACTACAAATACTTAAAAATTTGGTTTAAAAACCTGCAAAAAATCTCTGATATGATTGTTTGATCTTTTGGAGTTAGGTCCAGGAACTTCACACTTTGGACACAGTTGGCCAACTGTAAATATTACAGAAAGATTTCGAATGTAATATCTAATTCAAAATAAAATTAACACATAAACAACTAGAATAAGGTATGCAACTAAAAAAACTTAAGAGAAAAATAAAAATAGAATATAAATAACGAAAAGTAGAAAAGTGACCCGTGAGCTATTTTGAAAAGTAAAAAATCTGTAGAGTATATTCTATGCTGGTAGATAGGTGCACGAAATAGGTTGTTTTCTAAAGCCTAGAATTAAAATTACCATATAATTAAATTAACAGTTTAAATAAATTGAGCAAACTACTTTAGGGAATAATAATTTACTTAAATAACTAAGTTACTTGAACAATTTGACCCTGTTGTAGCTGACCAAGAAAAGGAGAATGATGTATATATGAAATTTCTCCATACTCTAAAGTTGGTGGCTCTTTACCATGTTTCTGGAGAAGAAAAAAATACAATCAAATTTTAGTATTTTTATATCATTATTATATTTTGTGTATATATATTTACAAATATATGCACAAAATATATCTATCTATATATATATATATATATATATATATATATATATATATATATATATATATATATATATATATATATATATATATATATATATATATATATATATATATATATATATATATATATGTATATATATATATATATATATATATATATATATATATATATATATATATATATATATATATATATATATGTTCTTTATGTATTATATATATATATATATATATATATATAATATATATAATATATAAAGAGAAAAAGAAAAAAGAGAAAAACACCAATAACATTATAATTTGTGGATTGCTGCTGCCATCAACAACTGATGTAAACATGAGTGACAATGAAGATCTAAGTTATATAATAAAGATAGCAGAAGAAATTGGTGCTTCAATTAGCAAAAAAAAACAGATGAGACAACTGAAAAAAAGAAAATACAACATAAAACTACTAACATAGTCAACCAGACAGAAGAGCCAGTAACAACAAAACCATCACTAGTTATTCTCAAACTTGTAGACCAAGAAGCTGCACAAGAATTTCTCAGAAAAAGTTGGAAACTCAAAAACTATTAATTATAATAATCTTTATTTAAATAGAAACAAAATGTCAATCAAAATAGTAAATGAAACAAATCTAAAAGGACAAGAATAGATAACTAATACATGAAGAAGAGAAAAATGACAAACGTAAATGCTACGCTGTCAGAGATAGTGAAATAAAAATGATAACTGAGAAATAAAAAAGATAAATAAGGATAACTGTGACCAATACCAAAATAGATCAATCAGACTATAGCAATCCATAGATAATCTGATCGTGAGCAATGATCTTCAGCTAAAAAATACCACATCCCTGAAATCAGATGGCAATTCTGGGTTTAACTCACTATAAATACCTATTCTTACTTACTTAGTGGCCTCCTTCTTCTGTTAACTATCAAATCAACAACAACATTAAATTACCAGAAAATACTGTCTGAACAAACCAATTTTGTGACCTACTAGTAGTTGGCAATTTTAACTATCCCTACATAAGTTGAGCTCCAGATGGATCAGTCAATGTGCTTGGACCAGATAACAGCCCAGAACATATATTTATTAACATGTTAACCAACTAGTTTTTATCTTAACACCTATTCTTTCCTATGTTTACAATATCCAATGGCTCACAAATAAACACATTTGACTGTATTATAAGCAAAAATCCTCTCAGTGTATTAAACATCAGATTAGGGCGCTCACTGGAAGTAGCCCGCCAATCTCATTTAAGTCTACACTTGAGTTATAGTCTTCCTATCAATTGGACAAATAGATTCACTGGCTCCAACTTAAACTATAGAAAAGGTAGCTTCATTGCTATGTTTCGCTAAACTATCAAATATTGATTGGACATCTTAACTAGCTAAACTAAAATATAAATGATGCTTGTGATACCTTAGTGTCTATTTATAATAAACTATTTATTGAGTCAATCCCAATCGTAGCTCAATCTAACTCAAAAATCGACAGCGCCTTGGATATGCAAAGAGGTTATGCAACTATCTATATTAAATGGCATCTAAACATGGCAAATTAATGGAAGTCTAACAACTTACAACCAAGTAAAATATAGTTTTAAGAAAACTAGCAAAAAAGCTTATGATTAAAAAAATCCTCAACACTTGTTCGTGTATATCAATAGCAAAACCAAGAGTAAAGTTGGGATTAGCACATTACTCTATAACTATGGTCTAATAACGACTGACAAACAACAAGAAGCAAACATTCTCAACAAACAGTTTGAAAGCGTCTTTAATTCAGCATCTATTCCAGTACTCAGGAAAGCTTTTAGCAAAACTAACAATAAAATCAGCAATATTAGCATCATATTATTACAAATCAAGTCAAGCAGCTTATTAAAAAAATGGATCCAAATAAAATGAAAGGATTTGATAATATCCCTCCAATAGTTTTACACAGCTGTCCATCCGAATGGGCAAACCCTTTAACCATACTGTTTCAGCAATCACTTGACCAAGGTGAGGTTCCTAGTGCATGGAAAGTAGCAAACATTCCTATATTCAAAAAAGGTTAGACCACCGACCTGGGCAATTATCGACCTATCAGTCTTACCTCTGTTACGTGCAAACTACTGGAAAATATAGTTAGGCAAACTATCCTATTGTACTTAGTTGACAGTAATTTGATCACACAAAAACAGTACAGCACAATTTTGTTCCTCATAAGTCATGCTCGACAAACCACCTTGAAACTATGAATTATTTAAGAAAATCATCAGCTAATCAATGGCCTGGAGACTTGCTCTTCCTTGATTTTCCCAAGGCCTATAACAAGGTTCACCATATGAGTCTAATCCTGAAACTAGAAGGGTAAAGAACCAATGATCAAACTCTGGAATGGGTAAAATCCTTTCTAAGCAACTGTTAACAAAGAGTAACCGTTGGTGAAACAGTATCGGACTGGGTGCCAGTTTCTAGTGGTGTTCTTCAAGGGTTGGTATAGAGACCAATGCTCTTTGTGACCTTTATAAATGACCTGCTAGATAAAATTAAGTCAATCTGTAAAATATTTGCAGATGACAGAAAACAGCTTGCCCAATTTAACTTGGTTAAGAACAGAATGATATTACTGTGCTCCTAAATATCATTGATGCTATAACTGAGTGGGCAAGAGTATGGCTTATAAGGCTAAGCATCTCTAAATGGAAAGTTCTTGACATAGTCATCATTATCATTATCAGATTCTTAATTTTTTAATGCTCTTTTTTAAAAAAAAATTTATATTTTTTTTCTACTATTATTAATCTTTCGCAAATATTAAATTTAAAATCATGGAAAAAAAAAAGAAAGCATTATAACATTACAGCATTTACATTAAAGCATTACAGTTAAAAAAGAAATAATAAATATATGTTGTAAAAAATATTGTTCTTACTCTGTTAAAGTAGTTTTTAATTCTGCTATTCATACCAGCTTGTGAAAGCAATGGTGGCATTTCTTCGCAATATTCCATTAAAACTATGTCCCCATCCATTCCACTTAAATCTTCCGGTTCACGCATAAAAAACATCTCACCACCTCCAAATGTTTGGCGCTCTTTTTCCCGCTCCTTTTATACATACAAAACAATGTTTATTCAAATTAAAACAAAACACAAAACAAAAAAACATGGAACTTATTAAATTCATAAATTTAAATAATGATGTATAATAAAAAAAAAAAAAAATTAATTAAAAAAATAATACTTAATAAAAAAAATAAATAATAACAACAGCAACAACAACAACAGTAATAATACTTCAAGTAGTTGTAACCTTTGCTTTCCTTTTGATTCGTTTATACAAAGAGTGGACAACTTGAAAACCTTCTTTAGTTCCAAGCTTTTTCTTGTTAAGTCTTGGTCTATGGAATAAACGTAATTCACTTGGAGGAATAAAAGTTGGAAAAAATGGCCTTTGAAGCTCCACTGCAGGTGTAGAATGCTAAAATTTAAAAACATAAAAATAAGAATTTGTTTGGTTCCACTTTTTTGATTTAATTAAAAACCTGAAGTTCTTGGTATGTTTTTTTTTGTTTGTTTAAACTTATTTTTTTTATCATTACAATGTATTGTAATACAATAGCAACAAATGTTGTATTGCAATTCATCTTCATAATACAATAACAATATCTGGAAAAAACTAGTACTGTAATGACTTATTACAATAACAATAAACATTGTATTGTAATTTATTATTGTTGAAAATAAACTATAACTATTTGCAGATCATTTATTTAATGCATCTATGACATATCCTCAAAAACACAACAACAACAACAACAAATTAACATTTAATTTTATTTACTTCTGATTAACCTTCTTTAAAGTAAATAAACAACCAATAAAGAAAATTCTTTTTCCCTTTTTTTTTTAAAATCATGTTATGATCTTTATCATCAAGTTTTCGTTTCAACTTTTTCATCCCAATGCTTATCAATTTTTAAAAAGCATTAACGTGATAGAAAAAATCTAACAACAACCTAGTAGTTATAAAAGCAAACAAGATATCATGTAAATGAATATATGTAAGTTAGAATTATATTTTTAAGTGTACTTTTCCCCAAAAAGCTGAGGCGTTACTGTAGTCTAACTATTACAAAAATCCACTTCTAGCCCTATCACCCTGAAATACATATCTTAAATAGCTGTGATAGGTATCTAACAGATAGACAGGCAGTGGTTATCTTTTAAAAATATAGCCAGAATTTGTGGAGAACCCTTGATATTGTAATTTCTAAAAAGAAAGCAAGCCTCTACTACTAAAGTTACAAAGTGGAACTTTTAAAGTTTAACATTATAGTATAATAAAATATTTTAAAATCAATTTTCTTCATAACAAGTGTAGTCCTAGTTAGAGTTTATTATACTTTGGTGTTGATCAATGAAAACATCTTATTTGCGTCCTGTAAAAAATAAATCAAGTTGCTATTTTCTTTACTAATTAAGATAAAAGAATTCAAAAACAATTCAACTGCAAATAAATGAGTATAAGAGGTATGTGCTTGCATTAAAAAAGCTAATTTTTTTGATTTATTTTATGTACAAAATATATCATGCTTATAAAACATTTTATATAAAAATATGACTTAATATCCCTAATACTTATAAAGTTATTGAATTTTGATATAATTTTTTATTATTTGTATCCACATAATTAAGTTTATTTTTTTACACATAGTGTATTTTTTTCTACTTAGTGGAATTGTCTCCACATAGTGTATTTACATCAACATAGTATACTTTTCTCAACATAGTGTTGTTTGTTTCCACATAGTGTATTTGCCTCCACATTGTGTAATTTGTTTTCACATAGTGTATTTGTCTCAACATAGTGTAGTGACTTAAAACATCCATTTAAACAGTGTCTAAACATCCCATTTAAGTTGTGGCCATATATATATATATATTGTAATCAGGAAAAAAAAAAAAAAAATAACCTGAATACATAAATTCCCAATATCAGCTTGCAACTGATTTTCAGCTAGATCTAAAAATAAAATTTTTGAAAGCTTAAATCAACATTTTGCTACGTTATGTCAATATTTTTAATATAAGACAATTTTTTTATGCTTAAAATTAAATTTATTTCTCATTATTTCTCATTCTCATTATATATATATATATATATATATATATATATATATATATATATATATATATATATATATATATATATATATATATATATATATATATATATATATATATATATATATATATATATATATATATATATAAATTTCAAAAATAGAAAAAACAACCCCCTAATTCATTTTCAACTATTTTTTTGTACAGGCTAGTAAAACTACTGGAAAAAATGTAAACAATTTTGACTTTTTCTTTTATAATTTAAAAATTTAAAAGTTTTATTTAATAGCTTCTTGTTAATAAAATCATAGTGAAAAGAAGTGAAATTCAAAAACCAATCAAAAAGTCGATGCTGAAACAATTTAAACGTAGAAAAGTGCATAAAATTTTTTCTAAAATAGTAAATATGAGACCTAGTGTATTTGTAAGCGGTCTCATGAGCAATAAGTTTTATGGTGAAATAAAAATGTTTGTTTAGCTTTGATTAAAGTTGTAATTGTAATGAAAACAATAACAGAAACAAAAACTATTGTTAATGTATTAACTTTTTTAGAATTAATAACAATACGCGTGTATTGTAATACTGTAATACAATAGTAATAAATGTTGTATTGCAATTCATCTCCATAATACAATAACAATATCTAAAAAAAAAAAGGTACTGTAATGACTCATTACAATAACAGTAAACATTGTATTGTAATTCATCTGTATAATACAATAACAATTTATTGTTATTGTAATACAAAAAATTCTTGTAATGTTAAAATAAATAAATTTTATTAATAGTCTTTGAATTACCTTGAAATAGGTACAACTAATATAAAATCATTGATTCTAATTTATTTACTGAATATCACTTGCCCTAGTTGCAAACTTTATAAAGATCTATAAAAGTGAGTTTGATCTGACCTGTTCCTATTTTACTGCTGGGGTTAGACATGTATACATTATCAATGGCTACCATTTCTTCCACTTAGTTATTTGCTTTTATACTAGGCCCCTATCCAATTGTTTCAATAATTACTCAAATATAACTCTAATAATAAAAATAAATACTTTGCTTTTTGTTTCCCTGAGGCTTTTATGACTATATGTTTCATAAAGTAACTGAACTTTTAGTTCTAATTGCAAAGTTATACAAGAATTTTTACAATTACAATTACAACAGCCCGAACCCTTGCTTTGATGGTATTTTGCATTAATGGAGAAAGAAATCGTAAATACTTAAACCTTAAATGCATGAGACTGTCAAACATGAAGAAGGTAACATTATTCTTTATTAAAATGTTGCAGTACTTTATGCTTTTATCCAATTTTTGCCTTTTTATTATAGGGTGATTAATGGTTTGAAATTCCTTTGGTTGGAATGGTGTTGGTGAACTTAAATTCATCAATAGAATAAAAGAATCTAATACTGATATTATGAAACAAAAGGTCAAGTGTCAGAAGCGCTGAAAAAGATTTATTTCATAAGTTCATCCTTTAACAGGATAGAGATGCAACCCAAACATCAGCAGTTCAAACAAACAACATTAAAATATTAGAGTTTCCTCAGTCACCAAACCTAAATTGAAAACTTATGGAATCTGCTTAAAATTAAAGTGGCTGAATAAAAAATTTATGGAATCTCCTTAATATTAAAGAGCCTGATATTTTTTTTTTTTTAAGTAAAAAACATTTTTGTAAGAAAGAAATTTATCTTGAGATAAAAACTTTGTTTGCTATTCTATTTAAAAAATAATAATAATAGGTAATAAATTTAAGCATAAAAAATTGTCTTTTATTGAAAAATCATTAGGGGAAAACTTTTATGACAGTTTCTTAAAACAAACTATAATTTAAAATATTTTTTATTTAAAAAAAAAATTACTTTTACTAAAACAAAACAATACCTTGTTTTGGAAGATAAAACTCATCATTTGATAAATTGAAAATATTTTTATGTGAAACTTGTATAGCAGGTTCCTATTTAAAAAAAATATTTATAAACATTTAAAAAAAATCAAAATTATTTAAATTGTTGAGATTTTTTTTTTTTTTTTTGAATTCAAGAGTTTTAAAAGAATATAATTTTATTTACTTCATCATTATTTGATCGTTTTATCTTTATTTTACTCTTATATTCTTTCTTTGAAATTGCCTCTTCTCCAAACTCTGAAACTGGATCTTTTGTTTCATCTTCAGGAAGATTCAAAATGATACTTTCATCATTTGGATCAAGACAAAATAACTCAGCAGATGGAATTTCATCAACAGCTTCGCTATCCCATATAATTTTATCTTCCCATTTTCCATATACAAGTTCTTTATTTTCAATAGGAAAAATGCTGTACCATTCAGATACCTTATGATTATTGGGCTCTTTGTTTAACATAGGAGCAGCAGGAGCTTCAAAGTTTTTAAGAATGTTAGTGCAGATAAGAGATTCCAAAGAATGGTCTAAACATCATTCAAAAAAAAATAATAATAAAGTTAAACAAAATTATACTTCAAATTAAATATGCATATATTTACTATTCTGAATGTTCAAAATTTTCTTTTACACTTTGATCAAATTTTTTTGAAAAGTTTTATTCTCAAGATTTGTAGTTTAAAAAAAAACATTTTTAAAAAATTCCAAAAAATTAAGAGCAAAATCAACATATTTAATAACACAAACAACAAAAGAAAGGTGTTTACTAATTTTATAACAAGAAAGGTGCTTACTAATTTTGTAACGAAAAAGGGGCTTACTAATTTTGTAACAAGAAATGTGCATACTAATTTTTAATAACCTACATAGACTTATTTTATCAACATATTTATATTTTACGTATTTTACATTTTATCTATAAAGACTCATCAGAAAAACTGATTTTCTGATGAATCTTAATAGATAAAACATAGTGTAAAATGAAAAAATTTGATATGTCATTTAATACTAATATATATATATATATATATATATATATATATATATATATATATATATATATATATATATATATATATATATATAATTATATAAAAAAATACTCACCTAACTTGAGCTTCTACTGTTTCTCCTTCAGCAGGATTATTAGAAAGATAATCCTGGTGATGATCCTGCTGAAGAAGAAACTCAGAGTAGAATACTAAGGGTATCATATCAGGGTATATATCATAATGAAACTCGAGTTCTTTTTAAATTGAACTTTGAACTTTTTATAGCTAATCCATGATGAATTTAAGAATTGACGAGCATTATAGCTAAGCAGATAATGAGTTCTGAGAGTCAAAAAGTGAAAAAATTGTTTCCACACTCTATAAGAGTCTTTAGGTCACAAAACCTGCAAAATTAATTCAAAAAACTAATTTAACTGATGTATTTTTACCTTTATTAGCATACTGGTTTAAATAAGCTTGCATTGTTCTTATATTTCCTGACGGAATCCATCCTGCTTTCATATGATTCCACCAAGTGTTGTTCTCTTGATTATAGTCCTGGTCAGTCCAAATTATTTCATCCTCCCACGATTTTAGTGCGACCATATTAAAATGATCATCCGATGGCAATTTTATGTTAGCATCTTTTTCTTTATCTTCTTTTTTTTGTTGTTGCTAAAATTTATTGAACATCTCTTTAATATCATCATCATCATTATCATCATAATCATCATCATCATCACCATCATCATCATCATCATCATCATCACCATCTTCATCATAATAATAATTTTTTTTTTTAATTTTTCTTGTGCACTATATAAATTTAGGCTCAGAAAGCTACAAAAGTCGAGGAGGCTACATTAATTGTAATTACAACCCTCTCTCAACTCTATAACTCCAAAACACAAACTTTGTCAAACTAGGCTGCTGCGCAGAATAACTAGTTGAACGTAATACTACCAAGGACATGGTGGGTATTGAACTTAGAACTTCTAGTGTATAAAACAAGCACTATACCACTACATCACATACCACATTCTTAGCTCTTAATTAATAAAAGAATTCCATTCAGCTAGTTAGCAAATTTAGTGTGACCAATGACAACTGTAAAAAAAAAATTAACTTGGTTTATATTGTTTCATATATGTTTCTATGGCTAACCTAACCATAATAATACAGTTTGGTTTAATAAAGCAAATACTTCCAACAAAAAAAATATAATTTTAAGATTTCGGCTGAACATGATAAAAATGAATAATTAAAGTTGAAACTGTTTTTTTAGTACTACACTTTCGAAGATAAAAATCTATTCTAAAAACAATTCAGAACAACAGGAGTAAATAATCCATAAAGAGCAAAACAAAACTTCAAAACAAGTCAATTCAGATTTAGCCATTTTATTGTGCTGGTTTGACCAAGGTTTTAAATCAAACTTGGAAGAAAATCTTTAGAGAAATCAGCATACTAATTTTTCTTTTTTCAAATGTATTATTAAAATTTCAAAACAACATTTTAAGCAAGTTGGCTAAGCAACTTGCTTAGCCAACTTGCTTAAAACTAACAAAATCCTAGAAACTATAAAGTAACACACAATTATACAACTTTTTGATTAGCCAACTTGCTTAATACAAACGAAATTCTAGAAACTATAAATAAAGTAACACACAATTATACAACTTTTTGATGGATTAAAAATTTAGTGCAAAATCTTTTCATAAACTCTATTTTCCCATAAAATAAAAAATTAAAAAAATATAAAAGTAGCAAAAGAACAAAAATTAAAAAAACTTACGGATTTTTCTTTAAAACCATAGTTAAAAATTCCTTTATCAATAAAATCACTATGTTTTTTATACCAGTAGTATGCTGGTCCTGACATCCATTCAGTTGTGCATCCTTCATTTGATTTGGTTTCAGCAGAACTAATTTGATTGACTTTTAAGTGTCTTAGATATTGTTCACCATACATATGAAGAGGAATCGATTGAGTATGGAGAATCTAAATTTAATTCTTTTTTTTCAAACTTACAGTTGTTTCTTTTAAAATTAAAACAATAACAATGAAACTTCATAGGATATATAACATCATGTAATAACAATGAAACTTCATAGGATATATAATATCATGTAATAACAATGAAACTTCATAGGATATATAATATCATGTAATAACAATGAAACTTCACAGGATATATAATATCATGTAATAACAATGAAACTTCATATGATATATAATATCATGTAATAACAATGAAACTTCATAGAATATATAATAGTAGTAAAATATGTGTAACTATAAAAGTAGTAGACATGTAGCTTGGTAAGCAAGAAGTAACAAATTTAGTTCCTACCACATTTCTGGTAGAACAGCAATCTACTTTTTTCCGTTTTTGTCACTACAGCAATTGCCACAAAGTATTCTTGAACTAAGTCAACTATAAATTGTGTATTAAATAAAAATTTTAATTTACCAGCTGTTAAATCCTTAAAAAAAACAATGATGACCAAAAACCATATTAAACAAGATTTCGTCAACAACATAAAAAATTAGTAACCAAAGCAATGGTCTACTGTGATCTAGAGTGACAAAAGTGTCTATCAGCTATTTGAACATACTGAGCATTATGTTTGACGACCTCATAGTTCAAATCTCTGTAAACCAATCTACACAAGACCAACTGTTAAGTGTCCTTCATCAGTAATGATTTGGGAGTTTATCTATGGTACAAAACATAAGTGGCCTATGCTTTCTCAAAAAGGGAGAGAAGATGAATGCTGACAGATACAAACAAGTATTGGAAGATTATCTATTACAAAAACCTTTAAACAAGATAATGCACCCTACCATTCTGCCAAATCAGTCATGGCATAGTTGCGGAACAGTTATATAAAAATATTTGTATGGCCTCCAAATTCCTAAGACTTGAACCCTAATGAAAATCTGTACCAATAGTGAAAACCAGTCCTTGCAAGAGCAACAACAGCTAATACACTTAAAATTCAATTCAGTGTGTCTGGCTACAAGAGATAACTTCAGAATTGTGTAAAATGTTGTGCAATTCAATCCCCAAAAGCATCTCTGAAGTCTTAAGATTAAAAGGTTACCCATTAAAATATCAACAACTGTTATCTTTATTGAAATATATTTCTTGTGTTTAGTTGTGTACCATTACATGTTTTAAGAAGTTTCCAGTTAATTTTTTTTTTAACTATTTTTCACAGTAGGTAATGTGAAATAGAAACCATTAATAACAAAATTAAAAATTGCATCTTTGAACTAAAAACTGCATCTTTGAACCTCTTCGTTGAAAGCCAAGTAATCTATCACTAATCTAGTATTGATTTTATGCATGATCACAACAAAAACATCAAAACTGAGACAATAAATTAGGCTAATTGTTTAATAGACATCAATTCTTTAGACTTTCATTTATACTTCTTTAGACTTTAATTACACTTCTTTAGACTTTAAGAAGACTTCTTTAGACTTTCAATTATACTTCTTTAGACTTTCAATTATACTTCTTTAGACTTTCAATTATACTTCTTTAGACTTTAATTACACTTCTTTAGACTTTCAATTAGACTTCTTTAGACTTTAATTACACTTCTTTAGACTTTCAATTAGACTTCTTTAAACTTTAATTATACTTCTTTAGACTTTAAGTAGACTTCTTTAGACTTTTAATTATACTTCTTTAGACTTTAAGAAGACTTCTTTAGACTTTAAGAAGACTTCTTAAGACTTTAAGAAGACTTCTTAAGACTTTAAGAAGACTTCTTTAGACTTTCAATTAGACTTCTTTAGACTTTTAATTATACTTCTTTAGACTTTAATTACACTTCTTTAGACTTTAAGAAGACTTCTTTAGACTTTCAATTATACTTCTTTAGACTTTCAATTATACTTCTTTAGACTTTCAATTATACTTCTTTAGACTTTAATTACACTTCTTTAGACTTTCAATTAGACTTCTTTAAACTTTAATTATACTTCTTTAGACTTTAAGTAGACTTCTTTAGACTTTTAATTATACTTCTTTAGACTTTAAGAAGACTTCTTTAGACTTTAAGAAGACTTCTTAAGACTTTAAGAAGACTTCTTAAGACTTTAAGAAGACTTCTTTAGACTTTCAATTAGACTTCTTTAGACTTTTAATTATACTTCTTTAGACTTTAATTACACTTCTTTAGACTTTAAGAAGACTTCTTAAGACTTTAAGAAGACTTCTTTAGACTTTAAGTAGACTTCTTTAGAGTTTTAATTATACTTCTTTAGACATTCAAGTAGACTTCTTTAGACTTTCAATTAGACTTCTTTAGACTTTCAATTAGACTTCTTTAGACTTTAAGAAGACTTCTTTAGACTTTAAGAAGACTTCTTAAGACTTTAAGAAGACTTCTTTAGACTTTAAGTAGACTTCTTTAGACTTTTAATTATACTTCTTTAGACTTTTAATTATACTTCTTTAGACTTTCAATTAGACTTCTTTAGACTTTCAATTAGACTTCTTTAGACTTTAAGAAGACTTCTTAAGACTTTAAGAAGACTTCTTTAGACTTTAAGTAGACTTCTTTAGACTTTTAATTATACTTCTTTAGACTTTCAATTAGACTTCTTTAGACTTTCAATTAGACTTCTTTAGACTTTAAGAAGACTTCTTTAGACTTTAAGAAGACTTCTTTAGACTTTCAATTAGACTTCTTTAGACTTTAAGAAGACTTCTTTAGACTTTCAACTATACTTCTTTAGACTTTCAATTAGACTTCTTTAGACTTTCAATTATACTTTGTTGAATAGTAATCATCAAGTTAAAACGCGGGAAGAATGAAACAATGATAACTGACCACAAAAATAATATTTAGTTGCGTAAAACCGGCCAGATTTTTTAGTCGTTTTGAGAACATTTAAGTTTACGTAAGTTCGTAAATTTTAATATATTTTGTTTTATGGACATACATGGAAACATACAGAAACTCGAATGTTCTCAAACGTCTTTGTGCGGAAAAATAAAAAAAGAATATTCGTGAACACAAAAAACCCACCAAATCTACAAACAACTAATTCTATTGGTTCAAAAAATACTAACCAAAATTTCTAGAGTATTAAAATCTTTTATAATCATTTTCGTGTTATACGATATTTATGTTTAATGAGATTAATAAGGCAGTGTATAAACTTTTGTTTTAAATATATTTTGATGATAATGTTTATATTTACAATATTTCTAAAAAATACTAACCAAATGTTCTAGAATATTCTGTTGAAAAAATTTATTTGAGTTTTGTTATGTTTTTGTTGAGATTTCAAGCATAAATTGTTTTAAGAATACGTTATAAACAAACTATTATTTTAATTCTCGGAGCCACATCTACAATCCTATAAATATTTTAAACTAACATTATTTGTTTACAAAAATAAATGTTTTAAAATTATATTTTTTAACTTGGCAACGTTTTGTAAATATATTAGATTTTATTAGTATATTCTTATTTTTTATATATAAGGAATGTATTTTTTATGTACGTAATGTATTTTTATGAATGTAATTTTATGTATGTGTATTTTACTCAAATGTAATCTTTTAAAGCAATTTGTGCGATTGATTTTGTAAACAAAAATACTTTTAATCATAACTGCATTTTTAGTGAAATTATTAATAATCATCAAAGTTAATACAAATAATTTTAACCACTAAGCCATTTTCCTCAGTGTATCCGGATAGATGATTCTTTCTTCCATGAAAGAAAAGTTTTTAAGTTCTCAGAAATTGGTTTACTAACTTCAATTATTTTTGCTTCAGCCATTCTTACAAACTCGTTATACTTAAACTTAAATTTACTTTTTTCTGTTTTAAATACTAATTAAAATTATAAAGCCCACTTACTAAACATCATCAGCATTATTGTGAAGCAGTTCCGCTTCCTCCTCACAAAGTAATTTAACATTTTTAATTTCTATCTAGCTAATTGAATTTCTACAGTAACTCAATGATTTAATTATTTCATTTGTTCATCTTACTAAGAAGAATTGTTTTAAATGTGTTAAATTTTTCAAACTACGCGAAGCATAAAACAGTTATTAAAAAAACTTTTTTATTTATAAATAAATCATCTAGCGTTAGTTTTATTAGTTGAATCTTGTTGGACTTTTCAGGGCCCGGGGCTGCATTATTTTAGGGACCTTTTTTATGTGCCACAGCATAAAAATGACTAAAAAAATACCGAATCGTCCTCTTGACTATTTCGCGGCCCTTAACATTATGAGTCCTGGAGCTATAGCTCTTCTAACCTCCCCCACCCCCACCTTCTCAATCCAGCACTGAAAATAAGACGTAAGTATATAAATAAAAATTTTATATATTCTTTGATAAATCGAAGAACATTTGCTTCCTTATTAAACAATCATCAATAGTAAGTTGTTACTTTATATAAAAAAACGTTGCTTAATTTTATAAAAAAAATTATAAAAGAGCGACATTTCAAAAATATTTGCTCTAATCGTATTTATTTTGCTTAAAGTTTTTTCGCGTTAAAATATATATATATATATATATATATATATATATATATATATATATATATATATATATATATATATATATATATATATATTTAACTGTCTCTCATTGGACCAGTTAATCTTATTGTGCTTTTTTGTTTGTTTTTGAAATGTTCTCAAAACGACTAAAAAATCTGGCCAGGTTTTCTCAACTAAGTATTATTTTTGTGGTCAATTATCGAGTGCGATCGCACCCGCTTCCCGACGAAGCCTTATATATATATATATATATATATATATATATATATATATATATATATATATATATATATATATATATATATACACATATATATATATATATATATATATATATATATATATATATATATATATATATATATATATATATATATATATTATTAGTTATAAGAGAAAGTTAAAAACAACTTTGAAAATCAATTTGAAAACAAAGAGTTCTAACAAATATCAATAAATTAATAGGTCTTACGTTGTAATAATGATTGAACTAATCAATGGTCTTACATTGTAATAATGATTTAATTAATCAATAGGTCTTATGTTGTAATAATGATTGAACTAATCAATAGGTCTTATGTTGTAATAATGATTGAACTAATCAATAGGTCTTATGCTGTAATAAAGATTGAACTAATCAATAGGTTTTATGTTGTAATAATGTTTGAACTAATCAATAGGTTTTATGTTGTAATAATGATTGAAGTAATCAATAGGTTTTATGTTGTAATAATGATTGAACTAATCAATAGATCTTACATTTCTAATCTATAAAACTAACTAAATAATGATTGAGGTTTAATATGTCTTTGAAAATGTTGGAATTAAATAAAATAATTGTAAAATTGAACTTACTGCATCGTCAATTTCCAAGTCTTCTGGCTTTGGAGTTGGACCAAATTTTAGCTCAAAACCTGTTGTTTTTTTTACTGTGTCGTTAGAAAGTAATTTTCTTTTTCGTTTCTTTTTTTTGTGCGCTTTCCATTGGGCAGAGACATACTTTCTTGGACCAAACAAACGTGAAAACCGCAAAACTTTATTTGGGCGAAAATCTGGAAACAAGTCTGTGACAGACTTTCCTTCTAATGAAGCTAAGCTTATTATAGGGCAGTCTAAAAAGTTTTTCAAATATTTCAAACATTTAAACAAAAATTTGTTCTAGTTCAAAAAAAAAAAAAAAAAAAAAAAAAAAAATTTAACAAAAACAAAAAAAAACAACCACACATTTAACAACAATTGCAGCTTAATTCAAAATATTTTATCAGATAAAACATTAAGAAAACAAAATAATTACCTTTTTGTGTCAAATTGCCCGAGGAAGACTCGCTTTTCATACTACCATGTACAGGTTCTGCAGGACTGGATGGTGAAAATAAATCATTGACCTCATCAGTTTCTTCAACATCCATTGTTTCAGCTTTAGGCACAATTGATGGAAGTGGAATGAGCAGAGGAACTTAAAAAAAATTTTTTTTTTTTGTAATACAATATATTATAAATTTTATTTAGTATACATAAAGGATTTCTAGTTTTTTTAAAACGTTGAAGCAGATTTAATGTCTATAATATATAGTTAGTTTTAATATTAGGAAGTGATGCACTTTTCAACTACTAATTATGTTTATTCTATGCTTAATTTATGTTGTTTATTTATTCTATGTTTGATTGAGTTTATTGATTGCAATATTATATTTATTTTAATTACTAAAGATTAGATAGGTTAGATTTGGAATCTCTACTGAGATTCCAAATCTAACCTATCTAATCTTTATTATTTGTACCTAAATAAATCTTAACCTATCCAAATTTATTATTTGTACACACACACACACACACACACACACACACACAGACCTTGTTTTAAATCAAAAAATGCTTAATGCAATAGCCTAATATGAATTTGACAACATCAACTTTTTTTTAATTTACTTCAATAATATTAATTACTGCAAAACGAGTTAAATGTTATTTAACTTCTTTTTTATTATTACTATAAAGGAATGTTTAATTTATTTTAATTTATTTTTAATATTAAATAATTAAATTTAATATTACATTTTAAAATATGTTTGATATTAACAACTTCTTTCTTTTCTCGACATTTGCATAAATAAATTAAAATATGTTAAATTTCTGGATTTTTAAATGATTATTTCTTAAATCTCTAATTGCGGCTTTGCAACCTCAAATGATTTTTTATTTAAAAAAAGTTAGAGTAGCAAATAAAAAAATTATGTTAATTTATTAACTTTATTTACTTTTAATGATTTTGTTGTGAAAGCAAAGATTATTTTTCCAAACATCATTTATTAAAATTATATCACTGTATACATCATTTATTAAAAAATAATCTCTGTGATTTAACTTGCATTATAAAAAAAAAAAAATTTAAGTTACGTTTTGAGCAAATGTTTGATGCAGCCGGTTATTTAAAATTTAATTTTGAGTAAAAAAAAATGTTTAGGAAGGAAAACTGAAAAAACTATTGCAATAAAAATGAGCTAATTTTTTTTAGACTAAATAAAGTTTAGATATTGAACGATACATATTTTTAAATAAACTTGATAGTTAATTTAAACCTAAACATAAACTTTATTTTAATAAACTTATAATTAAATATATATTTTTAAACCTAAATTAAATTATATATATTTTTTTATCAGAATAAAATTATATATTTTTATTAAAATTTGTTTTAAATTCATTTTTATAATTTAATTATATTATTAGGTTCTTTGCTTTTCTTATTAGCATTTTTCAAGGGAAAAAATCAATTATTACAATAAAATTAAAAAAAAAATTAAATTTTTAATTTTATTTGAGTTTTTTCCATTAGTAAATAGCGCTTATATCTAACATAATTGTCATTCAAACTTTAGTAACAAATATTTTTACATAAACGTCATTCAAAAGTTAATGTGATTTTTTTTTAAACTAATTACTTCTTTTATCTTACTGCTTATAGAATAATTTAGAAGTTAAAAAATGATAAAAAGCTGCTTAACCAAAATTGCTTGCTGCTTACATAAAATCGCTTATGACATATGTTAATACTCTAAGCGTATCGTTTTAAAACAAAGCCTGCATGCACACACACACACACACAAAAATTCTTGTATACTTGGCCTTACATAAAACGGCATTAATGATTTCATACTGAAATGCTATCTGTGAGGGTTTCAGCACCAGGGGTGTGAAGTCATAAAAAAAAAGTACCAACTCAGACTTCAATCATTGATAATTTCAGAGTACGACTCCGGCTCTAACTCTGATTGGAATGCAAAACTTTGAAAAATTCTTTGAATTCTTTAAAAAAATATCACGCGATAATTAAACATATTTTGTACATGCACAGACAATACTGAGAAAGTTTTACTATTGGAGACAAAGTCGCGATTTTGCTTAGCAACTCCGACTCCACTAAAAATGTTTCGATTCTAACTCCACAACTCCGAATTCACAGCCATGGTACATAGAAGTTTTGGGTTCAACCAGATACCAGATATAAAGGAGTTTATTATAGCATAAAAACTTTTTTTAATTATTATTACTCATTTTTTCTAGTTCTAAAAAACACTTTCTAGCATTTTCAAACTTAAACTGTACAAAATATAATAGGACAGTGCCTAAATCTGTCCTAATGTATTTTGATTATCCTATATTTATGAATGGTAATGTACTCAATGAATCATCTACCATTCATCTTTTAGGATTAACTCTTACTTTCTTGGAAACCATATATCAAATCCATTGCAAAATTAACATCTGCTAAGGTTACACCTTTTTATCATGCTCACCACTTTCTTACTCTGGGTTCTATCCTTTATCTCTATATATCTCAAATCAGTTCTTGTATGGAATACTGTTGCTATATCTGGAGCAGATCTTCAAATGATGCTGTTTTTCTTTTAGACAAGGTGCAAAAATGCATTTTAAACATTGTTGGACCTGCTCTTGCAGTCAACCTCCAACCATTATCACATCGTCGTACGGTTGCTTCTCTTTCTATTTTTTATAAATACTATAACAGGTACTGCTTTAAAGAGTTAGCATCTCCTGTACCATCTACTAAAATCCTTTATCATGTAACTTGCATTTCAATTAAGTCTCATTATTTCACTGTGACTGTTCCTAAGTGTTCTAAAAATTCTTTTTTGTCTAGTTTTTATCCTTGAACATCAGTTTTTTGGAATTCGCACCCTTCGTCTTGTTTTCCTGATCCATATCTTTTAAGTCGATTGTTAATCATTATCTTGCTTTATAAACTTTCTAAATTCTCATCTAGTAACTTAATAGTGGTTATCTATTAAAAACCTCTAATAGCAGTTGCTTGCAGCTTTGTTGGAAGTAAAGATATTTTAAAAAAACCTTAACTGAAGTTGGTAAATAATTATTAAGTATTAATTTTAACTGAGGTCGAAAAATAATTATAAGGTACAATTAATTATTAGAATTTAGTAGTGGATAAATGGTGATCCCCCTCCTCAGGAATGCACTGCTTAGTTACTACGAAAGTGATTATTAAATTTTAAATTTATTGACCATGTTATTTCAAAACATTTAAAATATTTCAGAGCATTTATGAGCATAATAATTCTATTTACCATCTTTGTTTTTTTAAATTTTTGAACATCCAAACAATATTTTGCAAACTTCCAAATAATATTTTGCAAACATCTAAATAATTCCAAATAAAAAAAACATTTTAAGGCCATAATAAATGCTATTGATGTATAGATAAAAATATAAAAATATTTTCTTTTTCTTTTTTGTCTGAAAAACTTTCTGAATTAAAAGTTTTCATTTAAAAAGTAATGTGAAAAAATATATATACTATAGCACCAACCCAAATCTGCAGAAATGTAAAAAACATGCAGTTCTAAAATATGCAAAAGAAGCACATTTCAAAAACATGCTAAAATAAATATAAAGGAAAATTAATGCAAAAAATACTCAAAAATTAAATATAAATAGAATACCTAAAAAAGTATATACAAAAACACACCCTGACACCATATTAAGATTATTTCTAAGAAAACACCTGTAAAGGTAAAAGTTATTTTTATATTCAACTTACAATCGTGATTTTTTTCTTTCACCTCATCATAATCATCGTAATCATCTATAAATAAATAAAAACATATAACAATAAAATGATAAATATAAAACAACAAAATGATAAACATATAACAATAAAATGAAAAATATATAACAATAAAATGACAAACATATAACAATAAAATGACAAATATATAACAATAAAATGATAAATACATAAATAAATTTTGTTAAATTTTCTTAGTTAAGAATAATGAATTTTCTACCTTGCTCCTTTTTGATACATAATATTGGTTTGGAAGTTGATTGTTCATAGAAGTCATCAGCAAGTTCATCAATATTACTGTAATCAACAGAATCAGAGGATTTTTGTGTAAACTCTATAAGTTTTAAAGGAAATTTAATAAAAGGTAATTATATAAACTAATCAAAAACATTCGGAAAAAAAAAAAAAACATTTAGATGGCTGCAAATTGATTTACAAATGAAAATAAAGTAAAAGTTCTAACTTTAAAAAAAAATTAAATATATGAATGAAAACCTTGAATAGTTCCAAACTCATCTTGAGTTTTCTCTTCACTAATGTCATGAACTAAACTTTGTAATGCTCCGAATTCAGCAAGTTGACCAAGCTGATTTGCTGCATCCTGTAAAAATTAAATGTTTATAACTCTAAAATTAAAAAGGTTTTTAAATTTTATCATCATCAATGGTATCAAATCAATGGTAGCCAAGCTTGCTTTCCACGGGTTTTTGTTTACTATTGTATTCAGCTATTAAAAACAATTCATCATCATCATTATCATCATCATTGTCATCATCATCAACACCATTATAATGATTGCTTAGGCAGTTAAGTCACTTCTTTAACACTTGCAACCTTTAATATTTTCTCTTATAAATCCAAATCCTCTCATATTACATTATCCAGTGTTTCCGTTTTTCTTAAAACTGCCTCTACTTTTTTCAGCAAAAAAATAAAAATTTAGTAATGTGAGAATCATTATTATTAGTGAATGTTCATAATCCAACAAGTTTTGTTAGTTAATACACTTTTTTTTATTTTTTTTATTTTTATTTTTAATTATCTTCGCTTCCAACAAGGCTGCAAGCAACCACTAATTAGTGTTGGAAGTTACTGGAAAAAAAAAGATGAAGATTGTAGAGCAAGATAACGATTGACAGACAACTTAAAAGATTGCAAATTATATGAATCAGGTAAGCAAGATGAAGGAAGCGAATTCCAAAGAACTGATGTTCGAGGAAAAAAACTAGACGAATAAGAGTTTTTGGAGCACTTAGGAACAGTAACAGGATGAGACTTAATTAAATGACAAGTAACACGAGAATGAATTTTAGTAGATGGCACAAGAGATGCTAGCCCTTTAGAGCAGTGCCCATTATAGTATTTGTAGAAAAGAGAAAGAGAAGCAACATTACAACGATGTGACATAGGTTGAAGGTTGGCTGCAAGAGCAAGTCCAACTACACAAATATTGGCTTTTCATCGAGAAAAAGTTCCAAATCGAGAAATTGCTAGAAGATTGAAGAGATCAGATCACGTTATCCGTAATTTCTTGAAAAATCCAGCAGATTATGCAACAATCAAGAGGAAACCAAAGAAAACGCAGAATTGTTCAACTCGCATCAAATTCATCAAAAAGTTTGAAAACAATTAAGTCAGATTTGGGTTTAAATGTTTGCAAGGAGACGATTAGGAAAGTTCTTAAAGACAGCCCACACATTGTACGATCAAAAATGAATAAAGCACCAAGTTTGAAGCCCGTTCACAAACAGAAACGGATGGAATTCGCCCGCAAAAACATGGCACGCAATTGGGAACAAGTAAGAAATTTTAGATAAATTCTCATGAATACATAAGATGTCTAAATAGCTGAATATTTTTGTTTTTAATACCAGGTGATTTTTTCGGACGAGAAAAAGTTTAATCTTGATGGGCCTGATGGTTTTAGTGGCTACTGACGTGATTTGAGGAGAGAACCCAAATATTTTTCAACAAGGAATTCAGTGGTGGATCTTTGATGGTTTGGCTTGGGTTTTGTGCAACAGGAAAGTTAAATTTAGCGTTTACATCTTGCAAAATGAAAAGTTCTGAATACATTGATGTGCTAAAATCATGTTTGATTCCATTTAAAAACAAATATCGACACAAAAAGTTTGTTTTCCAACAAGACAACGCCAGCATTCACACTAGTAACGAGACTAAAGCTTGGTTTGAAGCTAAAAAAATTGAGAAAATGTGGTGGCCTGCTCGCAGTCCAGATTTGAATCCTGTTGAAAATATCTGGGGAATCATTGTAAGACGTATATATGCTGACCGAAGCAATATAACTGTAGCAGAGCTAAAAGTAGCAGTATCAGAATGCTGGGAGGATATGGAGCCAAAAGTGCTGGAAAACTTGGTGGGAAGTATGCCAAAACGAATTTATCAAGTAATTGAGCGCAAAGGAAGTCCAATCGAGTACTAAAAATGTGATAAAAACATTTTTTTAAAATAGTTCAGTGAATCAAAAATGTGAAATGCGTCTATAGAAAATAGTCAGCTATCATTTGAATTTAATTCATTTATGATCGACCTCTTTTCAAATTTGATATTATTTTTTGATAATTTTCATTATTTTTTGATACTTTATTTATAATTTATTGAAATACACTATAAAAATAAAGTTAAGTACATTTTTAAGACATAATCCACATGCGCCTATAGATAATGGTCGCAGTGTATGTGTACAATGCGTTTTTGCACCTTGTCTAAAAGAGAAAGGGCATCATTAGAAGATCTGCCCCAGATATGGCAATAGTATTCCATATAAGGCCGGATTTGAGATTTATAGAGATAGAGAATAGAATCCAGAGTAAGAAAGTGACGAGCTCGATAAAGAGAAGCGACTTTAGCAGATGCTAATTTTGCAACGGATTTGATATAAGGTTTCCAAGAAAGATCAGAAGTTAATCCTAGAGTTAATCCTAGAAGATGAAGGGTAGGAGACTCATCAAGTACATTACCGTTCATAAATATAGGAAGGTCTAAATTATTGTGATAGCGATAGGCTGAAAAAAATTGAGTTTATCTGAATTAAAGTTCACCAGCCACTGTGAGCCCCATGCTGTAGCAGAAGTGAGATCCTTTTCAAGCTCAGATGCCCCCTGCAAGCAATCAGACGGAGTTTGCTTCTTATTGTGACAAGAATAAATGGTAGTATCATCAGCGAACAATGCCACCTTAGATGTGAGAATATCTGGAAGATCGTTAATGTAAATTAAAAAGAGTATAGGGCCAAGGATTGAACCTTGGGGAAACCCTGAGGTTATAGAATAAGAAGAAGAGTGCTGTCCATCAAGGACAACTTTTATACTACGATTAGAAAGGAAGGAATTAATAATCTTAAAGATGTTACCAGATACACTGTAAGAAGAAAGCTTATGAAGAAGACCAGCATGCCAAACTTTATCAAACGCTTTAGAAATGTCAAGAGCAATGGCCTTAACCTCTCCACCTTTATCTAATGCGCAATAAAACCTATCGGTTATTACTAATAGCAAATCAGCTGTAGAACGAGAAGATCAAAATCCATATTGATGATCAGTAAGTAGGTTATGAGATTCGAGATGAGAGATTAAGTGTTTGTTAATTAAAGATTCAAAAACCTTGCTTATGATAGGAAGAAGACTAATGGGACGGTAGTTAGATGAATCAGATCGCTCTCCAGAATTTTTAAAAATAGGGATAACAGATGCTGCTTTCCAGCAGGCTGGAAAACAAGACTCTGATAAGCACTTGTTAAATAGTTTTGAAAGGATAGACGACAGCTCCGGAGAACACTTCTGCAAGACTATAACAGGTATGTTATCCGGGCTGCAAGCTGTAGAAGAGTCTAAGCGGGAAATCACTTTAGATACAGAAGCTGGCGTGATACGAATGTCGAGCAATGGATCAACCTGTTTGACGGCTATATTAGGTAGAACGCAACTAGTGGCATCAAGAGATGATATTGATGAAAACTTTTAATGTTTTGTTAGTTGATACACTTTTGCTTCAATTTTTTGCAATGATAAAAAGACATTTCTTCTTAAATAAGATGTCTTTTGATTTCTTATCTTACAACTTAAGTGATTACAAAAGAGGTGCAATATTTAGAGGCAAACAACATTAACTCGTAGACAATCACAAAGAAAATCATAAAAATATATCCAGCCCTGGTCCCAGTTTACTAGTACTCAGCCTGCTGTAATAGTAAGTGCAATTATAAATGTAGAAGAAATTTAAGATACCTATTTTATCATAAATCGTAGCAAGTTTTGAGCTTTAGCTCCAGCATGGTCAGTTTTACAAAGCCAAGCTACTCAGTGTCAGTTTTAAAGCCGAAATATTAAGTGTGCTGCTTTAAATTCACCAATAGCAAAAATATTACCAGATGGGTAATGATAAATGGGTTAATCAATTTGCCATTAAGCCATTTCTCATTGCCATTTTCACTAGAGTAACATTTAGAAGAATAGAACAAAAAGAAAAGAAATTAAGTAATGTTGTGCTAAACAAAAACACATAAAAGAATGGTTAAAAGATTCAAACTTAATTTTAGAAGATTTTCTTACTCCCAAATCCATTCTCTACCTCTATATATCTCTTATTCATCCCTGTACGGAATACTATTGTCATATTAGGGCTGGTTCTTTTAATGATGCTCTCTCTCTCCTAGACAAGGTCCATAAATGCATTGTAAATGTAATTAGACCTGCTTTATCTACTAAGCTTGAGTCACAGTCCCATCATTGCAAGGTTGCATCTCTTTCTCTTAACTACAAATTAAAACAACTACTATAGCTGCTACTCAAACAAGCTATTATCTCTCTATCAACCATAACTCATTCATTCATGTCAACTCATTCAACTAAAGTCTTTAGAAACCAGAAGATGACAGTCAACTCTAAAAATATAGTTAAGGCAGAAACTTGAACTTTAGTCAGTTATTAGTTGTTCAATTTTATAAATAGTGTTTCATTTAAACAATGGTTTTGTATGGTCATGACCTCTTTATACAAGAGTAGTTACATTTTATAAAAACAGCCTTTTAATATTAGTAAATCATTTATTTTACTATTCATAAAAAACTTGAATTCATTGACAGATATCATGGCAAATAAAAAATTTGATGTGATCCATAAAGAAACATTAGGAATTTTATATTATTTTTTAAAAGAGAGCACAGTTGAAGTGAATTCAAAATAAGACATGATCAAATGTTTATGAGTAAAAAAGTTAAACAGAAGATTGTTGAAAAAGATTATATTTTTCTAAAATGAATATATTACATAAAAGATGTTTTTTTATGTAAAGTCATTAATTCTCGCACATTAATAATCACCTTAGTGTCACTATCATAAGTCAAAATGATGTTAATAAGTTCTTGCACATTAAAACTCAACATTGTGACACTATATTTATACTTATATCTATAATCAGGGTTGGAAAAAACCCAGGTTTTTTTAAAAAAACCTAACCCAAATGGATTTTTTTAGCTTTTATAGGTTTTTTTAAAAACTAATCAAAACTCCAAATTTTTATTATTGTATATGTACAGAATTTTTTTTTTTTAATTTCATAAATTTACATTCCTATTGCTCTGCGAGCCAAACGCTTTACCACTAGTCTACAACCACATTACATCTATAGTGCAAAGGTCCAATTATAAATGATGTTAATTAATTGCACTAAATTACAAACATGTTCAGAGTATTTTTGACAAAAAAAAAATCACAATAAAAATCATTATAGCAACTGATTTATTCAAAGTTGGTAAAACAAAATGTTGCAAACTAGTTTTTATACTAACAAGTACAACATGTCACTTCAAAAACTAGTTTGCACAAGTTTACAATATGTAATCTACATGTTTACAATATGTAATCTACATGATTGTTTACAATATGTAATCTACATGATTGTTTACAATATGTAATCTACATGATTTTACAATATGTAATCTACATGATTGCAGCATGATGTTGCAACCTTGTAAATTATCGTCAATCAGGATGACTATGAACACTTTTTAAACATTTTTGCATCATAGAAGAAAACTGTTAGCCTAATGGCTAATTTTTTTTTTAACATTATACTATCCAGCTTCCTGGAAAAGTCCTACACCTGATCAACACTACGCAGTAATTATCTTAATTTTCTTATTTTATATGATCATAATCTTATTTTAAAAACATGGTGGGATCAGCCCATTTAGAGTGACATTGAACTTTTCATAATCTTTTTATTTTTCAGATTATCGATAGATTCGTTTTGCAAGTGCAAATGGAAAAAATTCGTTTTGCAAATGGAAAAAAACCTAAAAAATGTTCGAAAATGGATTTGTTAAGAACCATTAAGGTGTCGTCACCAACAGGTTCATTTTATTTTCATTGAAGATCTTTTATCGCCTTAGTTTTGAAACTAAATAAAAGTAACATTATATATAGCTCTATTGTGTGTGTTTCTTCACCTTTTAACAAATTTGGTACTGATGTTCATTTTCACCCCACTGTTTATAGTCACCCCTGTTGGTATTTATTGTAAACTTGTAGCTCATATAAAATTTTTAAAACCTGTAGAATAGACAGATTTTTACCAACAAATCTCATTCTTGTGAAGTGCATACAAGTTTCCAACATGTTCTCTTATTGAATGAGTACACATGTTGCAAACTTGCTTGTACATAATATAAGTTTTTTATGTTTTAAGGTTGTTTGCGCTTAACAAGGACAAGTAAACAGTCAAATAAAATCAAATACCAATATAAAATGACAGATATAAAACATTTGAGAGGAGAGTAAAGATTAAATAACTAGTAATTTACTTTGAAATTTAGTTAATAGTATGATTTTTATTTCCTTTAGAAATATTCAACTAATTTAATGTTTTAATACATATTTCAATAGTATTTTTTAATATTTAACTTGCTATTTAGTTTAAAAAAATAATAAATTAACAACTTGTTACAAAAAATGATTGATTATTGGATTGGATTATTCTGTAAAAAGTTTAAACTAAAAATTATATTCTCAATACCATTTTTTTATATAAATACAGTATGCAAGAGTTGAAGTTTGTTGATAAAAAAGCATTTATAAGAGTTAAAATCAGACTTATCAATTGTATTATAAAACATTTTTAAAAAAACCAAAATATATTTGTTTTTTTTTGGGTTTTTTTTTAGGGTGGGTATTTTTGGGTTGGTTTTTTTTTGCCAACCCTGTCTATAATACTATAATTTTGAAACTGAAATTTAAATTTTACATTAAAACAAAACCGTTTTTAAAAAAATTTACAAAAAGTTGTTTTTTAAACTTTACCTGATCAAAAAAATCATTTTCCAATCTTCCAGATTCGTCAATATTTCCAAACAAAAATCCAGCAAGTAGTCCATCACTCACCTCTTTGCTCATTTTTCATTCATCATTAAATACAAGGCTTTTTTAAAGAATGAAAAATAAATCTTTGATCAATCTTTTTCTACTATTACAGTGGAAATACACAAGTGGTATCAAATATATATATTTTTTTCAATTTAAAACTTTTTTGAATTTGAATTATATATATATATATATATATATATATATATATATATATATATATATATATATATATTATATATATATATATATATATATATATATATATATATATATATATATATATATGGTATATATATAATAATATATGGTATAAATCATTTTTATATGCTATTTATTTCTAAATTATCCCATGCTGTGTTTGTTACATATTGTTTGATTCTTCAACCTATAGTTCATGTTAATATATTACAATAGATTGATAATTTAATGACAACTTAGACATTTTTTCTAGCAATTTTTTTTCTGCTTATCTACATAAAGTGTTATCTACATAAACTTTATTTTTTTATTTGTTGTTTTAAAAGTTTTCAGATATTACTATTAAATATTGCTATTTAATAGTATTTAATTATTTGTTTTTATATATTGTTAAAATCTAGCAAATCAAAATTTGTAGCTCTGGCTTGTAACTTCTACCAATTTAACTTTTTAAATTTTTTTAACATATACATAATACAATTAATAAAGTTAAGGTACGGTTGAGTGAAATTAAAAATAGTATAAAATTACTACTAGACAGTATAGCCTGCCAAAAATCAGATTTTTAGTATATTTTATATAGTATAGTAAAACTCTGGCATATTTCTAGTTTGATATCTAGTTTTGAGACAAGATCTTGTGATTTGATATTTTTTTGAATTTGAATTATATATATATATATATATATATATATATATATATACATATACATGCATATATATATATATATATATGCATGTATATGTATATATATATATATATACATATACATATATTTGAATTATATATATATATATATATATATATATATATATATATATATATATATATATATATATATATATATATATATATATATACATATACATGCATATATATATATATAAATGCATATATATGTATATATATATATATATATATATATATATATATATAAATATATATATATATATATATATATATATATATATATATATATATAATTCAAATTCAAAAAAATATCAAATCACAAGATCTTGTCTCAAAACTAGATATCAAACTAGAAATATATACATATACATGCATATATATATATATATATATATATATATGCATGTATATGTATATATATATATATATATATATACATATACATATATTTGAATTTTATATATATATATATATATATATATATTATATATATATATATATATATATACATATACATGCATATATATATATAAATGCATGTATATGTATATATATATATATATATATTATATATATATATATATATATATATATATATATATGCATGTATATGTATATATATATATATATATATATATATATATATATATATATATATATATATATATATATATATATATATATATATATATATATATATATATATATATATATATATATATATATAATTCAAATTCAAAAAAATATCAAATCACAAGATCTTGTCTCAAAACTAGATATCAAACTAGAAATATGCCAGAGTTTTACTATACTATATAAAATATACTAAAAATCTGATTTTTGGCAGGCTATACTGTCTAGTAGTAATTTTATACTATTTTTAATTTCACTCAACCGTACCTTAACTTTATTAATTGTATTATGTATATGTTAAAAAAATTTAAAAAGTTAAATTGGTAGAAGTTACAAGCCAGAGCTACAAATTTTGATTTGCTAGATTTTAACAATATATAAAAACAAATAATTAAATACTATTAAATAGCAATATTTAATAGTAATATCTGAAAACTTTTAAAACAACAAATAAAAAAATAAAGTTTATGTAGATAACACTTTATGTAGATAAGCAGAAAAAAAATTGCTAGAAAAAATGTCTAAGTTGTCATTAAATTATCAATCTATTGTAATATATTAACATGAACTATAGGTTGAAGAATCAAACAATATGTAACAAACACAGCATGGGATAATTTAGAAATAAATAGCATATAAAAATGATTTATACCATATATTATTATACTGCATGTATAAACAACTGGCAACTTAGTGTTATTTCTAAAACTTATTTTATTTCTAAAAGTGCATCTGTATTAGAGAGACACTTTGCCACTACATCATAAAATAAGTGGAAATAGACACAAAAAAATTTTCAAGAAGACCTATAAAAATTATTTATTCAGAAAGCTAGTGAACAAAAGATATATTTGGCTGGAAAAAAGATATATTTGTGAATAAATTTATAAAAAAAAATGTTTTTAGCTACATTGTAAGAGATAAGATAAAGTGTGACAAAGATAAAAACGATAAGTAATTTTGAAGTTAGTGCATTTCCATATTTTCTTATGTACCTATAAAATGTTAGTAAATTCAGATGATTTTTATTGAATTTAATTTTTACCTCACAAAAATTACTTAACAGCTTATGTAAAACTTGTTTAATAACCACAAATTTTTTTTTAAGAACTAATTTCTACCAAAAAAGATCTATGCATTCATATGTACAAAAATAGCATATTACTATTACATTCTCAAATCAGTCTAATATTTTATATAGTATGCTAATGTTCTTGAAATTTGTCAGATTAAAACTGGTAAATTTTAAGAGTTATGTTATAATGTTAATTTTAATATTATTACAAATCCATGCCATGAGCACAAATCCATGCCATGAGCACAAATCATTTATATTGATGATCTTAATTTATCTAAAGAAAGTCTAAAAAGTAAACAAAAAAGTCAATTTAAGCTTCTCTTTTGTAAAACATCACTATATACAAAAATAGCTTACTAATGTGATGAGTTGTCTTTTAGAAAGGTCTGATCTTGGTGTTATGAAAAAAATTAAATATTTATAAGATTGCAGTTTAAATAACAAGCAGATCTCATAAGCGTATATTTTTAAAACCAAAAAGATATTTTGATAATATGTTTTGAAAACCTTATTTATGATTAGTTATTTTTGTTTTTTTTAAACATCTTCACTTCCAACAAGGCTGCAAATTATGTCAGGAAAATAAGATGAAGGGAGCAAATTCCGAAGAAATGATGTTCAAGGAAAAAAACTTGACAAATAAGAATTTTTGGAACACATAGGAACAATCACAGTAAAAGGATCAGACTTAATTAAATGACGAGTAACACAAGAATGAGTTTTTGTAGATAGCACAAGAGATCTAGCTCTTTAGAGCAGCCCCCATTATAATATTTGGAGAAAAGAGAAAAAGAAGAAACATTACAAGGATGTGATAATGATTGGAGGTTGGCTGCAAGAGCAGGTCCAACTATGTTTACAATGCATTTTTGCACCTTGTCTCAAAAAGAAAGGACATCATTTAAAGATCTGCTCCAGATGATGGCATCAGTATAAAGAAAAAAATCTGGAGTAAGAAAGTAGCAACCACGATAAAGAGATACAACCTTAGTGGATGCTAATAAACCTTACTACAACCTTAGTGGATGCTAATAAACCTTACTACAACCTTAGTGGATGCTAATAAACCTTACTACAACCTTAGTGGATGCTAATAAACCTTACTACAACCTTAGTGGATGCTAATAAACCTTACTACAACCTTAGTGGATGCTAATAAACCTTACTACAACCTTAGTGGATGCTAATAAACCTTACTACAACCTTAGTGGATGCTAATAAACCTTACTACAACCTTAGTGGATGCTAATAAACCTTACTACAACCTTAGTGAATGCTAATAAACCTTACTACAACCTTAGTGGATGCTAATATTGCAATGAATTTGATATATGGTTTCGAAGAAAGATTGGAAGTAAGAGTTATTCCTAGAAGACGAAGAGTAGGAGACTCATCCAGTACATTACCATTCATAAATATAGGATGATCTAGATTATAACGATAACAAGTAACTGAAAAAAATTGAGTTTTATCTGAATTAAAATTCACCAGCCACTGAAAGCCCCATGCTGTAGAAGAAGTGAGATCATTTTTAAGCTCAAATGCCCCCTCCAAGCAATTAAAAATAAATGGTAATATCATCAGCAAACACAATGACACCTCAGATGTGAGAAATTTTGGGAGATCATTTATGTAAATTTAAAAAAATATAGGGCCAACAGTAGAATCTTAAGGAACTCCTGAAGTTATAGGAAATGAAAAAAAGTGCTGTCCATTGAGAACAACTTTTATACTAAAATTTGTAAGAAAAGATTCAATTATCTTAAAGATGTAGAAAAAGAGCTTATGGAGAAGACCAGCATGCTAAACTTTATCGAAGACCAGCATGCTAAACTTTATCAAAGACCAGCATGCTAAACTTTATCGAAGACCAGCACGCTAAACTTTATCGAAGACCAGCACGCTAAACTTTATCGAAGACCAGCATGCTAAACTTTATCGAAGACCAGCATGCTAAACTTTATCAAAGACCAGCATGCTAAACTTTATCGAAGACCAGCATGCTAAACTTTATCGAAGACCAGCATGCTAAACTTTATCGAAGACCAGCATGCTAAACTTTATCGAAGGCTTTAGAAAAGTCGAAAGCAATAGCCTTAACATCTCAAAATCAATCTAATGCACAATAAAATCTATTGGTTATTACCATAAACAAATCAGCAGTAGAACAAGAAGATATCAAAATATTGATGATTAGAATGTTATTAGATTCAAGATGAAAGATTAATTCAAAAATATATATAGTTATAAAGTCATTACCATTTTTTTTTTTTAATTTTTCTTAAATCTTAAATTTTTTGCTGTTTCTACTTTTTACCTTGAAACAAATCTTAAATTGAACCTTCAACAAAATTAAACAAAACCTTTTAATCCTTTGTTAATAGTTTTACCAACATTATTTAAAATCTAAATTTGTCTAAATACATGTTTTTGACTAAAATTTTCACTAAATTTCTTATAGATTCAAAATCGATAAACAACGGGATCAACCAGATCCCCAAATTTAATTTTTGAATTTTCTTTTATATCTAATAAACTGATTTTTTAGTTGCTATCTACAAATATTTTTAACTTTAAATATCCACAAAAAGGAATAATTTGTCTATAATTCCAAAATACAGAGTTGGGAGCAAGTACACAAAGTTATTTATATATAGTTAAAAAATTTGTTTCTTGTAACTAGCAAAATAATATCATTTCAAAGTCCTCAATATGTTTCCTTGTGAGTCCTCAATGAATTTCCTACGACTTTTCAATCATTAGTTAAGATTTTTTTTCTTTGTCTTTTGAGCCCATTTTAAAATACACTAAAGTACAATCTCTTTAATTCGAATCTCCTTAATTCAAAAACCTCTATAATTCGATTAAGCATTAAGTTACTGTGAAATGTCACAATAAAAAGTCAATTTTCTATAATTCAAAAATCTCTCAAATTCTAACTTTTGTTTTTTCCAATAATGTTTGAATTAAAGAGATTGTATTGCATAAATTTCTTTTTCTAGCAAAGAAAGCACATGAATTTTCAAATAACTAATTGATGAATTTTTAAATAAAGTAATGATTTGTTGTTAAATTATAAACAAATGTATTTTAGTGAATATACAACACAAAGTTTACTTAAGGATCACCTTCATATTGCATCTAATTGAAATATTTATTAACAGTATTATCAAATTATTATTATAAAAATATTCAAGAGATTACAATACACCTAGTTCATACATGGTTTGCCCTAGTGATTAGAATATTTCAAAAAAAAAAAAAAATCTATTAACAATTTAATATATAATTTAAAAACTAAAATAATCAATAAAACAATTAATTTAAACATATAATTAAATTTAAAATAAAAAAAATTTAGATTTATAACTAAATAAATAATCAAGAAATCTGATCAAAAATATTTTGTAGAGAACAAACAACTTTATAATTTCAATTGGTGAACTAATTGTTTATTTGAAGGAAACTGTTGACCAATTAAAAAATATTTTCCAAACTAACCAACCATTAGCGATTACTCACTTGAAGATAATCAAATGTTCTTGTTAAAGATATGGAATTGTTTATTTGAAGTTAAGCCATTCTTTGCTTTATCCATTTTTTTAAATATAACAAACTGTTTAATAGAAGATAATGTTCATTTAAATTTAAAAGGTTATACAAAAGGCTTACAAAATTGTGAGCTAAAGATTGACAAAATGTTTCTTTTACTTTAAATTTAAAGAGATTTTTAAACACATAAAAAAATAAGTGTTTTAATTACTTAAGACCATTTTACTTCTTTGAACATTGTATTAAACGTTAAACATTGTTTTGGTGCAAATACATCTTTCCTTAAAGACAACCCAACATCTATTTTATCGTGATCCCACGCTGTTAAGATGCTGTTACCAGTCTATGATTACTGCGATTACTATGATTTGAACTCACTTGATTTAAACCTTCATCATTTAGCATTCAGGCATATGTCTTAAAAAAAAAAATTATATTTTTTATTTTATTTTTAATTATCTATAAATTCATATATATATACATATAAATATATATATATATACATATAAATATATATATATATACATATATATATATATATATATATATATATATATATATATATATATATATATATATATACACAACAGCACTTCAACACCAAAAACATAAGATAATTTATATATATATATATATATATATATATATATATATATATATATATATATATATATATATATATATATATATATATATATATATATATATATATATATATACATATATACACTACAAAAAAATTTATAAAACTAAATAAAAATCAGACTTGTGGGAAAAAACATTAAAAATAAAATGCTTTTTATTTAAAATAAAAGTATGGAATACTATATAAAGCAGGATAAATCAAGCCTACTTTTAGACTAAAATCCTTACAATAGTAAACAGAAAATGTTATGGTTTACAAATGTTTAGAGTTAATAATAACAACTTCAATAAATTTGTTATTAAATATCATTTTTATTTTTTACAAAATCATATTTTGATTACTTGCCACTTTCTGTCTTAATAGGGCAGAAGCAGGCCCTGTTTCAGATTTTGTTTATAGCAGGCCTTATTTGAGATTTTCATATATATATATATATATATATATATATATATATATATATATATATATATATATATATATATATATATATATATATATATATATATATAGCAGTTACGAAGTTTACTTAGTGCTGACTGTTATCCTTGTTTTCTTCAATTTATAAAACAGTTTACTTAGTGCTAACTGTTATCCTTGTTTTCTTCAATTTATAAAACAGTTTACTAAGTGCTGACTATTATCATTGTAAGTCTTCTTTAACTTATAAAACAGTTTAGCAAGTTTTCTTAGTGAACAGAAACCTAGGAAAAATTCCTAACAAAAACCTAGAAAAAAGTAAGGTTTTTGGCAAGATATACTTTTGATAAAGATTTCCAATAGTTTTATTTTTTATTTGATTTTTTCCATTGAACAAGGAAACAGTATTAATCATTCTATGAATTTTGATAGTCTCAAAGATTTTATGTAATTCCATACTATTGAAGTAGCCTTATGTTTTACAATAAATTTTTGCCAGCATAATGAAATGCTTTTAAAGGCTTAAATGTAATAGAACTATATTTTATTTTGTAATCATAGTTTTTTTTTTGCTAAAATATTCATTTAATATATTTAATTTCAGTTTGGAAATTGTTATAAGAAATTTTATACAAAATAATTGAATTACATGAAATAATTGCATTCTTTTATATAAAAATCATATTTAAAAAAACTAAAAATATAAAAGATAATAAACTTTTTTGCTTTGATGAAAACAATAACGACACATATTGCAATTGTTACAATAACACCAACAATAGAAGTTAAGAATTGTAAAACAAAACAAAGCAATAACAACAAAAAACTTTCTATATGAAAAATTATTGAAACAAACCTAGGAAAAAATTCTTTCATTGTAGTAAGATTTTGGCGAATTAAAAAACCAGCAATAATTTCAGCAACCTGAAAATAAACTATGTATTATTTTATTCTTTCATTCTCCTCTGTATAACAATAATAGAGTTATTAACATTATAGATTAGTCTAGGCTCTTTGTAAGATTATACATATTTGGGAACCTGAGGACCTGTGAGGACCGATTTCAATGGTTAAAAATAAAAAAGTAAAAAAGATATTTCAACATTATAGAACTTTCTGTAACATGTTACAGAAAGTTCTATAATGTTTTATTTAATTGAATAATATACTGTTATTCAATTAAATAAAATCTAATAAAATAATAAATGAAATGAAACTAAAACATCTGAAATAAAAGTTTTAAGCTAAAATGGATGGCCCAATAGTTGAAAAGAAGTTATCAAAATGGTTACATAAATAATTTTTATAAACATATTGATTTTTAAATGACCAAGAAGCTACAATAACATACTACACTTTAAAAACAATCTGTTAGAAAAAGTAATGAATTGCCTATCTCATTAAATTAACAAAATAATTCATTACCGAAATCAACAAAATTAATTTAGTGAAATTAACTATTTATGGATCCTTTGAAATTCTGTTAATTCAACGGATTAAAAATGTTTATGGACAATTTTTTTGTACATTTTTCAAAACGTTGTCAGTTGTGTGTAAGTTCTTTAGTCTTTCAGTTTTAAAACTTTGATTTGTAATAGTACAAATAAAATATTACTTTTATGTTGAATTATAGGATGTTACACATTTATTATTGTGATTACTTTTATTGTATTTATGATTTTGTAAATTCTAAGATAATATAACTTCCTTTACATTTTTATATAAAACATTAAAAAAATTGTTTTCACATGATAAAATAATCAAAATAATATTAACAGTGTGTATAAAAGAGTTAATAAAAGAATTAAATTTATATGTTTATAATACTTTAGATTTTTTTTTTTTAGTTAGACACATGCCACAAGGCATCACACTGTAAGAATCTGTTGTATATTGATATAATTTAAGCAGTAGTAACCAAAATAGTTTTAAAAGAAACAAATTCTTTTCAAATATGGTAAGCATGATGAAATACATCTTTAAATGACATAAATGGATCAAGATGTTTAAGAATGTTACTCCATATGTTCTAACCTCTATAATGAATGGTCCCATAAATTTATTCCAAAGACATCAAATCAAACTCCAAAAAAAAAGACAACCCTGGATCACAGACAAGTTAATAAAGCTAATTAGACAAAAAAAAAGCAAAAAATCATAAGCATTTTCTTTCCTTAACTTAAGCTCATTCATACCATAAGTAATATACCTATACTTTTGTCTCCTAAAGCTATATATGTATATATATATATATATATATATATATATATATATATTATATATATATATATATATATATATATATATATACACATATATTATTTATAAATAAAACTGCATATTTTTCACAACTACTAGTTTCATGCTAAATGCAATCATTAGGTGTAAATATGTTTTTTTTTCTCGTAAAAATAATAAATCTGTACAAAAGAAAATGAGTTAAAAAATCTAATCTTTTGGTTTGTGGTTGTCCAGCAAAAACTTGTTCTCATGGCGACATTTAGATATTAGTTTGTTTTTTTTGTTTAATAATTCTTGAGGATTTTTATACAATAAAATAATTAGTTTTTCGTATAAGCATAACAAGCATTTTTTGGTTATGTTGTTGTAGGCGTGGGCATATTTTGTGATGGACCATTTTAAATTGGGTGTTGTTTTTGTTTTATTTTGTGTATCCCATATATATTTACAAAGCGTGGTTGCATTTGTGAGTTTTTTATTTTTGAAGGATTGCTTGTGATTCGCCCATCTAGTTTTCCACATGCCCTCTGTTGAACCAATGTATGTTTTGTCGGATGTGTTTGGGAATGATGCAATGCACTTATAAATTACATTTGTTTTTCTGCAATTTCCATTCATAGGGCAGATTTTGCTTAGTTTACAATTGCAAGCTAAAGTGGCCGTTGGGTTTATCGAAATAATTTTATTGTTGTGGTTCTTTATAATTTTTGCTATGTTGCTTGTACAGCTGTAGCTGACTTTTGTTGTGTTACGGTTAAATAGTTTATGAAGCGGATTTGGTTTTGGAAAGTGTTTGTCGATTAATTGTAAGAAGGTTTTGCCTATATTTGTGAGAACGTTTTTATTGTATGGTGGGTTAAACCAGATTATATTTCTTTTAGGGCTTCGTCATATTCTTCCCTTGCCGAGTTTTTGCTATGCTTTTTGAAATCAAATCCCAATATCTTGCTATTTGCAGACAAAACTAACAATATTTATGAAACACCTCCCAAAGACCACGCTAAACTTCTGAAAGAAAATATCACTAAATCATATTTTTCACAACTATTAGTTTCATGCTAAATGCAATCATCAGGTGTAAATATGTTTTTTTTCTCGTAAAAATAATAAATCTGTTCAAAAGAAAATGAGTTAAAAAATCACCATTAAAAATAATAAATCTGTACAAAAGAAAATGAGTTAAAAAGCACCATTAAAACTTGAAAATGCAAAAAACCTTGAAGCAAAAAGCATAGCAAAAACAATAAATATATCTAACAAATCTAAAATAATTGCCAAATCAGAAGCATTCATCACTCTGAAGGACCATAAAATCAATTTTTAAAACATAAAATCCTGCCGCCTAATAAATCCAGCAAAGAGCGAATTTGGCATTGTAAGCAAAACCTATTTAGATAAGATTAATAAACATATAAAAAGTACATTAAAATTAAACCAGTGGAAAAATACCGCTGAAGTCATCAAATGGTTCAAAAGCATAAAAGAAAAGAAAAACTACACTTTTATCCAACTCGACATCACTGAAGTTTACCCATCCATCACACCCACACCCATCCATCACACCCACAACATCCATCACACCCACAATTCTAAAAAATGCTCTAAAGTTTGCAAAACAACTTATTAAAATTAGCGAAGAAGAAATCAGAACAACTATCCATTGCAGAAAGTCTTTGTTATTTTTCAACAACGAAACTTGGAAAAAAAAGTCAACTAACGACTGCTTCGACGTCACAATGGGTTGTTACGATGGAGCCGAGGTTTGCGAGCTGGTCGGTCTGTATATATTATATTCATTATCTGAAACTGTTACCAACAATGATATAGGCCTTTACCGGGACGACGGACTGATAATAATGCCTCAAAAATCTGCCAAACAGATAGATAGAATCCGAAAAAATATTATAAAAATTTTTAAAAAAATCGGCTTCCAAATATAAATTACGACAAACCTAACAATCGCTAACTTCTTAAACGTTACATTTAACCTTGAAAAAGACTCATATCATCCTTTCAATAAACCAAATAGCAACCTACTTTACATCCACACTGAGTCCAACCATCCCCCAAAAATAATTAAACAAATTCCGATTGCTATCAACGATAGGTTATCCCAGAATTCTTCTGACGAAAAAATATTTAACTCGGCAAGGGAAGAATATGACGAAGCCCTAAAAAGAAATGGGTTCAAAGATTTTAGCTTCAAATACAACCCTAAAATTGATACCAAAGTAACCCCCAATCGTAAAAGAAAAATAAATATAATCTGGTTTAACCCACCATACAATAAAAACGTTCTCACAAATATAGGCAAAACCTTCTTACAATTAATCGACAAACACTTTCCAAAACCAAATCCGCTTCATAAACTATTTAACCGTAACACAACAAAAGTCAGCTACAGCTGTACAAGCAACATAGCAAAAATTATAAAGAACCACAACAATAAAATTATTTCGATAAACCCAACGGCCACTTTAGCTTGCAATTGTAAACTAAGCAAAATCTGCCCTATGAATGGAAATTGCAGAAAAACAAATGTAATTTATAAGTGCATTGCATCATTCCCAAACACATCCGACAAAACATACATTGGTTCAACAGAGGGCATGTGGAAAACTAGATGGGCGAATCACAAGCAATCCTTCAAAAATAAAAAACTCACAAATGCAACCACGCTTTGTAAATATATATGGGATACACAAAATAAAACAAAAACAACACCCAATTTAAAATGGTCCATCACAAAATATGCCCACGCCTACAACAACATAACCAAAAAATGCTTGTTATGCTTATACGAAAAACTAATTATTTTATTGTATAAAAATCCTCAAGAATTATTAAACAAAAAAAACAAACTAATATCTAAATGTCGCCATGAGAACAAGTTTTTGCTGGACAACCACAAACCAAAAGATTAGATTTTTTAACTCATTTTCTTTTGTACAGATTTATTATTTTTACGAGAAAAAAAACATATTTACACCTGATGATTGCATTTAGCATGAAACTAATAGTTGTGAAAAATATGCAGTTTTATTTATAAGTAATATATGTAAATACAGCTCTGTTTTAATTTAAATCATTTTAATTTACTTTAATTCATCAAGCACTCTCGCGAAGATATATGCAAGCACTAATACGTATACATATATATATATATATATATATATATATATATATATATATATATATATATATATATATATATATATATATATATATATATATATATATACAGTATCGGACAAAACAAGTGCAACCAAATAATGCTAATTTAGTTTCTTTATATAAAAGTGCTGCAATTTTCAATTTAGAGAAATAACTATGTAACTGTTTAGAGACAATGTTCTTCAAGTTTTATTCATCACTAAGTTCATTATTTATACACGAAAATTAATAATTTAATCAAAAGTATTAAAAAAATTTGATTTCCTTCAGACAAAACAAGAGCAACTCCACAAAATGTTGATCAAGCCGTATTTTGCTATCAATACTTCGTGGCGAATCCTCGATCACAGTCTTGCATCTTCGAGGCATAGATTCGATCAGGTGATCAATGAAACTTTGTGGAATCACTGCCCAGGCCTTTTGGATTTGTTCAAACAGTTGATCCTTATTAAGAACACCTTCACGATTAATTTTGCGGTTGACAATCTCCCACAGGTTCTCAATAAGGCTGAGATACGGAGATAGAGGCGGCCAACCCATCACCGATAGGTGGTTGTCTTGAAACCACTGCTTGACTACTTTTGCAGTCTATTTCAGATCGTTGTCTTGCTGAAAAACCCATTTTATTGGCATATTCCATTCAGCATGAGGTAACATAACGTCTTTCAGGATATTTTTATACATGAAACAGTCCATTATTCCATCAATTTGATGTATTGGATCTAGACGGTTAGCAGAAAAACACTCCCAGACCATTACATTGTCTCCACCATGCTTCATGGTCTTATGGCAGTAACGTAAATCGGGGCGTTTTCCAGCCGGTTGACATACACAGCAAATGCCATCGCTCCCTATGATGTTGAACTTCGATTCATCACTGAATAGGGCAGTTCGCAGTTTCTGCACATTCCAGTCAAAATGAGATGTAGCAAACAGGAGTCTTTTCTTCTGGTTCTTTAGTGAAATCAGCGGTTTCTTTGCAGGGCGTCAAGAAAACAACCCGGCTTCAACAGCACGTCGTCTGATTGTTCGGTCCGATACAGACAGCTCTAATTGCTTTTGTATCTCGACTGATAATATCCAGGGATCCTTATTGACGGATCTGATGATCATAGAATCCTCTCTAGAAGTGGTGGAACGCGGTCTTCCACCTTTGTTATCTGCTGCCAACTTCCCCGTAGAACGATATTTGGAACATAGTCGTGATACGGTCCATTTTTTCACACGATATTTATCACAAATACTTTTTTGTGACATTCCACTAACGTAATTGCCAATAATTTTCTTTCTTAATTCCAATCCAAGACTGTCGGGAGCCATTTTTGCACTTAAAGTCATAAAAATAATAAAAATAAATTATTACACTTCTCAAGGCTTACCGTATTACATTTACCTTGTGATGATACAATAAAGCTCTGTGGAACACAACGTCTTGGTTGGATGTGGACTGTATTGATGTAATGAAACACTTGTTGTATTTCACTTTTTGTATTGATGTTCTTTGATAAAACACTTTGATAAAGCTCATTTCGATAAACTGTCTTGATAATACTGACTGATTGACTTCCATATACTGACTGAATTACATGTCGGTTTACATGTCTCTTATATAGTAAAATGAACCTGTGTGAACCTGTTCTGGAAGATTCTAAATGCATCTTTTTGATGCTTCTCGAAGCTTCTGGATGCGTCTGGATGTTTCTGAATGTTTTTGGATACTTCTGGATGCTTCTGGATGCTTCCAGATGCTTCTTCTGAAAACTTCTGGAAGCTTCTGCATGCTTCTGGAAACTTCTGGATACTTCCTTTAATTATTAAAAAACTTCTATGTAATTTCTAGTGAGAAGTAAGATCACATTAATTAATTAAAGATTAATTAAGATCAGACCCATAAATTGGAGATGTAATCTTAAAAGTCGATAGAACATTTAAGATAAGATACAAGATTTAGTAAACTGAGAATAATAGACCTTAGAATTCGGCAGTCCCCTTTTACATTGACTTCTTGCAATAATAAAAGGATATTTTATTCTTTAGAGAGATGTTCTTGTAAAAAAAATGAAAAAAATGATTACAGTTTAATATAGCAACAGCACAAGAAAGTGAAAAATGTTGTGTAGAATGAGGCTTGATTTAAGACCAAAGAGAAGGAACAAAAACTTATATACCTGCTTGGTTCCAGGATGTTAGGTAAAAGGATCAGGAGGTTAGTTAAGAGGCGCATTTATACTAACATATTATGGATATTTATGGATTTAAACCCTTATGATTGCTTATACATGGATATAAATATATTTGCTATTTATTTAGATGCTGGCATACTATCTTTACATACTTGTATAAATATTTTTAATTATATGGTGTAGTATTTGCTGAAAGAGAAGATGATGATCAAATGGATGTGTGGTATGACTCAATAAGACAAGAAAATGAGCCATGATGATATATATTTATATATATAAATCATCATGATCATCATGATCATAATCATCATCATCATCATCAGATGATGATGATCATGACGATTTTTATATATAAATATACATGCACATATTTATAAAATATAAAACTAATTCAAATTAATAAAATGTACTTTAAGATGTATTAATGTTTATGCAATCCTGGTCACAAACCCAGCCCTGGCTATTTTTATCAAACCAGGCCCTGGCCCCAGTCAAATTTCTATCTTGGTCACTTACTAATGATAGCAAGCTAATGATAAGCTAGGTAACAAACACAATCTAAAAATTTTTTTTGCATGAATTAATAGTAAACAAATCTCAGATTCAAATCAAATCAGTAATGGTAAAAATTAAAAAATTAAAATTAAAAAATTTAAAATAAAAGTAAAAAATCTCTTCAACCAAAATAAGTTTTTCAAAAGAAGATTTTATACACCATCATTCAGCCACCATTGATTCAGCCACCATTGATTCAGCCACCATCATTCAGCCACCATTGATTTAGCCACCATTGATTCAGCCACCATTGATTCAGCCACCATTGATTCAGCCACCATTGATTCAGCCACCATTGTTTCAGCCACCGTTGATTCAGCCACCATCATTCAGCCACCATTGATTCAGCCGCCATTGATTCAGCCCCCATCATTCAGCCACCATTGATTCAGCCACCATTGATTCAGCCACCATTGATTCAGCCACCATTGATTCAGCCACTAAAACTATTTTACATGAAAAGCAAAGGCTTTAACTTCAGATATAATGATGCAAAGCAAAGACTTTAACTTCAAATATAATGATTGATTAATTTTGAACTAAATGTATAAATGGAGCAGTGTCAATTAGTGAGATAAACCCTTAGGAAAACCACCAATTTGGCTAGCATGTACATTTTAGTAAAATCATAGCATATTCTAAAAATGGAGATCAAAATAGAACATTAAGCACAACCTAGAGTCATAGACAAAACACAAACCAAGGAGCAAAGATAAGAGATTTGGATTGTCTGGAAACAACCCAAAAACCTAACTGGGTAAGGTTTTTAGCTCTTGATGGGTGTTAGTAGAGTCAGTGGTATTAGGTCCAAACTATATATTGTGATGAGCATTAATAACAAGAATAATGACAAATAGATAAAATAAAGTATTTAGTCAATTTGATTAGAAATAACATTGAAAAAAAATGAAAGGCATAAACAGAAAAAAATAAAGTAAAATAATAATAATAAAGAAGATTAAGTTAAAGAAAACAAAGAACAAAATAGAAAAGAAAAATTCAACTAATTTCAGGGCTTCATCAATAATAAATTTGAATTGAGTTTTTATTGAAAAAATAAACTTGAATAATTTTTTTTTCAAGATTTAATTTTTATTATTATCACAAGAATTTTTTTACTTTTATATAAGAAGCCATTTTTGAATATTATATACCAGTTATCTGCTTCAGATTTTAACACTGCTCTCAAGAAACAAAATAACACTTTCATTTAATAAGAAATTTTTATTACTTCTATTATACCTGATAAAAAAAAATTGCAGTAAAAAATAAAATTAATTTTCAACCAATAAAGCAAGGCTTTAAAAGATACTGAATAATATATAAATATTAATATAAATCAAGATATATTATTATCAGTATTGTTATGTTTGAAGAAATATTTAGGCTTGCCTTATCGGGAACATCTTCGTGAACCATGTGACCACATTTTGCTAACACCTGCATTTGGAATTTTCCTTAAGATAAATAAAAAAAAGCAATAGCATTATCTTATTTGATATAAAAACTGTCACATACAAAATTAAATTAAATGATGTTTAGGTGGTTGAAGAATCTCTACCTTGATATTTCATCATTTTTTTAAATTAAAGTCACACTGAGATGATATCTTCATGATGTTATTTAAAAAATATTATAAAACCTAAAAATAAAACCTTGCATCTGTCCAATAGTGAGAGCGGTATCAAGACGATCAATACCTGTAAAATAAAAAAATTCCATAATTTTAATTAAATTGAAAGGTATTCAAAATTATTAAGTTAAAAACTATAAACTCAATCAAATTATTATTTAATAAAATTAAACAATTAAAGTAAAACTAAATGATAAAACCTGCTAAAATTAGCATTTTCGGTGCAGAACAAGACAAAAACAATGAGGACATATTCTCAAACCAACCTATGTTAAAATAAATGCATATATATATATATGTATATATATATATATATATATATATATATATATATATATATATATATATATATACATATATATATATACATATATATATATTTATATATATATATATATATATATATATACATATATATATATACATATATATATACATATATATATATACATATATATATATATATATATATATATATATATATATATATATATATATATATATATATATATATATATACATATATATATATACACACATATATATATATATATATATATATATATATATATATATATATATATATATACATATATATATATATACACACATATATATATATATATATATATATATATATATATGTATATATATATATATATATATATATATATATATATATATATATATATATATATATATATATATATATATATATATATATATTAGAATACCACTAAAAACAACTTTTTTTGATATTGTCTGCTGCCACCCCCTAAATGTGTTTTATGTAATAAATTAACACTAAATTAAAAAAATTTTTGAATAAAAAAATATTTTAGGGGTAGCTCACCACCCTTAAACATCAAACGGGCCCCTAATATTTTGAAAAAAAAAGTTCTTCAAAAGTATATCATGTTGGGTCTCAAAAGAAGTGAAATTTTATGAAAATTTCAAAAATAATAAAAACAATTTATGGAAACACAAATTAAAAAAGTTTATTTTAAAAAAAACTTTGAAAATATGTATTTTTAATTTTTTGTTAAAAATTTTAGTTTTTAGGCCATAAAATTCAAACTAGTAATATTTATATAAAATGATTATTATTTTTGAAATTTTTATAAAATTTTACTTTTTTTGAGACCCAACATGATAACTTTTTTTTTTAAATATTAGGGACTTGTTTGATGTTTAAGGGTCTTGAGCAACCCCTAAAATTTTTTTTTATTAAAATTTTTTTTTAATTTAGTGTTAATTTATTACATAAAACACATTTAGGGGGTGGCAGCAGACAATTTCGAAAAAAGTTATTTTTAGCGGCACTCTAATATATATATATATATATATATATATATATATATATATATATATATATATATATATATATATATATATACATATATATATATATATACATATATATATATATATATATATATATATATATATACATATATATATATATATATATATATATATATATATATATATATATATATATATATATATATATATATGAATATATATATACATATATATATATATATATACATATATATATATATATATATATATATATATATATATATATATATATATATATATATATATATATATATATATATATATATATATATATATATATATATATATATATATTGTTGGCTGGTGGACTTTAACTTTAAATTTTTTTCAGCTAATTGTTATCCTAATAATCTAGATCTTCCTATATTTATAAACGATAATGTACTCGATGAGTACATTATCGTTTTATTGTGCTCGCCAATTTTTTACTCTCGAATCTATTCTATATTTCTATAAAGCTCAAATCCGTCCTTGTATGGAATACTGATGCATTTCTGAGGCGGATCTTAAAATGATGTTCTTTTTCTTTTAGACAAGGAGCAAAAATGCATTGTAAACATAGTTGGACAATGATATGATAATGATCTCCAATCATTATCATATCATTGTAATGTTGCATCTCTTTCTCTTATTTATAAATACTATAATGGGCACTGCTCTAAAGAGCTAGCATCTCTTGCGCCATCTACTAAAATTTATTCTCTTGTTACTCGACATTCAATCAAGTCTCATTTTTTTACTGTGACTGTTCCTAAATGCTCCAAAAATTCTTATTTGTATAGTTTTTTTCCTTGAACATTAGTTCTTTGGAATTCGCTTCCTTCATATTGTTTTCCTTCATAATCTTTACCTTGCTCTATAAACTTAATCTTTGTCTTCCAGTAACTTCCAACTCTAATAGTGGTTGCTTGCAGCCTAATTGGAAGTAAAGTGATGAAAAAAAAAAAAGAATATATATATATTTATATATATTTAAATTAAATAAATCTATATATAGGTATACCTTTCCAATATTGCTCAGTCTTTTTGAGATCAATTCTCCACTCATAAACATGAGTCTGAAAAGAAAAGTTCTTAAATAATACATTTAACTTATACAAAACAAAATTATTAAATTTAGACAAAATTATTAAATTTAAACAAAATTATTAAATTTAAACAAAATTATTAAATTTTTAAAACGATATTTTTTAATTTCCAAAAACTAAAAAATAAAAAAATTGTCCTAAATTAATAAAACTTATTTTTCTGATTCAAAAAATATGTCAATGTCATCAATCATCAATGACATCTATCATCGCCAGTGATAACATCAGTCATCATTATTAATAAGATCATAACCACTAATAAGACCAGTCATTGTCATGGATAACATTAGCCATTGCCACTGATAACATCAGACATCATCACTAACAAGATCAGTCATCATCACTGATAACACTAGTCATTGTCACTGATAACTTTATTTTTTGGCGTATTAATTTGAAAAATTTGTACTAATTTATTTACATTATTGAATTTTTACATTTTTATCAAACTTTCTAAATGTTAAATAATAAACTAGTTTTTAATAGAGTTTAGAGTTTTTAACTCTGAATCTAATAGTAATATTTTTATTTTATTTTGTTGTAAAATAAAAAATCATTTGATAAAAACTAAAAAAAGTAATATTCTACTTAAGCTGGTCAATAATTAATAAATAGTAATTGGTTATTTGTAGCAAGAAACAACCAATAAATGTTTACTTCCCTAATTATTTATGCCAGTAATTAAAAAAATAATGATCTACAATACTACTTCCTCTATAAATTTCTTTTCTATTTCTATAAAAAGAACGCCATTTCTTTTTTTTAATATGTTAATATTAGTCTTATTTTACTATCAACAAAATGCTGAAAAACAACTACAGTGAAGATGATGTTGAAAATGTAGACCAACTGCGTTATCAGTTGAAACTGAAAAGTACTTGGTGGTTCCATTACTCAATATTGGAACCACCAAGTATACTTGGTGGTTCCAATATTGAGTAATGGATAGATATATTTTTCTTTTGATTAGTTTTCACGTATGAATTGGTTTTCTCTTTCATTTTTATTGCTTTCTTATTGATAATTATGTTGACCAACTTTAATTGAAAAAAGTATAAATCTGGTCAAAAAATGTTTTAAATCAAAAATATGTTTTCCATCAAAAAGAATAATTAAACTTTTCCTTAACAAAAAACAAATTATTTAGTTGAATAAATAAAGATATAGTTTCCTTAACAACAAAAAATTGCTGTCAAACTAATTAAAGTTTTGTTTTTTAATTGAAATTCCAAGTTATAACATAAAAAGTTTAAAAAAAAAAGATTTCAATTTGTCGCTTGAAAATTATTTTAAACAACAAAAGAAAAAGAAATAAATCTGGTTTTTGATTTTAAACATTTTGTATGAATGCAAATACAAATAATTTTAAGAACGCAAATATCAATTAAACTATCTTGTATACATTTCTTGTTTTATTTAAAATAGTAGCTATTGTTTCATTTAAAAAGTTAAGAACACTTAAAGAATTTCTAGTTTTACAAGTTACCATGGAAATTCTTATCTTAAAAAAAATTTGGTTTACATTCATTATAATATCAATAAAGTATTTATAATTATTGTTCAGTTACTTAACATTATAAAACACCTGCAGGCTTGGTCCGCAAAATGCGGGCAATCACACTCTATAACTGACCACGGAAATAATATTTAGTTGTGAAAAACCAGCCAGATTTTTTAGTCGTTTTAAGAACATTTAAGTTTATGTATGTTACCTTGTTTGTCCGCAAAATAACAATTAAGTTCATTATTTTATCATAAGTTTTAGAATATTTTGTTTTACGAACTTACATGGATAAACATACATAAACTCGAATATTCTCAAACATCTTTGCGCAGAAAAATAAAAAAAACATATTCGCAAACACAAATAACCCCCCAAATCTACGAACAACTAATTCTATTGGTTCAAAAAATACTAGTCAAAATTTCTGGAGTATTCAAAAAATACTAACCGAATGTTGTAGAGTACTCTGTTATTTTTAAAAATTGTATCATTCGAGTTTTGTTATGTTTTCGTTGAGATTTCTAGCATAAATTGTTTTAAGAATAAACTATCAAACGAATTATTATTTTAATACTATGGCTCATTCTCGGAGCCACATCTACAAAGCTGTAAATATTTTAAACCAACATTATTTGTTTATAAAAATAAATCTTTTTAATTTATATTATTTAACTTGTTAAAGTTTTTTTTTTTAATATATTATAGATTTTATTAGTTTATTTTTATTTTTTATATGTAAGGGATGTATTTTTTATGTATGTAATGTATTTTTATGTATGTAATGTATGTTTATGTATGTTTTTTTATGTATATAATTTTATGTATGTAATTTTATGTATGTGTATTTTATTCAAATGTAATCTTTTAAAGCAGCTTGTGCGATTGATTTTGTAAACAAAAATACTTTCAATAATAACTGTGTTTTCAATGAAATTTTATTAATAATCATCAAAGTTAATACAAATAATTTTAACCACTAATCCATTTTCCTCAGTGTACCGGATAATCGATTCTTTCCCCCAAACAAGAAAAATTTTTAAGTTCTTAGAAATTGGTTTATTAACTTAAACTATTTTTGTTTCAGCCATTCTTATAAACTCGTTATACTTAAACTTAAAGTTACTCTTTTCTGTTTTAAATACTAATTAAAACTAAAATGCCCACTCACTAAACATCATCAGCGGTATTGTGGAGCAGTTCCGCTTCCTTTTAACTAAGTATTTTAACGTTTTTAGTTAATTTATATCTAGCTAATTGAATTTCTACAGTAACTTAATGATTTAATTATTTCATTTGTTCATCTTATTAAAAAGAACTGTTTCAAATGTGTTAAACTTTTCAAACAACGCAAAGCATAAAACAGCTATTGAAAAAACTTTTTTATTTATAAATAAATCATCTAGCGTTAGTTTTATTGGTTGAATTTTTGTTGGACTTTTCAGGGCTGGGGGCTGCATTATTTTAGTGGCCTTTTTTATGTGCCACAGCGTAAAAATGACTAAAAAATACAGAATAGTTCTAAAAAATACAGAATGACTATTTCGAAGCCTAACATTGTGAGTCCCAGGGCTATAGCCCTTCTACCCCTCCTTCCCCTCACACCCACACACCTCCTCAATCCAGCACTGCAAATAAGACATAAGTATATAAATAAAAATTATATATACTCTTTGAAAAATCGAAGAACATTTGTTTCCTTATTAAACAATCATTAATAGTAAGTTGTTACTTTATATAAAAAATGTCGCTTAATTTTATAAAAAAAATGATAAAAGAGCGACGTTTCAAAAATATTTGCTCTAATCGTATTTATTTTGCTAAAAGTTTTTTCGCGTTAGAAGCTATTTTCTTTTTTTAACTGTCACTCATTGGTCCAGTTAATCTTATTGTGCTTTTGTTTGTTTTTGAAATGTTCTCAAAACGGCTAAAAAATCTGGCCAGTTTAACGCAACTAAATATTATTTCCATGGTCAATTATCGAGTGTGATCGCACCCGCTTCCCGACCAAGCCTGCACCTGTCATCAACACTAATAATACCAGTCATCAAAACTAATAACATCTATTATCGTAACTGATAATATCAGTCATTTTCACTAATAAGATCAGTAATTTAACTAATAAGATCATTCATTGTCACTAACAACATCAGTCATCATCATTAATAACATTAGTCATCAAAAGTTTTAAAAAAAAAAATTTCAAAAATAACTTCTCTTAAAAATGTGGTTGACAATCTTAGTTTGATAGACCTAGAAATGCTTTTTTAGAATACTTGGTGGGTGATAAGAATCTGCGTATATGTAAATAAGTATATTATCCAGTTTGCGGTAAGCTTGAAAAGAATTGTCATTAAGGTTTAGTGTTAGATTGAGATACTTAACTTTATGGTTGACTAAATTACAGTTGATAGAGATAAGCAGATTGTTACTTTAAAAAATTTTAACAAAATGTTTTTTATCTTTTCCATTTCCTGACCACCTTTATTCCTAAACATAGCTAAACCATTATCTTGATATATACCAAAATTATTTACTGTTATAAAACTGCGATAGTTGATGTAAAATAAATATTCCTACTAGTTCACAAACCTCTGCTCATCAAACACCCTTATGGTGACATTCAACGATAGTTTGTTTTTCAGCTTAAATAATATTAGATAAAATGTATTTTGAAACTTTTCCAACCTCATTTATGGCAGAAGTTGAACAGTAGATTTATTTAGGAAGTTTTCTTTGTGGTCTTTTAGAGTTATTAAACAATCAGAAGTACTGTTAATTTCAATTTTATTAGAGACATCATGGTTAATTAATTTTTTTTTTATCTTGTTTATTAATTCGATTTTTTAGTTTACAGTCAGCCTTTTTAAATGTGGCATTCACATTATTTAGGAGGTGTATTGATCATTAGATTAATTTTTAAACTTGGGTATGTTTGACCATTTGAAAATTTTTAATACAATTAGGTATAGGAATGGTACAGAGTTATCTAAGGAAGTATGAGAAAAACTTTATACCTTCAATAAAATGGAAAATTATTCCCTCATTCGATACTGGAGATTAAGCATAAATTATTTACTTTAAAACTCATGCCACCATAATTCTATTAGTAATATTAACGTTTAATTTTTAATTTTGCAATTTATGGCTGATGATTACAGTTACGCATAAAACTTAAAGTTCCATAATATAATTTTCTTTTTAAATTTTTTTAGTTTTTAATTATATATATAGGCATTTCCAAAAAATCACGCACAGAAACTCGTATATGTTTTGCCTATTATTTTCATAAAAATAAATCTTTAATGTACTATTATTTAGTAATTTTATCAAGGAGTAAATTAAGTTTGAAGCGGAATTACGCACAGAACAGAACAACTCAAATTTTAGTTACTACATAAATAAACCTTAACTCCTCCAAAAATATAAGTTTTAGCATTTACTCTTTTTTTTTCACAATATTAGTTAAGATTTCCTAATAATAACAATATTAGTTAGGATTAGGATTAATTAGGATTAGGAATAACAATATTAGTTAGGATTTGAAAAATACAGGATTGCTTTATGTATCAGAGAGTCACAGCAATCATTTAAATACAGTTCATGAATGATCATGCACGAAAGTCACGCACAGAAGTTGCAAATTTTTCAATTTCATTCAGTTATTTTTATGAAAATAAATTGCCTGTGAGCATTTCAAAGAAATATTATATTTCTGCGACTCATATTTTTGATAAGGAATGGCAGTCATTAATTATTTCTAGCTAGAATATATATATATATATATATATATATATATATATATATATATATATATATATATATATATATATATATATATATATATATATATATATACATACATATATATATATATATATATATATACATACATATATATATATATATATATATATATATATATATATATATATATATATATATATATATATATATATATATATATATATACATATATATATATATATATATATATACATATATATATATATATATATATATATATATATATATATATATATATATAAAGTAGTAGAAAATCACTTAAAAATTTTTTTTTTCATTTAACAGTGTTTCATCGCTGTGTTTCATACTACTTTATTATTACTTTATTATCATTAATTATTTCTAGCTAGAATATATATATATATATATATATATATATATATATATATATATATATATATATATATATATATATATATATATATATATATATATATATATGTATGTATGTATGTATGTATGTATGTATGTATGTATGTATGTATGTATGTATGTATGTATGTATATATGTATGTATGTATTACTCATTTCCAAATTGTATCTGCACTACATATGATAAAATGAATAAATTTAAAACAATACCTCCTCTTCTTCCTCCTGAAGATCATCACATTGTACATCTTCTTCTAACTCAGTTATTGCTTGATTATAAAGAGAATTATCTTTTATAGCTTTAACTTTGAAGGCATTTCTCCTATTCTTGTTAAAAATAAGATATTATTAACAAATTTTAACAGGTTTCAGTTTATAAGTTAAATAAGTAAGATCCAAATGAGTTAACATATTTTTTAAAACTTAACACATATATAACAAATTTGCAGTACATTTATTATTCAGATAAAAAATCTAATTTACATGTTACAATGTTTTTATAGATTTATAGATTTGATGATGATTGATTGATTTTATGATAACTGACTTGATACAATAGATGCTAATAAACCAATCAAATATAAAATGAAAAAATATATAAAATTTAAAAAGTTTGAAAAATTACCGTCTAATTTGCCCAGGAACAGAAACTCTTGCTGATTCAATATTTCGTAAAGTTCCAGATCTTAAACTTTAAACAAAAAAAAAACAATAAACTTTATACTAACCAAATGAAATTATTTAAAACCAACTTAATTTTTTTAAAAATAATAAAACCTCCATTCAATAGCTTGATCAGTGGATTTGAACGTTTGAGGACGGCTTCTTAGAAAACTCTGCATGGAAGAAAGTGCATCAAGTGCTGTACCTAAGCAAATTAATTTTTAATTTTCATCAAATTATTTGATGAAAATCAAAAACTTTTTTACATTTAAATAAAGAGCATTAAAAGCATATGATTGCATTTTCACCTGTATTTTTCCATATAATACAACTTTAATACAACCTTCTCCTCAGCCTCCTCCGGCCAAATATTCTATTAAATTCTTATTTCAACTCTTTTCTCCTACCTATGTGTAATTCATACACAAGAACTAAATTTAGCACTGACCACCAAAAGCTAATCAGCATAATTCAATGCAAGTATAATTTTTTAAATATTGATATCCTTCGCATCTCAAAACCCACATTAAACATTTTATTATTATAACATCAGTCTATATATTTCAAAATATTATTTCAAAGTATTATATAAAATAAATATTATTAATATAATGAAATAAAACAAGAAATAGTATGAAGAAACCACAAAATTTTTTACTAAATTTAAAGAATACTTATTTTTAAATAAAAACTTTGTTAGTATGCAGACTTTAATAAGAATAATTTTTTATTTTTTAAAATAAAAGATTTAATCTTATTAAAGTTTGCAAATCTCAAATGTCTTTTTTTCCATTATTTTATCTCAATTTAGTAGTTTATTTGTTTATGTAAAAAAAAAAAAAATTTAAAAAAATTAATTTTTGTAAGATAAAAAAGAATTAACATAAGTTAAAGATTAATTCTGAAAGACAACTACCTTCAACAACGTCAATTACAGCTAAACCAACTAATGGAATAAGCTCTTTTACTGCAACATGAACAGCTATTGCTCCTCCCATGCTAAAAAAGAATCAGTTCTAAATCTAAGTTGTTTCAATAAAATTTATTGACCTTACTAAATTATTATAACAAATAATTATTTATATAAACAATTACTATTATAACTATAATTACTAACATAAATTAACATAATTTATGTATTATGATAACCATAAATCATTATTAATTTTTATAAATTATAACCAATAATGCATCCCTTACTTGTGCTAAGGATGTACCCCCTCTTCTTGTCCTAACAATGTATCTCTTAAAATTATGTATTTATAGTAACTTTATATTTCAGTACTCTCAGATCAGAAATAATGGATTAAGGTCCTTCACTACGAAGCGCTTACACAAGCTGACACACACACACACACTTATATTTTTTTACATGTTTTTATGATTTTCAATTGGAGTAGGTTTCTCAAAGTATAAAAATTGAAAAAAAAAATATTTTAATACTTGTTATAATAAACCTAAAAAAACGCAGAAAGAACTTAAAGAAATATATTTAAATCTCAAGCTACCAGTTATGAGATGATAATCCATAGTTGTGTAGGCAAATATATGGCTACAAACCTTTTTTTTTTTTTTTTTAGAGAAAATTCCTTTTGCATTTTGCTTTCATTTGTAGACAGTTTAACTTTACTTATGATTTTTAATAAGGCTTAAACATTTAATATTAATAAGTATTAATAGTAATAATATTTACAAACAATAATATTAACAATAATAATACATAAGAATAATAAACTTGTCTTAATAAATTTCAATGGTTTAGAGTTCTAAGTTTTATTTATATATATATATATATATATATATATATATATATATATATATATATATATATATATATATATATATATATATATATATATATATAAATATATATATATATATATACATATATATATATATATATATATATATATATATATATAATATATATATATATATATATATATATATATATATATATATATATATATATATATATATATCTTGATTAGGCAGCAACTAGATACAATAATGAGCTCTTATATCTGATTGAAGACCAGAATTAATTTTTTACATTTTTCGACAAATATGCTTGTCTAAATTCAAACTCCTGTTAAGTCCTGTAATTTTATCTGTTGAGAGAGAACCTTGTTAGATGAGGTAAATAATAAACAATTAGTTTTAACCAACTTCTATCTTTGCATCAATCCTACTTTGTCTGGATTTTGTCTCCCTGTTTGCTCCTGATCTTTACCACACTGATCTCTAAAAGCTTCTAGATTCTTGCAGTTAGGCTCCAAACTTCTTATGTTTAAAACACAGTTTTTTATCTGAGCACTATAAATTAATACTCATAGCTTTCATTTTAAAATAGCCTAAAGAGACTCATAATTCAAAGTTTAAGCAAATACCATAACACAATTAGTTGACAATCTAGTTTATTTTTAAAATTGTATTAAATTTTAAGCATTTGAACCTTTCTTAAGCTTTCAGAGTTAAGGTTCATAAAGGTAATAAGGTTCATAAAATAAAAATTGTGTAGTAATAGAGAAAAATCTTTTCCTGTGAAATCTTTATAGAAAGATAATATGTCAATGGAAGGAGAGTAAACATGTAACTGTAGTAAAAAGAAAACACATTCTTTTTGTTATCAGAGTCACAACATCATCATTACAGTCTTTTTGTCGTTTGAATTTATTTGATTTTTTATAACTAACTTTTGCTTTGTTTTACAATACAAAACTGAAAAAACTAAGCAGCTGTCAGTTTCCAGAAAAATTTAAATTTTTCTCAGAAAACTAATTTCATTTCCTTCTGGTTTCATTATGATATGATTCTTCAAAAAGGTCAACTAAACCAAAAAATTTCACTTCAGTAGAGTCAATCAAATTATATATATTTTTTTTTAATAAAAAAAAAAGGTTTAAGAATCATGAATTTTACACTTGTTTACAAGTTTCTTCTACCTTTTCTTTTTCCTAGGTAAACTACCTTCACCATGGCTAAAAAGCTTCAACCGTGCTAACAAAAATTCAGTTTGACAACATAACCATGATCTTTTATATACAAATTATTTATAAGTATTTTTACCTATGACCAAGGAGAATGATTGGAGGTAACTCTTTGTAAAACTCCATAACAACATTAGCAACATCTCTAAAAATTAGTAACAAAGTACATAAACACAAACACAATTTATCTAGGTAATTACTTACATTTAGTGGAGTATAATAAATAAAACATCTTTTCAGTAATTATGTAGTAATTAAACAGTAATTATGTATGTAACCATAGTATTTGTGCAAGTACACACAAAAATAAGAAATGCAACACATGTGACATAACAAAAATAAGTTAGCTACGTTTTTATAAATAAATGAATACATTTGGACAGTTCAAGAATGTTTCAAAGAGTTCTAAAAGCTTCTTAAAAGTTCTAAAGGTTTCTTAAAATTTTCTCAGACCTCCTAAACAAGTTCAGGTATATTCTGAAAGAATATTTAGTACTTAATACAAATTTTTTTTTAAAGTCACAAATTTCAAAACATTATTGCACAGGTCACAGAAGCAAAGTGTTTGTGGAATAACAGCATTTATTTTTTTATTTTTTTTTATTTTTTAACCAAGGAAAAAAAAAAAAAAAATCGCTTCATAGTGAAATGTAAAATTGTATTTATATTGAAACATTAAATTAATGCAGTAACGGTGCAGTGGTAGAGTGCATGCTTAAGCCCTACCACCTAGTAGTAGCGCATGAAACAATTCTCCACACAGTATCCTTGTTTGTCAAGATGTGTTTTTGAGAATAAAAATGAAAATAAAAAAAATACAAGAATAAGATATGAAAAAAAAAAAGAAAAAAAAAGTAGCCTCCTAAACTGTAGTTTAAGATGATTTGGTTAAGCAACTTTTTATCATTTTTTAACTTTTAAATTATTCTAAAGGCGGTAAGATAAAAGAAGTAAACAATTTAAAAAAAAAAAAAACATTAACTTTTGACTTATTATAATGTAAAAAAGTTTGTTACAAAAGTTTGAATAACAATTATGTTAGATATAAGCAATATTTACAATTAAAAAAAAAACTCAAATAAAATTAAAAATTTATTTTTATTTTGTTTTTATTTTAATGTAATGATTGATTTTTTTTGCTTGAAAAATGCAAATACTTTAATCTTTAAGCAAAGATCATAACAATATAATTTAATTCTAATAAAAAATATATTTAATTTAAAAATAATTTAATAAAACTTAAATATTCTCATCATAATAATTAATAACTTATAACTTTATTCTGATAAAAACAATAAATAATTTAATTTCGATTTGAAAAATTTAAGTTTAGTAAAATTAAAGATAATGCTTGGGTTTAACTTAAATGTCATATTTATTTAAAAATATTACTAAACATTGTTCAAAATTAAATTTTATTTAATTTTAAAAAGAAATTAGCTCATTTTAATCGCAACTGCTATTTCAATTTTCCTTCCAAAACATTTTCTTTTACTGAAAATTAAATTTTAAATAAATGGCTGCATCAAAAATTTACACAAAACGTAACTTAATTTATTTTTTTATAATGCAAGTTAAATCACAGCGATTATTTTTTAATAAAGAATATATACAGTGATATGATTTTAATAAATGATGTTTTGGAAAAATAATCTTTGCTTTCACAACAAAACCATTAATAAAATAATAAACTTTTAATAAATAAAGTAAATAAATTAACATAATTTTTTTATTTGTTACTCTAATTTTTTTTTAATAAAAAATCATTTGTGGTTTCAAAGCTGTAATTAGAAATTTAAGAAATAGTCATTTAAAAACTCAAATATTTAACATATTTTAATTTATTTATGCAAATGTTGAAAATAAAAAGAAATTTGTTAATACCATACATTTTTGAAAATGTTATATTAAATTTAATTATTTAATATTACAAAAAAATAAAAGAAAACAAACATTTTCTTATAGTAATAATAAAAAAGAAGTTAAATAATATTTAACTCGTTTTGCAGTAATTAATATTATTGGAGTAAATTAAAAAAAGTTGATGTTGTCAAATTCATATTAGGCTAATGCATTAAGCATTTGTTAGTGATGTGTCGGGGACCCGGTGACCCGGTAATTCCACTGTTTTACCAGTTACCTGGAATCAGCCATTTTGTTGCAGTACTCGGCACCAGGTATCTTAAAAGAAATTTTTAGTAAAAATTAACCTTAAGTGCTGTAACTATTTGTTTAAATGGGGTCAAATTATTGTTAAGAGGATTACTTTTAATTAAACTTCAAGCAATAAATTTCTTTAGTCAATAATGATGCACCTCACTTAAAAAACATTTTTAAATATACTTTTGAAAAAAATCAGAAGATATTGAAAAAGGAAATTGATTTATACAGATATTTAAATAGCTTCTTTTTATTGTGAGAGGATTTTTTTACAAAAGAATTTTTCGAAATTGATAGAATTAATTTTTGAGATGCCATTTATCCAGGAAGGCGTCTATCTATATACATCTATATCTATTTATATATCTATATCTATATCTATATCTATATCTATATTTATATATATATATATATATATATATATATATATATATATATATATATATATATATATATATATATATATATATATATATATATACATATACATATACATATACATATATATATATATATATATATATATATACATATATATATATATATATATATATATATATATATATATATATATATATACATATATATATATATATATATATATATATATATATATATATATATATATATATATATATATATATATATATATATATATATATATATATATATATATATATATATATATATATTGACAAACTACTTTAAAGATTTCATTAATATGTAACTATATTGACAAACTACTTAAAAAGATTACAAATTAAATGAATCAGGAAAGCATGATGAACAAAACAAATTTCAAAGAACTGATGTTCAAGGAAAAATTAGATGAATAAGAGTTTTTAGAACACTAAGGAGCAGTCACAGAATAAGGATGAGATTTAAATAAATGATAAGTAACAGGAGAATGACTATTAGTAGATGGCACAAGAGGCAACTTCTTTAAAGCAGTGCTCATTATAGTATTTGTAGAAAAGAGAAAGAGAAGCAACATTACGACAATGTGATAATGGTTAGAGGTTGGCTGCAAGAGCAGGCCCAACTATGTTTACAATGCTTTTTTGCACCCTGTCTTTAAGAGAAAGGGCATTGTTCGAAGATTCACCCCAGATATGGCAATAGTATTCCATACAAGAACAGATTTGAGATTTATAGAGATAAAGAATAGAATCCTAAATACAAAAGTGGCAAGCAGGATAAAAGAATGCATCCTTAGCAGATGCTAATATTGCAATGGATTTGATATACGGTTTCCAAGAAAGATCAGAAGTAAGAGTTAATCCTAGAAGATGAAGGGAAGATGACTCATCAAGTACATTACAGTTCATAAATATAGAAAGATCTAAATATTATTGCAAAAACGATTGGATGAAAAAAATAGGTTTTATCTGAATTAAAGTTCATCAGCCATTGCTGTAGCAGAAGTAAGATCTTTTTCAAGCTCAAATGCCCCCTCCAAGCAATCAGAGAGTGTTGGCTTCTTATCAAGACAAGAATAAATGATAGTATCATTAGCGAACAATTCCACCTTAAATATGAGAATGTTTAGAAGATCATTAATGTAAATAAAAAAGAGTATTGGGCCAAGGAAAGAACCTTGAGCAACCCCTGAAATAACAGGATATAAAAAAGAGTGCTGTCCGTTGAGGATAACTTTTATACTACAATTGGTAAGTCAGGATTTAATAATCTTAAAGATGTTACCTAATACACTGTAAGAAGAAAGCTTATGAAGAAGACCAGCAACTTTATCAAAAGCTTGAAAAATTTTATAAAAAAGAGCAATAGCCTCTCCACATCTAATGCACAATAAAACCTATCAGTTATTATTGTTAAGCAAATCAGCTATAGAACGAATAGATCGAAACCTGTATTGATGATCAGAAAGTAAGTTATTAGATTTAAATGAGAGATTAAATGTTTGCTAATTAAAGATTCTTGCTTATGATGGGAATAAGATTAATGGGACGGTAGTTAAATGAGTAAGATCCAGAATTTTTGAAAATAGTGATAATAGATGCTGCCTTCAGAAGGATGGAAAACAAGACTCTGATAAGCACTTGTTAAATAGTCTTGAAAGTATAGACTACAGCTCCGGAGAACACTTCTGCAAGGCTATAACAGTTATGTTGTCTGGACCACAAGCTGTAGAAGAGTTAAAGCAGGAAATTGCATTAGATACAGAAGCTGGAGTGATACGAATGTTAAGCAATGGATCAACCTTTTTGTTGGCTATATCAGGTAGAACGCAACTAGTGGAATCAAGAGAAGGTATTGATGAAAAGTTCTTAGCAAACAATTCAGCTTTGTCTTAAGATTAGGTGTCAAATTCTGAACCATACAAGAGAGGTGGAATAACAGATTTGCCTTATTATTGATACTGTTAAAGATTCTCCAGAATTTACAAGAGCCTAAATTTTGAGATAAAATACAAAATTTCATGACCTGAGAAGAGCTTTGGTGTTAGACAAAACCTTTTTACAATGGTTTCTAGCAATAGGAAACAGACATCTGTTTTCTGGAGAACTGTTTTGCTGATAGATATGGCAGTTATGGTTTCGATTGGCAATTTCCAACCTTCAGAAGCCAACCTTCAACCTCTGTCACATTGTCGTAATATTGCTTCTCTTTCTCTTTTCTACAAATACTATAATGGGCACTGCTTTAAAGAGCTAGCGTCTCTTGTGCCATCTACTAAAATTCATTCTCGTGTTACTCGTCATTCAATTAAGTCTCATCCTTTTTCTGTTACTGTTCCTAAGTGCTCCAAAAACTTGTCTAGTTTTTTTCCTCGAACATCAGTTCTTCGGAATTCGCTTCCTTCATCTTACTTTCCTGATTCATATAATTTGCAATCTTTTAAGCCGTCTGTCAATCGTTACCTTGCTCTACAATCTTCATCTTTTCTCTTCCAATAACTTCCAGCACTAATTAGTGATTGCTTGCAGCCTTGTTGGAAGCAAAGATTTAAAAAAAAAAAATTGCAGCAGCACAATGTGAGGAAAACCATGGAGAAGACTGAGGATTGACTTGGAATCATCCAGAGGGAATAAAAGATTTCATGTCAGCCTGGCTTCATAAAATTATGTAAGAAGAACATTTATTAGCAGGAAGAGGAAAGTTAAAGACAAAATATTTCTTCTCTTCAAAAATTTCAAAGAAATTTTTCGTCTTCCTGCTAACAATCTTTTGAAAATCACAGAAAGAATCCCAGTCAGCTTTAAAGTAGTTGTAAGAAGCACAATGATAGGGGTTTCTGATGATGAAGAATGACATAAATGTGATGAGGGTTAGGATCAGGGTTAGGGTTAGGATTAAATGTGGGACACCTAAGGGCAAATGCGGAGAAACTGAGCACTGACTAGGATCAGAAATAAGACAGAAATAAGTCAAGTAGAGAAGGTGAGAAATGATTCGGATTGTCTGGAAAGTAAGTTGGAAAGTTGACTATGTGTGTAAAAGATTGAGAAAAGCTGTTGTGGGTCTTAATACCTGAAGAGTCATTGATAGAGCCATTCAGTGTGATGAACATTAAAGTCACTGGTAACAACAATATTGGCAGATGGATAAAGAGACAGGGCTTGGTCAATATGATCAGAAATAACATTAAGAAGAGTGCAGTCTTGAGATGAAGGAGAGCAATATAGAACAAAGAGAAAGGTGATAGAGTGAAGTGGTACTAAACAAAAGTCATAAAAGAGTAGTCTGTGGATTCAAACCTAGTTTTCTGACAAATGGGTGAATTCTTATGAATGTAAATGCCCAGGCCAAGCATGTGACTATTGGAGTCTTTACGAATTAAAGGAAGATTGCCATTAACACTAAAATCACAAGATGAGAAAGCTGAACTTCAAATTAGTCTCACAAAGAGCAAGTAGGTTTGGTGAACTTTGCAAGAGATAAAACTCAACAGAAAAAATGTTATTTCGAAGACCATGTATACTTGTGAATGATAGGGTTAGAGAACTTAGTGATGACAATGGTTTTTTGCGTTTTATAGTTTTTGGTATTTTAGTACTCAGTACACTATTTAATAGTCCAAGCAAGTGCCTTATTACTATTAATAAACCCTAAGCCATACACCACACCAAAAGTATAAACAGGGACACCATTCATGCGCAACATGGCACGTTAGTACTTTGATATTTTACAGCTGTTCATGGAATCAGCATCTCTGAGATTTACCACCGAGTTTGGGAAACCTGAATACCAGCTGGGCACAGAACAATATAATAGAGTTTTAGAGCTGTACCCTCATTAGGAAATAATAGAATGAGATGCCAAGTCAAAAAAGCACAAGCAAAACCCATGCATTGAGTCATTAGGATTCAGCATTCAACATCCTAAACTGGAAACAGTGTATTATAGATACATATAAGCCAGCCTAATAGATGAAGAAGCAGTGGGAGGCTGGTCAACAGATAGAATCTGTTTACCTCTTAAGTCTTTGCCTAGGAGGCCTTTTACAAGCAGCCAGATGCATTTAACATCTGCCTAAGATGAGTACTTTTATTGAGACACTATCTCTAGCCTTTACTCAACCAAGAGCCCCAAAGCAGTGGGTATTTTTAGTTGTAGTTAGCTTCTCTTAGCCTTTGCCTAAAAAATTGTATCCTACAAGGCAGCAGAATAAGTAGCAGGTTGTATTGGGTAGCATGTTTACAGTAGCAGAATAACCTGACCTGACTTAAGCATTATGATTTTCAACTTAATCTTTCATTATCTTAGAATCTCTAAAAATATTACAACAGCAATTTTAAACTATTTAATAATAAAATCTTACTGAGCAAGTACTTCAGCTGCCAAATTTAAATCATCAGTTGTGAATGTAGAACCTTAAAAAATTATTTAAAATAACAACAATAAAAGCAAAAAACCTGTGTAAGTTATTTTTAAAAGAATAAATGACTAAAACTTTTTTTTATTAAAACAAAAAATAATAAATATCTTACCATGACCTCTTAAATCAATAGCCATGATTCGACACTCACATATGGAACATACATGTCGCTAAAAATAATTAAATTACAAAAAGCATAAAATAATAAACTTTTAATGTGTTTTTTTTTTTTTGTCTATATTACATTATTTTTATTGTTTTTCTTCTTTCTGATTTGTAAATAGAATTAAAAAATCTAAAAATTATTGAATCTAAAAATCATTGCGATAAGTAATTAAGTTTAATGGTTAAAACATTAATGCTTTTGCGGTTTATTATTTTTATGACAAAACAAGAAAACTGTTTAAAAATTAATATTACAGTAATTTTTTTAAATTTGATTTATCACATTAATTTTACAATAAATTGCTATTAGATACAAATAAATAACTAAAAGATAAGACAGTAATAATCCATAGTAATACTCCACACATGATTTACTGAACAAAGTCTGAAATATGGGCTTGAACGAATAATAAAAATATCAGTTAAAATTAACAAAAAAAATTAACAAAAAAAAGTGAAATCATTAAAATAAAAACTTAAGTTTTTAATAAAATTATTCTAAAATTATAACTCAAATAATTTTATTATTTATTTTATGCAGAATAAGACATTTTATTTTTGCAGAATAAGACATTTTATTTTTACTTTATATGTTTAAATGCTTCTTTTAAATTCAAACACTCACAAAAAAGATTTTCTTAAGATTATTTTCCACTTTCTATATTAAGAATTTTTTTAATTTTTGTAGAATTGTTTTACAAAGTATTGATGCCATAATTTAAATTACTTCTCCATTTAGTAATTTAAAAAAAGTTTTTTTTACAAAAAAATACATGTTCTTCCAATACATATTAATGTCTTGCCAGAATATTTTTTAAAAGCAAAATTATGATTTTGATATTTCCATAATGTTATTGATCAAAATTTATTTCCAGCACTTGGCATATCAATAAAAAATCAACTTACTGCAAATAAAGCCCATGAAAGTGCAGAATGTCCACCACCATGAAGGAGGACCAGTAATGGACCAGTATACCCACACAAATACACACTAAAATTCTAAAATTAAATATAAATGTTATACCTTTTAATTAAAGTTTTCAACTGTAAAGAGGTTTAGTTTTTAAGTATTCAAAATATCACTGAATGAAAGAAAAATAGAGAACTCACATTTTCACCAATATTGACAATTCTATTTTCATCAAAGAATTCTTTCCAAGATAACTCACTGTACTCTTTAGTTTTTCGCTTTGGGACTCTAAATATAAAGTAGCATTGGGTATCTTTGAAATAAAAAGTAACAATCGTTATCAGTCAAATATAAACACAACTGCAGAAATATTGAGTATCCAAGATATAAACATGAAGGAAGACAACCAGATTCTATAAAGAAACATAAATTGGGTAACAATAAAGTAATTTCCAGCACGATTTGACACATGGCACCACAAGATAACTTTTTAAGAGAACTTAATTATTATTTGCTTTCAATTTTAACATACAATAATGAAAATAATATTTATAATAAAAAATAATAATGTTAACACTAATAACAACAATAATAATAATAAAAACAACAACAGCAATAATAATAATAATACTACATCTTTTGTCATCAGCAAATATTCAAATATGTTTATAAAAAAATAATTTTAAAGAAAATTTAAATTATTAAAAATCTACTTTGAAAGTTTGACATGTGTCTATTGTTCTTTAAACCGTTAATATATATGTATGTGTTTAATGCCAATATAACTAATTATTTTTATATATTAAACTATATTAACATAATTTAACAAACTGTCTTGAGCATAAGTTTCCTTTCTATATAATTTCTATTTAATTGTTATAAACTAAATTAAATGTAATACTATAGTCATAGTATTGCATTTGTAATAAGCTACCTTCTTTTTCATTAACTTAGTCTTAAACTTAGTCTTAAAATTAATTTAGTAACTTTAAGTTATAAACATATTTAAGTGTGTAACAGACTTGTGGTGGTTTGCAAAAGTTTAAAAACTCATAAATATTAAACTCAATTATTAACTGTAGTATATAACAAAAAAAAATATAATAATTTATTAAAATTTAATTTAAAAAATTAAATAAAATTAAACTAAAGAAGTTTTAAACATATTTATTGAAGGACATGTAATTTACAAATTTCATTCATAATAGTTTTAACTAAATTCTCATAAAAATTAAACTTATTCTTTACATTTAGGTACATTTTAGTTGTAATAATTTATTTAATGTAAAGCCTCAACATATTTGTTTAAGTTTTTTTTTTTATACAATTTTTAAATATGTATAAATTTTAGCTATGAATAGAACAATAAATGTTATTTCTAATACAAGATAAAGGTAATAAATATATTGTCTATAAATTCTTTTTACTGCTGTTAAATAGCATCAGTATTTTTAAAGTTAAAAACTCTTGAATTTTTATTTTATTTTGAAATGATAATGACTATTCACCTTGTACATTTAAAAATGATTTTAGCAGTTAAAACTTTTACCTTTTTTTAGAGATTTTTTACCTTTTAAATCTAAGATTTTTTAAAAAAAACCTTTTAAAAAAAAAGATTTTTTACCTTTTATATCTAAGAGCCCAGGTAAATGGAAAACCGCAAAATGAGTCAACAAAAAATTAACACTATTTTAATAGATAATTTTTTTATTTAAAGATAGTTTGAAAAAAAATTTATTAAAAAGAAAATTTTTTTTTTTTTTTTTTGAAAACTTATAATTATTTTATTATATATTTTATATAAAATCTTAATAAAAAACCATAACACCAGAAAAATTGCTTAAAATTGTAATGGTTAAAAAAATTAAAAAGATAAATCCATAAAAATGGCCTAAAATCTAAAAAAATTTTAAGTTATTCCTATGACCAAGGTCCAAGTCAAATGTTCCAAGGCTAAGGTTAAGAGTTTCAAGAACAAGACCAAATTTTATTAAACTTATACCATGTGCTGAAACACCATATCTAGACCATGTGTTGTAAAATAACCAAACAAAAATATAATTAGAAAAATGAATGCATAAAAATAAATATTGAAAAGATATTTTGACAACAGTTATTATTATTAACTTTTAGTCAGTATTGATTATATAGGGTAATTCCATGTAAAAATATTTAGGGAATGAACCTAACTCCAAGTTTCAAAGATATAACTATTTTAAATTTGCCTTAAACCAACAAAAATTCACCATTTAAAAAAATAGACCTTTGTTTCTGTTTTATATGCAATGAAAAGCTGAAAATATGTACCCTTACATATTTTGAAGTAAGCTATCCAATAAAACAACTTAAAATATATTTAAAAATGAATATAACACCTTAAATTTGAACCTGTATCACAATTTTACTGGATCAAGCTTAATAACAAAAATGCAGATGTGGCTCGATTTTTTTTTTTAATATTGTCCTAAAAAGTTTAATTGAAGTTGTTACAAAAAATTGGAGAGTGGTCTTTTTATAAACAGAAAAAAAAAACATGGTCAAGTTTACTTACAAAATTATACATTTAGGTGCTTAATACATGAAAATGGACAATTATTATTTTTGTGAAAATTTAATCACACACCCTGAGCTTAAGACCCTCTTCCCCTCCCCTCATTTATTAAATTTTACTTTTTATGAACAAAAATTCTGTTATTTAATAACTGAAAAATAAATATATAAACTCTATAAATTAAAATTTATTAGTTATAGTAATATAATTCACCACATTGTTACAAATTCACTCTGATCTTGTTTCCTAATGAAATTGCTCTATAAATATATTGCTCTATAAATATATTGCTCTATAAATATATAGCCAACAAGTCTTAGTTACACTTAAGAAACATCCAAATTTAAAGTAATCAGACAGACATATAAGCTTAATGAAGACACATCAACTTACTTTATGAATAACAATTCTGAAAAAAATTTGTATGTGCAAAATTATTAAATAAGATTATATATGAAACACCCAAGAAAGATTTGTACTCAAAATACTAATTCCAAAAGTTTTAAGGCTAAAACCAAATTCAAGGCCAAAAGCTTCAAAAACAAAACCAGACTTAATTTTTAGCCATGTATGTGTTGTACAAGGATAAGGTCAAGTATTAAAAATCCTGACAAAAATGCATAAATCCATAAAAAATACTAAAAACCTAAATTTTAAATGTTAAGAAAAAACTATAAAAACAAAAAACACATACAAGCCAGAAAAACGAGATTTCTGCGCCCTTGATCTGTCTATAGACAATGGGTTTGGTAAAGGAGGAAGCATCTTTTTTAAGACTTCACGTTGTAGAGAAGACATTTTTCACATGTATAGTAATAAAAGACTAAGAAAAACAAATCCAGCAATATAAAATATATTTAATAAAATTATAGCAATACAAAAACACACTTATACACTTTATTATTAAACTTTTTTATTGAAGTTAAACTGCAATTTTTTTTTTACTTTATTGCACAGACAAAAAAAAAGTCTGAAAAAACATAACCTTAAAAATAAATATAGCCTTCTTTTGATGTTATTACTAAAATGTATATAATAAAAGTTATTTAATGGTTTAAGATATTTAGTGATGTTAATTGAAAACTCAAAACACTTTAAACTGGTAATGACAATGATGATTGATAATGATGTGATTGATGATGATGATGATGATGATGATGATGATGATGATGATGATTATGATGATGATGATGATGATGATGATGATGATGATGATGATGATGATGATGATGATGATGATGATGATGATGATGATGATGATGATGATGATGATGATGACAATGATGATAATGATGATGATGACAATGATAATGATGATAATGTCACAAAACAAATATATGAAAAAAAAAAAAATGAAAATATATGAAACAAAAGAAAAATTAAATGATTATTAAATAAATTATCTTTGATGTCAATAAAAATAAGTATTGCTATTGAAGTTAAACTATATTTTAATAATTTTTTTTTTTTTAATATTATTATTATAATATTAAAAATTATAATATTATAATAGTATTATGAAGCACTTGCTTCATAAGTGAGAAGTTTTGAGTTCACAACCTCCCATGTAGTACCATTCTCAACTTGTTTCTCTGCGCAGCAGCCTTGTTCATCAAAGTTCATGTTTCAGAGTTAAAGAGTTGAAAGAGGGTTGTAACCACAATAAAGTCCTCAACTGTAACAACCTTATCTGTCTTAAGAAGGTGAATAACATAATAAAAAATATAATAAAATAACTTGCTAATATTAATAATTATTAAAAAAATAAAATTTATTTTAAAAACAAAAAAAGAATTTCAATTAAAAATTTTTTTTTAACTTGCTATTATAAAAAGAAACTTTTAAAAACTACGAAAAGTTTTAAGAATACTCCATGAGTTTAATAGAGAGAAGTGAATACAACTACAGGTTGTTAAAAACAAGTCACACTAATAAAATCTAAAAACCAAAAAAATATTTTTGATAATAACAAAATATAATTTATAAATTTGTTGGTGAAAACTAAACACTGTGTTTTTTTTTTTTTATTAAAATAATTATTTAAGAAAAGATCAATGTTTAGTTAAATTTTTCATTTTGTCAAAAATGACATCTCAAAACTGAAACGATTCATAAACTGAAATGCAGGAAAAAAGTTGTACTATTATCAAAATTTAAAAAAAGGGAAAACCCAAGCTCATGTGTCAATTAAATTATTTAAAAAACCCTCTAAGGTGAACACAACAGTCATTAAACTAACCAGGTTTTTTTATAGAAAAAAAATAAACTAAACAGAATCCTAAGCCAAAATTAGGCTTCAAAACAAAAATAAGATATCAAAGTTAAAAAAAAGCTGAAAATTATTTGTTAATACATTAATAATTTGTTTTATTAAGTTTAATTAACACTAAACTTATTTATCTGACATGAACACAAATTGTCTTAATATTTTAGGATCCTTTTAACAATTTTAAGGTCGCCACTTAGGTCAGCATTGCCGAACGCCGACCCTAATTCCATGGACTGTATATACATACATATATGTATGTATATATATATATATATATATATATATATATATATATATATATATACATATATATATATATATATATATATATATATATATATATATATATATTATATATATATATATATATATATATATATATATATATAAACTAAATTTCAAACATTAATCAAATAACAGCAATAAAGGTTAATTGCATATTCCAATAATAATAGTAAGAAATAAAAGTTTCAAAAGATGATTTCTTTCAAATTTATAATTAAATTAAATTAACTTTAATTAAATTAAATTAACTTTAATTAAATATAAAATGTGCATTAAAATGCACGTATTGCACATCAAAATGCGCATCTTCGTTGATAATCTGGTGTTGAGTTTTCATACTCTGCAACAAAAAAGTCTTCAGAATTTCTCATCATAAAATCTAAAAAATCATGTATATGCATTACAACAAATTCCATACTACTTTCATCAAGACAACTGTATGATAGTACATTGCCTAACATTATGCATAATCGTAAAAAATGTTCACAACCATATAGCTCACTCAGAGGCTTGTTAGGGTACTCTTTTAATAAATCGCTATATTGTGTTCTCTCAAATTTGTAAAGGAGTTGAGAGCCTATCATGACATCGAAGTATTCACATAGTCCATTGCAAACTTCAACTAATGAACTATAATTTTTCAAATCATTAGTGGTTTCAAATTTGTACTTTAAATATTTCTCTGTTATATCTTTTACTGAAAAACCTGGAGGTTTTGGTAAAGGAACTAATTGTCGTTGACGGGTAACAAAGTCACAATCATCTAAGAGATAACGACGTAAGTCTTGCGGAACAATAACTTTAACATCTAATTTTTGCACATATGATGGTTCAGATTCAGCATTGACTCCTCTGCCTTTACGCTTTTTAGACTGTGTAGAGGTACTTTCATCTTTTTTTTCATCTTTAGCATTTTTATTTTTACTTTTCTTTGCATTACTAAAAAAAAATTGTAAAAATCTTACTAAAAATAATAGCTAAAAAAACTACACAACTCAGGTCTGTAATACTATTAAAAATTAAAAATATTTTTATACAAAATTCTAATACTTATTGGAAAATGAACATTTTTTTTATTTACACAGAATACATAACAGTATATCATTAATATTTATGTCAATACTTAGAGTAAACATTGTGTAATCAAGTACAACTCTATTGCTTAACTCTTTTGCATCTAAATTTAATATTTGTAAACAGTAAAAATCAACACAATATATTTAAAATGATAGAACAAGGAAGGCATCATATTTACTACATAAAACTTTTTATTTTCTGACAGATAAATGAATGTACATCACAGGCCTCAGCAATAATGACATTTTAAAGACACTGCTAAAAGAAAAAGATTGTTATAATATTTCTGAAGTAACTCAATGATTTTCTTTTGTTCATCTTACTAAGATAATTGTTTCAAATAATTTAAATTTAGCAAACTACGCAAAACTCGAAATAGTTATAAAAAATTGACTTTTTTATTTATTAAATAATTCAACTTTAGTATTATTTGAATCTTGTTAAAATAAAACATAAGTTCATAAGCATAAAAAAATTTATACTCCTTGTTAAATTGTATCAAACTTTTTTTGCCGAACTGATGCCGACCTCTAAAAGATTGAGGTCCGCAAATTATTGCAGACGTTTATCTTAATTCAGAGGGTTGATCCCATCTCGCTTGGAGCTATTTCAAAAAATTACAAAAAACCGAGAGGTTTTGATTAATGACTTTGCTTTTTAAATATTTTTCTTATTTGATTATTACTACAGGGTTGTTCATAACCTGTTTCGGTGGGAAACAGTTAAGACTCAATATGTTTTATGTGTTTAATAATTAGTTTCAAATAACACTTTTAAATCTTGTGTCTTTAATAAATGAATATGTTGCTATAAACATTTTCAAATAAAATGGTTCAATAAAAAAGGATCCTAATACAATTTGTTTACCTGTGATGATGTTTAAGTTCTTTTTGTTTTTTCAACCCTTCTTCATTGTATTTCATCACACGACTCTCTGCAGCCCACTCATCCCATTTTACATTCCACCCAGCATAATGAATAAGATATTTTGTGACACGATCTTTTGTTCTAGTTTTGACAATTTTTGCTTCATACAGCAATGGACCATGATAACATAAAACCTTTTCACCATCAATAAATTTTTTCTTCTCATTAGCAGGAGCCATATATTTATATTTAGATTAAAAGTGCTGAATATTGTAAAAATAAATTTTTAAAACATTTACTTATTTGTTTGTTCAAAAAATTGTCAAATGAAATATAATCATAATTATAAGATATTTTGATTATAATATAAAAATGTAATACATATTTATTGCAGTAGGAATTTACCCACGATTATTTTAACTTAACTTAAAATTTAAAATAATGACTTTTATTTAATAATAAAAAAAGTCATTATCATTGTATTAAATAATTGTTAACACTTAGTAAAAAAGTAATCATTAATAATTGCTTTATATTAAAACTAAATTTAATAGTGGCAGTTGAAGTAGTGCCCTTTCTAGAGTGACACGAAACTCTTGGCAGCCAGAATCGCAGCACGTTTTGTTGTGAGAAAATGTTAACAAAAGCGTATGCAAATAATTAACTTATGTAAACTTTAAACTATATAATGTATAAAACATATATCAATTTTAGAGTTTTACTTTTACTTGAAAACTAAATATTGCAGCAACATTTCCTTAATTTTTATTAATAGAATTTATTTACGGTTATAAAGTTTTTTATTTATTAGTTGCCAAAGTGGTTAGCTGACAGCGTTTCTGAAATGAATTGCTGTGTTTTAAATTATATTACTGGCACTTCTTTTTTTTTTAATCTTTTTTATTTTAATAAAAAAAAAAGTAAAACACTTTTAAAGTTTTAAAGATATTATATACATAACGTATTTAAAGATATTATATACTATAACAAAGGAAAGAGACAGAATTTATTAAAAAAACTTATTTGCCATTTCATGTCTTTTTGTTTATGAAATAGTGATAAAACTTTAACCAGACAATACTTTAATTACCAAAAGCAATATTAGATGTAGGAACTTCTTTCAAAAAACTATACAAATACGACTTCCGGGAAAAACATAAACAAGAGGAAAAAACTGACCAACAGCATTTATAATGCCAACTAATGTTACTTAGCCACGTTCTGCCGAAGCTACCTGTGAAACTTATCTCTTGCCACACGCTGATACAACTTTTACAGTTTTCATGACTGTTGCGCAACCAGTTTTATCTAGATTATAAATTCTTGATGGGGAAAAAAAAATCGCTTCAAAACTAATTTATAATTTCAAAAAAATGATCAACTTTATGCTTGTTAAAACCTGTGCTTCTACTCAGGCTTGTACTCTCAGGTTTTCTAAAAGACAAAGTTTTATGTCATGTCACTATTATTTCAGAGACTAAAATGCTGGAAAGCAGCATCTGTTATCCCAATTTTCAAAATTCTGGAAAGCGATCTGACTCATTTAACTACCTTCCACCATTAGTCTTCATAAGCAAGGTTTTTGAGTCTTTAATTAACTAACACTTAATCTCTCATTTTGAACCTAATAAATTACTTTTTTATCATCAATATAGATTTCAATCTTCTCATTCTACAGCTGATTTGCCAACAGTAATAACTGATGGGTTTTATCCAACATTACATAGAGGTAGAAAGGTTAAGACTATCACTCTTGACATTTCTAAAGCTTTTGATAAAGTTTAGCATGCTGGTCTTCCTCATAAGCTTTCTTCTTACGGTGTATTTAAGATTATTATCAGGTATTTAGATTATGGTGTAATCTTTAAGATTATTGAATCCTCCCTTTCCAATTGTAATATAAAAGTTATCCTTGATGGATAGCACTCTTCTTCATATCCTGTTACTTCAAGGGTTCCTCGAGATTCTTGTCCCTATACTCTTTTTAATTTACATTAACGATCTTCCAGCCTTGTTGCGAGCAAAGATGTTGAAAAAAAAAAATCCATGAAAATATTTTTAAATAATCTTGTTTATTAAATGTTTTCAAATATTTTTTATTCTACTCTTCAGTGTAGATCTTTTCACATTAAATATTAAAGTGGCTTGTCGTTCAGATGAATTATTGAAAATACTAGGAAGGTCAAATGTGCCTCGCATGTGTTATATATAAACAAACGCTGTTAAAGGCCAAAATCAATTTTTTGTAAGTGACTTACAAGCTAATTTGAAAAAATCATCAAAAAATTAAAGCATCAGCAATTTTATCAAAACACAATGCATATAAAAGAATACAAAGCAATTTGAAAGGTGCTTTCAAATGATTTTTTACAATTAAATATAAAATATACTTTTTGAATTCTAGTTCTATTGATATACGCTTATATATATACACATAAACACACGCACATCCATACACATACACATATATATATATATATATATATATATATATATATATATATATATATATATATATATATATATATATATATATATATATATATATATATATATAGATAGATAGATAGATAGATATATATATATAGATATATATATATATACACACATGCACATATATATATGCACATACATACATGTATTTATACACATGCGTGTGTGTATAAATACGTACATAAATTTATACACATACGCATATATATACCCACAAATACATAAAAACAAATATACATTCAATTATTATACAAGGATGACAAAAAAGCTGTACATAAATGTAAAGATTCTTAAAAAAAAAAGTATAAAATAAAAAATATATATAAGAGAGAGTATTTTTTAATAAGACTATTAACAGTGATATATTGCTTTTATTGATGTTATTAATCTAGTAGCTATCAAATAGTGTTTTTTTAAATTTATTGAGAAAAATATATTGAGAAATTGAGTTTTTAGTTTTAAAAGAATGAGGGAGATTGCTCCAACATTGGTGCATTGATATTTAATTGATTCGCTGTCAAATTTTATTTTCCTAGTATGTTCTACAAAGATATTGTCGCATGAAGAGGATCTTAGGAAATGAGAATGTTGTTACATATTTGAAGAAAAAAAGTTCTTAAAGGAAATCGGAAGTTTATCATGAAACTAATCCCATACAAATAAACAATTTAAAAAAGTAATATTGTGAAATTTTATTTGCTCTAATTAGATTATTTATTTGCTCTAATTAGCGAATTAGTAACAGATAATATGGCCTCATTAGTTTTTAACTGCATTTTTTCAGGCGAATCTTCAACAATTAACAGGTTAGTGTCATTGGCAAAATAGTATGTTAAAACATTAATGCAGGCATTTAGTTCGTTGATGTATACAAAGAAAAGCAGAGGCCTTAATATTGACCCTTGAGGGACTCCTGAAATTATAGTTTTGGTTAATGAAGATGTTTCTTTAACTGTAACATATTAAAGTCTATTGTTTAAATAGGATTTAAACTATGTAAGTGGAATTCCACGTACACCATAATATTGTAATTTGGCAAGAAGAGTATCGTGATTTACTGTGTCAAATGCTTTTTGCAGGTCGAGGAAAACACCACAAACAAATTTATTTTTATCAAGGGCATTTTGTAAAGTTTTTGTAAAATCAATTAGTGCATGTGTAGTAGAATGGTTACAATCCATATTGTAATTTATGACAGCAGTTAAAGGTATCAAAAATATTGGGCGCTATTGCAGTTTCTCCCCCCCCCCTTTTTTTTTTATTTCTGATTATGATCAGAATGATTAGGAATTGTATAAAAACATAGGTCTGAAAATCAACAGAAAGTGCTCTAATTTGATGTTGAAGTTTAAAAATTACACTAAAAAACACTAATATTCGCCATTTTTTTGATTCTTGGTTATAATTAAAACCCTTATCAAAGATGATTTTTATAAGCCTGGTTTCTATCAACAATTTAATGCAAAACTGTTAAAAAATGCTAAGAGCATCATTTTCTGATTTATCCCTTGGCGAAACCCTAACCTTGTCCCGAATCATGTACGTTTAATTGGGCCAATCCCTATTTGTCAGTCAATGTATGTGTATTTAGTTGTGCCAACTCCTATTTGTCAGTCAATGTATGTACATCCATTTGCCCAATCCCTATTTTTTAGTTGATGAGTGTACATTTAATTGCGCCAATTCCTATTTTTCAGTCGATTTATATACATTTAAAAAGCAATATTTGAATTTATTTAAAAAAAAAATAATTAAAGTCATATAAAATACACTAATGAAAACAATTAATTCAATTATAAATTAACTTTGATGACAATAAAAACCAGGTCGCATAATTAAAAAAAGATTTTCTTAACGATTGATTTCAAAATGTAAAATTTGATGTAAGACGTATTTGAAAAATGGCTAATATTAGCGTTTTCTAGTGTAATTTATTAAGCTTCAACATCAAACTAGAGCACTTTCTGCTGATTTTCAGACCTATGTTTTTATACGATTCTTAATCAGCATAAAATTCTCTATCATAATCAACAATAAAAAAAAAAAGGCGGGGGGAGAAACTGCAGTAGTGCCAAATGTTGTACAGTCTTTTGTGCTTAGTTTTTTTAAATATTTTTCCGATATTACATAACAAAGAAATTGGTCTGTAGTTAGATGGTTCAAGCTTTGATCCATTTTTATGAATTGGAATAATGTTAGCAATTAAATACGTCAGGAAAAATTATTTTTTTAAATGAGCTATTAACCATTTTAGAGATTGGTTCAGATATAATTTTTGAAGATAGTTTAGGAATTGAAGTCAAAAGACTATAAGGCCAATGCTTTTCCTATCATTCATCACAGAAATAATTGTTTTAATTTCTTTTTTTGTTACAGGCAAAAGGAAAAATAAGTTAAAGTTAAGGATTTTAAGAAAATCATTATATTTATTAATTAAAGGTTCAATTTTTTCGGAAATATTCACTGATATATTGAAAAAATAATCATTAAATGAATTAGTAATAGTTTTATTATTGATAATTAAATTGTTATTGATCATAAGTTTAATAGACTGCTTTTGTGTGAAATTGTTGTTAATATTAATTATTTATCTGATTCCTTTCCATGTATTTTTTATATTGTGTATATTGTTTTGAAAGAAATTTGAATAATAGTTTTTTTTTACTTATTTTAAATAAATGACTGATTTTATTTCTGTATGTTTTAAATAAATTAAATGTTCTTTTTTTAATTATAGTTGACGAATGATTGAGAAATTTTTTGTACAGTTTATC